CGGGGGGCTACGAGTGGGGAAGGGGGAAGAGCAGGGAGGGCTACGTGACTGTTCCAAGCATCTCTCCAGTTTGCGATTGTACGACGCATTTCCGATTAAAGAACTTTTACTGTTTTATATCATCGTAACATTGTTGAATGTTTTCCATGTATTGTATCTATATATCTTGTTATTTAGCCATCTATCGTGACACAGGTGGTCTTCTGGATATCGATGGGGTTGTTGACTTGGAATCTAAAGCTTAGGTGTGTAATTAAGTCTGTTAATTCGGGTACGGGTAATAAGGTGCTGACAAACTACATATAGCCACGCAGTTATGATATAAGCGGGTTCTACTGTACCATAATATGTAGTAGTAAGTTTCAAAATTGTCTTATTATCCCAGGCCTATGTCTGGAATATGTATCGGCCTTGCGTACATGCCCTGAATACGGCCTGTATTCGCATCAACACACACCCGAATGGAACAGTTAGGCCTACGAAAACAAACGCTGGGTTTCCTGACCGACCATTGCAAAAACCCGCCGACACTAGCCTTTTGGGGTGTCAACCTTTGGCAAGACCATAAAATTTTCGCATTTTCAGAGACAAATTTTTTTATTAAATTTTGCAATTCTGCACCGCGCGGGCTGTTATTGTCATTATCTAGAAATTCCTTCAATTCTTTGTAATTGTTTGTCTAAGAAATTTCGTAGTTTGGAAATATTTCTTTATAGATAAAAATCTTTCCAACATTCTAAGTAATTCCCTGTTTTTTTAAACTTTTGAAATATTCCTGATGTGGAATCGAAATCGGGTTACATCGTTAAATTCGTAACACAACATTATTCCCCCAGGTCTTATTAGAACAGGATGTGGTGATAAACACTTGTCAATTTGTGATACGCCGAAGTGAAATTGACTTCTCAGTAAATTACCACTTATTGTTGCCTACTTCAAAAACTGGAGATGACTTGGTCTTTTAGACTGGGTACTTGAGAGGTACAAGTATGAAGGATAGGCAAGGAAGCCTGTTATTGTCAATTAAAAACCCATTCACGTTATACTGAAATCGTGAACTAAAAAAACAAATGCTACGCACGCACGCACTGGTGTTGCAAAAACATGTCACCTAAAAATACACGCAGATATAATGAGTCTACACGGGGTGTGAATAATCATCTATTTTCAATTTCATTTAGCATCGTTTGTAGTTCTAAATATAGGATATATTAGCCCTGTAGTATAGTTGTTGAACAGCTGTTGCCATGCAAGTTGTACTATGTACGATAGTTGATCCATAAACTTCATTCATTAATTCTTTGTACGGTTCCTTCGAACAAAATTAGTAATTAGCGTTTGTATCTGTGAGGCGCCTTACTTACAAGTAGGACAATGACGCCACACTGCGTACGTCACACAATGGAGTGATCAAAGTCTGTGCCGCGGCTTGAGATACACTCGTTTTGGATGAAAGTGTCAGTTTGATGAGGTTCTATTGTGTGGCGATATATTTGTTATACATTTGTAGCAACCCTGATCAGGTTGTCAGCCCGTGCTTGAGACTAACAAAGTGATCAGAATAGTTCTGAATCTGAAATCGGGATAAGAACATGCTACTGCAGTAGAATTTGCATCCTCCTCCCAGCCAATTATTTTGCAAATCATTTTTTTTTCATTTACGTCATAGACAGATGAGAATGTCACACTTTCATCGAATTTTGATTAAATACCCTTTGAAGAGCCGTGGGTGTCTGGCATACAAAAACCACCGAGCTGTTTGAAGCCTCCCCGTAGAAATTACTTTCGTTATACCATGGGAAGTAAAAAGATTTTTTACCTCCACGGTTATAGTGCATATTTGCCCCAAATAGTACGTGGTTGCAAATCCGAAGCAAGGTTAAACCTTTCATTGAAACCATTTGGCAAATGCACGCAATTCACAACATATCAAGCAACTGGATATCAGTCAGAGGTTTCAGATATCATCTGCTATATTTCATCAGTAACTGAGAATGATTGGTAAATGCCTAGAAATATTTCTGACAAAAGAAGTTTGTTGAAGATTTTTGTGTGTGTGTGTTATAACAATCGTGCTCTGGCCATATCAGTCTTGGGTGGCTCTGGCCATCTTCTGTCAATCTGTGACACTGTGTCAGTTTCAGAAATTGCAAGGGCATTATAAGTGCATTAGTACATAGTATGGCTCTGTCCATCTTCTGTGACACTTTGTGTCAGTTTCAGCAATTGCAAGGGCATTGTATAGCAATTGCAATGGCATTATATAAAATGTCCTTGGCTTCGGTAAATTAAACGCGTCATAGTACTGCCCCTACCGGCGTGTTACAGTACTGCAGGGCGGTTGACCCAGAACGTCGGTGCGAGACCACAACAAAAGGTCAAGGGTGATCGCGAATCACGGGACACAACTTTTTTTGTCACGTTTTGCATGTAACAACTTAAATTTAAGGTTACCAGAAGACCCTGAACTTTCCAAAAACCTGTGGATCTCAGCTGAGGAGCGCGGTTTCTCGCTAGCGATGCGGAGCTGGTGCGTCACCGCGGCGTTGGTGTGTTTGTTGGCGGGGGCAGTGCTCGCTTGGCCCGCCCCGCCGCAGCCACCCTGTCCCTGCGCCCAGCCGGAGTGGTGTAATCCCGTAAAGACTCCGCCCAGGAAAGAGGCAAGATGTGTTTCTGTACACAGATGTAGCTACTGGTACTGTATATCTATAACCTGGGTTACACAGGCCAGCTCTTCGGCTCCAGAGTTACCACTGCACTGGAAACAGCCTGGTATCCGACCTGTATATGGGACACTAGGCAGGCTACAGTACACTGTGCATTACAGTAGGGTCGTGTGGTATAACGGCAGAGCATTAGGTTCTAACCAAGACAAGAGGTTCGAATCCTGCCTGCCAATCTTGTGCCCTTGGGAAAGCACTTTAGAAAACTTTCCCCACTTCACTCGGTGAAATGAGCAATACCATGCATGAAGAAGAACTGTATGTTTTCACAAGGACTTAATTTCACAGTAACTGTTGTAGGAGGGAAAAGGAGGTTTTCCCTGTACTTAGTTCACTTTCGTACTGTAGTGATACATTGGGAAACACATATTCAGGGTGTCATGAATTCAGGGCAAAGAGGTAGACCCCAAAAATCACAAAACTAAAACCACTGCAAATGACTTACAGTATGTTGTTTCTGGCAGCCCTTAACGAAGCATCTCTGGTTGCAGGTTTTTGTGTTTGCTGTACGAAACGACACATGGAAGCACTATGACTGGGACAAGGTGACAACCGTGGTTATGTTTGGGTTTTACAGCGAGGAGCTGATGTGCTACGCCCACTCCAAGGGAGCACGAGTCGTCCTGAAAGGTGAACATCACAACCCCCATACACACCCACAACCCAAAATCCATAAACCATTGCAAAAAGTATAACTTTCATATTGAAAATCCAAAAGGAAATGGAACAAAACCAACCTTGGCCTCAATGAAAAGTTGCCAACGGGCCAATTTGAGTATTTCATGAAGTATAATTAACAAAGGTTCAGACAATCTAGACACAGTAGCCTGCACTGCTGGCCACCAGTGATTCTGACAATGCTTTACTCACCCACTCACTCACTCATTCACTCAGTCAACCCACCCACTCACTCACCAGCTCACACTCACTGTCACTCATCCACCCCTTCTCTCACTTCCTCCCCACTCACTCTCAATCCCTCCCTCACACAATAACCCACCCACTTGCTCACTCACTCAATTACCCACCCACCCACTCCCTCACTCACTCACTCACTCACTCTCCCTCCCTTACATTGTTACTCCATCTCCCATCTCCAGGTGACGTGAAAGCGTCAGACGTTGCCCACCTGCCGGACCCCCTGTTCCGAGATGACTGGGTGATTACCCAGGTGGCCCTGATGCTGAAGCAGCACATGGACGGGATCAACATTGACATCGAGCAGGCAATCCCTGCAGGCGACCCGGCACGCGACGGTCTGACCGCGCTTGTTAACGAGACAACATTTGTCTTCCACGCAATCAATAGTGCCTCACAGGTATAACTGCGGAACATCCTACTGTAAAAAAAAACTGCAAAGTGTCAAGTGCAGATCAAGCATAGATGCCGTGGTTAACTAGATAGGATGGCACCCATGTACCATGTGTATTTGCATGTGGCAGTTATAATATAAATTCTAACTCGAATCCCAGGTTTAACATAACTAACCACAATGGGATACAATATTTATTTCATGGTCATGTAATAAGCTCTTACCCTTTTGAAACACAGATTTGAACTTACTACATGTTGACATCTTGATAAGTTGATCTGTTATGTTTGTCGTAAATCTCAATACAAAATCTACCTGACAGTGTGACAGTTGAGAATGCTGTGACAGTTCTTCATCTCTAAGTAACTTAGAAATAACATGCCTTTAACTTGTTGTCCTCAGGTGACCTTTGACGTTGCCTGGTCACCTGACTGTATCGACGGCCGCTGCTACGACGTGGTAAACATCGCCAAGTCATGTGACTTCCTGTTTGTGATGTCATACGATGAGAGGAGTCAGATTACAGGACCGTGCGTCGCGAGCGCAAACTCTGCTCTGGAGACAACGCTGGGAGGTGAAATGTGTTCTCTCCCTAATTTTCAATACAGTCTTTCTCTGCTGCACAATATTGTTATTTACAGCAAAATGTAACCCAAAAATATGATGTACGTTACCGTTTTCCATGGGTTGAAAGGCCCATATCTGAATTTTATGCTGTGTTTCTCCTATTCCAGGATACCAGGAGTACCTGAAGTTGGGCATCCCTGCAGACCAGTTGGTGATGGGTGTACCGTGGTACGGTTATGACTACCCCTGCCTCAACCTCTCCAAGGTACCGTAGGTTCTGTTGTATCACCTGTGTGCCGTCTGTACATTCAATTGTGAGCAAGCAACAATAGGAAGCTGACAGTTTGAAGCACTGACAGTATAAATTACAGAGGGTAAAAACTCAATGACAAGAATCAAGCTGTCCAAAAGTATTCCCCCTGCCTTAGTCCTACAGTCACAACACAGGGTGTATGGTACAATGTAATACACTGCTGCCAATCCTTTCTGACTACCACTACTGACCACTAGATGGCACCCTAAACTGTGTAAAACCTTAAGAATGGAGTACTAGTTTGTGTTCCCTCAGGATGATGTCTGCAGTATTAAGAAGGTCCCGTTTCGAGGAGCGCCCTGCAGTGATGCGGCCGGCCGCCAGGTGGACTATAAGGACATCATGAGGCTGATGAGGAACTCCTCAAGACGGTGGAACGACACCTTCAAGTCTCCTTACTTCAACTTCCAGGTAAAGATACTGTATGTCTTCCTTGAAAAACTTGTGCACAAGGCAAGAAAACAGGTTTGAGATTTTTTCATTCAAGTCCTTCAAATTTTCAGTTTGCAGTACAAGTACATGTACTAGTGTAGCTAGACAATTGATCAATTCATTATGGCTGCAGATAATTGATATTTCAGGTGGCAGACAGACATGACGACCCATTACAACTACGGCTGGGTTATGGTTATATTGATTGATTATTGATATTTCTGGAGTATAGACAGACCCACCAGATGTGGTATGATGACCCCCAGTCCCCACAGTACAAGTACGGTTGGGTTATAGATTATTGGTTTATTGATCATTGATTGGTTATTGCTTATTGTCATTTCAGGAGGGAGGACAGACCCACCAGATGTGGTATGATGACCCCCAGTCCCTACAGTACAAGTACGGCTGGGTTATAGATTATTGGTTTATTGATCATTGATTGGTTATTGCTTATTGTCATTTCAGGAGGGAGGACAGACCCACCAGATGTGGTATGATGACCCCCAGTCCCTACAGTACAAGTACGGCTGGGTTATAGATTATTGATTGGCTATATTTATTTATTGATTATTACTGTTCCAGGAGGGAGGACAGACCCACCAGATGTGGTATGACGACCCCCAGTCCCTACAGTACAAGTACGGCTGGGCGGTGAAGCAGGGGTTACGTGGGGTCGGCATGTGGCATGGAGATACCCTCGACTACACGACAACTGACCCCAAGGTCAAGAAACAGACCCAGGAGATGTGGGACAGTCTTCCCAAGTATCACAAGAAGTCTTGAGAACAAAAGTCTTCAAATCCTCTCCTTTAAGACTAACTAGTGAGACTTGGTGGCTGGATACACCTTTAGTACAGAGAAGGTAAAAAGCTGGAGCTGTGGTAAATGTTGTAAACCATATCATGAACATCCGAAAATAATTGGTTGGTAAAACATACCATGTTGGACATCGAAACGTGAGCAAGAGTCTGCACTGGTTTTGTGAAAAGAACACCGACATCATGTTATGAACAGTTTGTGAAAGTTGTTACATTAATATCCTATTGTAAATAGAAGATTTAACCACCCAAATGATTAGAATGAGGTTATACAATCAGCCACTGACATCAGAAGGGTCAAAGGAAGTCACATTTTGGGGGTTAACATGCTGCTATGTTGCCTGGTGTTTTGCTGCTGATGGAAAGTTTACTGATGTTTGGAAACAAAAATTGTTTATTACTTTTGGGCTTTAATCCTTTCGGTACAACAAAGTGGTTATAGGCAGATAACCTCTTTAATTACAAGTAGTGAGTTTGGATGTTTACTACAGAGGGCTGTAGTCCTTAGGACAGGACATTAAGCTTTTGTCCAATGCAGATATCTAGAACTTGGTGTGAATATCTATGGATGTTTTTGTTTTTGTTTTTGCAAAAGGAGCTGGATATTTATCAAAATGTAGACATATTTATTACTAATATTAGTCCTTAAAAATTTACTTCCATGGCATTGTGACTAGACTGTTATTATTACTTTTTTTTTAGATTTTATTTACACATTTTACTTACACTTCTATTTACAAGATTGAGAGCATAGTGGAGAATATCAAGGCCAACTACTTACAGAAACATTTATAAGAAACCTGCTGAAAGTATGTTTAATGTACTGGAGCAATAAAACTTTATAAGATGCATACCTGTTGAACCAAATACACCTATCTGTAAATAAAGTAAGGCTTACATGGAAGTACAACAAGTAAATCAACTTCTGAAGCAGTCAATAAATTACAGAAAATATATATTTGTGTTAGGTTCTTGTTTGAATTGCTTGTAGCCCCAGGGCCCATTGAAAAACACCACAACCCACATTGAGATTACTTTATACAGTTTTATAGCTTTTAGGTTAAATTTCTCCCTATAGAAAGTAAGTTATTTTTTTTACAATATTTACAACTTTGAGATTGACAGATTTACTTTTTGCCGAGAAAATGTGACCATTGCAACTGCTATAAGAAACATGATTTAAAAAATAGATATCTATAAAGCTTTTACTGCTATCTTTTAGTCTTAGATTTTGTAACTTTTGTTACATGGGAAGTCAGGGTGAATGTAGGATTGTAGGACTCGTACAGTACTTTTGTTGCAATTTCCAGTGCAGCTGTTATCAGCTCCCAATAATATGTTTCAAAAAATAAATATCTATAATACATGTATTAACTTAAAGGTTTTCCTGCTATCTTTTAGTCTTGGTTTTTGTTACTTCAGATGTTGGAGTGAATGTTGTATGTAGGAACTCGTACAGTAGTTTAGCGTTAGCTGCGTTACCCAGATGTTCTGCTATCTGGTCCTGAGTCAGGGTGACCAGGTCTGCCAGACTCTCTGTCTTATCCAGGACAGACCTGTGGGGGAGCAGAAACAGGTTCAGGCAAAGACTAGTTCTTTTCACATAACTGGTAGATCCACAAAACGTACAGGATGATACACATGTACACATTACACACGCACACATACATGTGTACTACACATGCGCGCATGCACAAACACACACATGCAAACACCGCACAACAAACACACACACACACACATTGTGTGAAAGCTCCTGGGTAAGCAAAATACACATACTATGAATTACTAAGTAATGGAAAGTGAGAACCCCTGCCTGTAGTTTTTAGAGTTGACTCCGGGCAGCTTCAGCACCATGTCATGTGACAGGTGGTTGTACTTGTCTGACGGGAGGACAGACTCCGTCTCCATGGCGATGGCCGCCGCCTGGGCTGCATCCGGCTCAGGGCGGTTCAACTGGAAACACGATATATCAAGGATCTTGAAAACACGCTCGTATCTTGTCGAGTAATCCAGCTAAAAAACTTCAAGCGAACTAACAACAACTGAAAAAAGGCAAAAATTTAGAGTGATTACAGAATTTCTGACAACCATTTCCCAAACAAAGCCTTTTCTCATTACCCCAAAATCAGAAGTCCTCTCCACATATAACTTGACCCATGTTTCTAACCCAATGAGTTTGACCTTGAAATAGCTAATCTTTACCCCATGCCCTTGACTACTAATCTTGACCCATGCCCTTGACCCTGAAAACCTTTGACCCATGCCCTTGACCTACTGACCTTGAGTTCCTGGAACAGTTCTGCCGTAGCGTAGGGACTCCTGCTCCACAGGATGCGCAAGCCGGGGAAGTGCAGTGTGAGGAGAGCCAGCTTGGCCTGGACTTCTTGGAACGACATCTCGTAATGACCTACACCCTTGGTCTGAGAAACAAACAATAAATAAATAAACAAGAGTCTGACAAAGAAAGATAAAAGGGTGACAAGGAATTCAAAATCACTAATAAATTTAAGAGGTGCAGATGAAAGAAAATATGGATTGCTTCAAAAGCTCATTGCAGAAGCTCATACAAAGGCTGCAGAATCTTGACACTAAAACCTTTGACCTTTAACATAGTGACCCTTGGTTTGAGGAACAAATTAACAAACAAACAAAGGAGGGTCTGACAAATAAAGAGACAAGGGTGAGAAACAATTTGAATCAATAGTTTAAAAGATGTGGATAAAAGAACATGTGAACTGCTTCAAAAGCTTGTTGCAAAAGCTCACAAAAGAGCCTAAAACCTATGGCCTTCAACAGTGATTTCTGACCTGTAGTGAGAAGGGTTTGTTGGCGTCGAACTCGATGAGCAGGATTGGTCGCTTGTAGCTCCTCGTCATGGCAACGGCCTGGTTAAACAGGCGGCCGCTGTTCAGGGAGCCAATCAGGTCGCTGATGGACTTCCTCTCCACACACATGTCAGGGGTCAGGATGTAGTCACCCACCTGGAGGTAACACGGCGGTCAAGGGGTTAGGGTTGTTGGCTCAGAATCTTAAGGTTCTGGGTTCAAATCCCAAGCAGGCCCCACAAATTTCCTCACTTGACTCAGGTGAAAATATGTACCTAGCTTAAGTTAGGGACATCCTCTCATATGGGACGTAAAGTGGAGGCCCCGTGTTTAAGGAGAGCCACACCTCAAGCATGTTAACATTTATTGAAAAAGTTGGGGTCCTTGCTAGTGTGAGTGGTCTTACTGTCTGATTTTGAAAATCTTACATATCACTGAAACAAACTTGAAAATGCCTAAAACCAGCTACTAGTAGGAACTCACTGGACACTCTGTGGATTTATCTTCCCCTACTTCTTACATTACATTTAATAAACAAGCCATGAGCAGACCTGTAGTGTTATGGGCTCAATGTCGACACCCCTCCTGTGGATCAGTGACGGCAGCTCACTTCGGAATTCCCTCATGTCAACTATCACCTGTGGTGGCAGCATAAACATGGAGTCAAAAAGGAAACGTTTGGAAACTGAAGCAATGTGCAGTATTATGTATCAAGATCAGTGACTTAACCAATCTGTTCAAAGAAATGTCGTCTATTAATTTACTTCTCATACAAGGGTGTCAACCTTGTAGAAATGAATGTCTTCACACATTTCAAATAAGCTTAAAGAATACACAATCTTGTGATGAAGCCAATTCTACCCTTTAACCTCTGACCTTGGGTTGCAGTGCCTCCTGTGACTCCTGACCCCCTGCCCTCCTGGTGCTGACCTCTGTAGCAGGGGTCATGTCACGGGTCACATCAGGCTCCTCTGGCAGCACCAGGCTCTGGGCAGCAACAATAAAGTTGAGCATTTACAGTCATATGTGCATTGGTAGTCATTATTGAGGGGAGGGGAGTAAATACACCACTCCATACATTATAGCATGCAAGAAACGTAAAAGTATTTTAGCTGATACATGTACATGTACATCTTGTATGATGAAATGCTCAATATCAGATTCCATTTGTTGCTGAACCTTTAGCACGCTGAAGTACAATGTAGCACTTCGGCTTAATGATTTTTCTGTTGGTCACTTCTTTATTGGCGTATTAATGACAAATGGCTCTAAAACACCCCTAGTCTCTTGGTACTAGTAGTTTTTAAGAGTCAAACTCACAGCCTTCTCCTTAATGAGGTGTTCGAAGGCGAGCTTCTCCCGTCTGAGGGAGGTGAGGAAGCGCTGCTCCTCTGTGGAGCTGGTGTACATCAGGAAGTACACACGCAGGGGCTCGCCAGGTCGTCCTGCTTTATACACCTGCACAAAAACAATATATATATTTATGTATGTTACAGTCTATTGACTCAGTATAAGGTGTGAGAAGCCAAGTACATGATAGGAAGTTTCACTGCAGTACCACAACATGACCCTAAGGGGCCCAAAATGTGACTATCTTGAGGTCTCATCAAGACCTATCTACCTACCAAATATCAGTAAGATCCAATCACCACTTCTTGAGTTATGCTGCTCAAAGACAGATGGACAAACACACACACACACATAGCCCCCAAAACATGCTAACCTTCATGCAATGTAACAACAACATATGCAGCAGAGGTTTATAATTTTGTAAACTGACCTCCAGCTGCCGCACAAACTCCATCTCAGGGTCGTAGAGGACCACGTAACTTGGGTTGACCTCGCGTAGGGTTCGTGTCAGACTGTAGGGGTCACTGTAGGTCAGGGGTTAAAGTTCAGCATCACCATATCATTATGTCAAAGAAAATGAATAAATAGTATAAAAAAACTACAGTGCTGCAGAACAGGGCTAACCTCTGCTTGCTTGAAGAGTAAACTACTTACTTGTTTCCGTGTAGGGGGTGGATGATAGTAACTGGTGTGGGCAGGACTCCATAGTATGCATTCAGTGATGATACAGGAGGCTCTTTTGCACAAGCGGTCAAACCTTCATCAGTCTGAACACAGAGAAAAACAAGACAAAATTAAAAAATAATCAAAATCTTACATGGAGTCTTAGTAAAATGTCAAAAATGAAATCAATTAATCCATGCCCTTGTCTGACCTGACAGCTGTCCTCTCCTTGACCTTTGACCAGCTGTGTCAAGGTGACTTGACCTTCAGCAGCAGCCTTCTCCTTCTCCACTTTCCTCTTCTTTCCTCCACCTGTCTTCTGCTTGCCCTAAAATAAGGAAGACATCTTAAGACAGTTACTGATTATCAGCCCTCAACTGTGGGTCCTGGTAAAGATACTAATTTGAATCCTGGCTATCAGCCCCGAACCAATCAGTATCCTGCATGGCTTGTACATTTGTACTTTCCCACCCTACAACACAGGTGTAAAAGGTGGTTAACTTCCAATGTACCAGCCTACCTGTGCCCCCTCTGCCCGTGGTGCTGCCCTGTCTGTTCCCAGAGTTTTGTTAAACAGCCTGGTGAGGAGAGAGTGGCTGCCGTCACACAGGTACTCCTTGATCTGGCTGCAAGTCCTGTCGTCATACGCAGCGATCAGAACACTTCCCTGCTCGCCTAGCTTTGTATTCTCTTCACGGACCTCCTAGAAAGGTAGAAACACACAGGTGAGAGGTAACCATTGCACTGAGGTTTCTTTCATCTAGTTGCAAACTTTTGTTTGATCAACACATCTCTATGCACTGACCCATATTGCTTTGTATACTGCTCTTATTATGAACCTCCTGAGACACTTGTCAAGAAGAAAATGTTACAAAATAATGTACATGTACTGCCTGTGACATCCATATCTGAGAGTTAACACCTATCAGCCCCTAAACCAACTCCAAGTGCATAACTGACATGTTACATCATGCAGCAGTTTACTGGTTACATGATTCAAATTACCGGTATAAAATTTTGACCTCTGACCTGTAAGACATCCCAGAGTGCCTTCCACTTGGGGTTCTCCTCCAGACGGAGGTCAGGGTTCACTGGCGGCGCTGACGTGCCCTTGTCGTTGCCCTTGGCAACCTTGCCAGGATGGCCGTACACACGTGCTCGTGCATGCTAGGAACGAATCGAGAAACATGATACAAGAACCCTTCATAAAGAGGTGGAAAATATAACATATCTAGGTCTATTTTAGTCAAGCATTCTGAAAAGCCAACAATACACTGGTTGAAGCAAGAAGATATATACTATTGGTATGTACTGTACAGCATATAGCTAGGGATATGGGATCAATATCTTGTTTTTTGTACTCACTACGAACATGGAGTTAGCAGCATCCAGGAAAAGCCAGCCGCTGTTCTTCCCAAAACTTTTCTCTGTTCCCCTGCATTGAATGGACAAAATCTTACTTTTAGATTTACAGGTTTAATCACAAAAAAAATGTATTACAAAATTATTTTCTAAAAAAGTACATGTATTATTACTAACTGTCATCACGTATTCCCTCCTACCTACATGTATGTGTCCTACAATTTAAAAAAATTCAGTTTAGAGGAAAGTCACCATATTCTTCAAAATTTCTCTGAAAAACTGGGCATCATCTCCAACTTTATTTCAGCCAAAACCTGTCCCTGTAGAACAGCATTAACTCATTGTGTCCTTACCTGAGTGACTGCAGCAGGTTGTAGAAGGTCACACAGTCATACTGGGTCAGGTACCTGTCATATAAGGGCGAGAAGGCAAGGATTTTTTCAATGAAAAAAACTGTTAAGCTAAGAAAACTTGAAATGACAGCAAACTGTTATTATATCATCAATATATCAAGTCAAAGAAAAGACTTTATGATTTCCATATACATGTATACATCATATTAACTTACAGCAGTACAAGTTTACAGTTACTTACACAAGCAGTGTCCTGAGGGTCTTTAGGTCGGCTACAAGCTGTCTGGTTTTCCCACTCTGGGATAGGAAAGCAAAAGGTGGTCTTGTGGTCAAGGTTGTTGACTTGGAATCTGAAGGTTATGGGTTCAGAGCCCAATGTTACATGCCCTTAGGAAAGGCACCTCACTCGTAATCTTGCTTGGGACGTAAAGCTGAAGATTCCACGTTTGAGGAGAACCACACCTCCACCACACTTATTGAAAAGAGTAGGGGGCCTTCCCAGTGTGAAATCTCTACTCTGACATATTCACATGGAATCACCTACCAGCTGGTGCCAGACAGGGTCGAGCTGCTGCCTCACGATCTGGTCAAACATCAGGCTGATGGCATTCTCCACTGTCAGGTCCTCTGCTTCCAGCTGGAGTGTAGGCAAGACACACAGTTCAGTTTTTATCTTACTAAATAGTATACTTGTCTTGTAACAGTCTGAGATAGAGAGAAAACCTTGCAATTGTTAGACACCTACAATGTAGGCATGGACAGCACAAGTGAGAATGAACTTGCTTCAGTGCTATACTTACAGAAGGGTTGAACATCCTTAGCTCCCTTACACATGCCTGCATGATGTCCAGTATGGATGTCTGGATAGCAGTCATAGAGTCTGTCATGTGGAGGTGCAGCTCAACAACCTCAGGCTACAACAAACAAACAAACAAACAAACAAACAAACAAACAGTCATGGAGTCTGTCATGTGTAGGTGCAGCTCATCAAGAACCACCGGTTAAAGGACAAACAATATCATATCATACAATATGATACCTTGTGCTGTGATAAGAAGTCCTGTACAGAGACGTGGAAGCGAGGCCACAGGTACAGTTTGCGTACGAACAGGTTCTTCATGACTCTCTCCACGTGACACATCCCAGAGTGGAACGCTGTCGGCATGTCTGAGAACGCTTTGATGAACCCTTGCTGTAACAACATATAAACAGTATTGATAAAGAAATTATTCAAGACCAAGAAAGATAAATGAAATGGCATTAGTGTGTTACAGTGTGTAAGCGAATGAATACTTTTATAAGTCCTTGCTGTCTGATCAGCACTGTTTTGTTAAATTGTTGATTGGTGATTTTTGTCTAAACCTTTGTTTCTTCATACCGAGTCCAATAAAACAAAATCATTGACACCTCACCTTGTTTTTCTGCCGGTACAGCCTCAGTATGAACGCCTCTTGGCAGGACTCAATGATTCTGAAAGGAAAAAAAAACAAAGATTTCCATCAAAGGTGGTATACTGAGAAAAGGTGTAAACTGTAGCTCAAAAGTGTCATCAGGTAGTTGTATGTAATAATTCAATTCCTTACTGTAATAAAAGCAGCAAACTTTAAAGCTATATTATGTAGAATTTTGACTATTTTAGAAATCTTTCTTTTACACATTTTCTTGCTCTTTACACCTACCTGACTTCATGATGACATTTGGGGATTAACATATCAACGTCGTTTCGCCGCAAATACGCGTTGGAAAACTGCGCACTCCGCGGCGCTAGCGCGGATCGCGGCCATGTTTGTTTACATCCGACCACATCCGAGCATTCCCGAATCCAGCCGAACCGCAGGTCACCGTAGAACACGTTATTCTCTAAAATACGGCATATGCCGGGTCACGATTTGACAACTGTCAATAGTGCAACAAAAACACCTTAGACATACGTAACGTTTATACTTTTTCATATCTACAGGATTTGCCTAGTACAACAATATAGATATTTCGTGCATTACAAAATGACACCGATCGTTATGGCCTTCCAAACATTAGCATTTTTGGTCAGTTTATCTGTGCTTATCTTTTTTTACTGGCCAACTGGATCCCATTAGCTAATACCACAGTGTGATAGCCCACATCTTCACCTTTACATCGATACCAAAGTCCCCTGGTTAGTTTTAGGACAAACGGGTTTGCCCCAAAGAAAACCGCGACGGTGCACACATCGCGGTGACGAAATTTTAGCCCAGTTGTAGCTACCGGCGCACACCATTCTGAGTTTCCGCAACATTTTGATACATTTAGCATAATGTCATAAACTTCGTTCCTTGGTATGAGAAACTGTATGAATGTGGTTACCACATGCAATATGATAAGTGACATGATAACTTTCAAGTATATACAAAAAGAGGATTTTAGATTAGGTACTGACCCTTCAAAAATTGGCAAATTTGAAGTCAATCGGCTTCGAACTCCAGCGTTCGAAAGCGTTCGAACCATATATGCATGGAACCCAGACACGCGCCGGAAGTTGCCGAAGATTTCCGAACGAAAACCGTTGTTTGTTTACATTCTATTTATTGTGGCACACATAAATACGTCTGGCCTTGCGCAACTTATTCTCGCGCTGCGCTGAGTTGCCGAAAAGGCGAAAGAGCGACGCTGATACGTTGAAAGTTATCGAAAATGACAATCTACATGAGAAAATTTCAATAATTTGTATTTTCAGTTTTGGCGCGAAAATCCTACATAATATCACTTTAACAACTCCCACTAAAACAATTCCATTTGTCTGACCTGTGTGCCCTGTAGACCAGCACACCTGTGATGAGGTCTACAGGTATTCTGTTTGTTAGCATGTCCACTACCAGGATACGGGAGGTTACAAACAAGACACCGCCTGACAGGTACAACGCTTTCCTAGAATAAAAAACAAACAAACAAGCACAATATTACAAACAACACACTACCTGACAGGTATGAGGCTTTCCTGAAAAAGGAACAAACAAACAAGCACAATATTATAAACAACACACCACCTGACAGGTATGAGGCTTTCCTGGAAAAACAAACAAACAAGCACAATATTACAAACAACACACTACCTGACAGGTACAAGACTAAGTAATTCCCAAGAAAAACATCAATATCACTGCAAAAAGATGTCACCCTAGATACACTCCTTTCATCTATGCTACACTCATTGTTATGTTACTCCAAGAAACAACTGAAGGGACTGAGTACCATAAAGATCAATAAGACAAAGTGCTACCCACCTGTCTGTGATGCTGTACTCATTGGTGACAGACTTGGGGAGAGGAGACACCCCAGCCACACTCAGCTCTTCTATCAGGTACTCCTGGGCAATAAGACACAACAAAGTTATTCCTGAACTACGATGTGTTACTAAACTTCCCACAAACTGTCAGAGATTGGAACATTTTGCCCCAAGAGATACATTTGTAACTGATACTGCGGAACCTACGAAGTTCAACGCTGCGGTACTACAACACCTGAGGACGCAGCAATAGCGCATCGCACAGCTCCCCTGCACGCTTTACCCCAATCTAGGGGTGTTGTGCAGTACCCAAACAAGACAAGACTTACTAGATGTTCTGCCAGGCTGTGTGCCATCTTGCAATGGACAAAAAGGTTTCAAACTTGCTTAAACAGTACTTAAATGTTACTCCTAGCTACTGTAAATCAATGTATATTTTACAACAATAATATGTGTAAAAAGTTGTTCATGAGTTGTTCATGAGTGATTTGAATGTCTGCCACTTTCCTCACCTCTTCATGTTGAGTTGTGTTGATGACTATGACAAGGTTGGAGGCATCACTGTAAAGTTGGAGGTAGTTCAGCAGTACCCTGTCTGCACCCAGGCCTCTGTAACACACATGTACAATAGTACTCAACTCTAGTACTGAACTACAAACAATGGTAATGACTTGGTATGGTAGTACTGGACTACAGTAGACAGTACAGCTGGAGGTATCGTACTGCTCAGCCGTACCCCGAACGCACCCCGGCCAACAAGTAACATGACAGTATACAGTAACTGTCAATGACAGAAGACAGTAACAAATGTGATACCGAATATATCACACAGTTAAACAAACACTGCGCAGGTTATGCCCTTGATAATTTTTTGATAATGACCCAACATATATGTATATACAATTTTGCCTGAGTAACATGAGAAATGAAAGAGATGCTTTTTTTTTCAGTATCTGTGGTACATCTCGGCATGCCCACTGCTGTTGTGAATGTCAGCAATCAGATAACAAGAGGATCTGTCAGGATTTGGGAATAACAGCACCAGGTGCAAGGACATATGTGTACAACCCTCACACGGGAGACAGGCAAGACATCCCACCTGCACCTAAAACCCTGGGAAAGGCATACCATAGACATGGTGGTATTTATATCGAGCAGTTCTTAAATTATTTCAATTTTTTTCATGATGATGATGTGCATAATTTTACACATATTATTTTTATTATTACATAAAACCTTTATGAACACACAGAATGGTTTTCCAAGATCATGTTTCAGACATTTAGTGAAGATTAGTCTGTGACAGCTCGATGGACACTTCTGAGGCTGTGGGGCGTAACTGATACAGGGGCTGCCATTTCACAATGATAAGCATGACAAGGAATCTGATGCCATGTACAAATTCAGGGTACATTGGGAACATGACAAATTATATCTCTATGTAACTATTGTGAAGCAAGGTATAGTCAACACCACCAGGCCTTCGTACAGAGTTATGGATAGTAATGTAATCTATGACTGCATGCCTTTTTTATGGGGCTGCTCTAATAAGAAAATATATACAGACGTATGTTATAGGATGGTGTTAAGTGTTCAAAAATGATGTGATGAAAATAAACAAATAACGTTGCAAAAAAAATTGTGTGTATGTTGTTGTTGTTGCATGTTGCCGTCTTGACCTATATATGAAGCGTCGTGACCAACCCCCCTGCCCGCCCCCAGCCTACTTTCCTCTCAGAATAGTTCCCTGAGGAGGTCCCACGTACTTTGCCGTTATCGTGAGCCCGTCTTCGTGCAGGGCGTCCAGGAAAATCTCGTTCTCGTACTGTAGCAGACGAACGGCGGGTTTCTGCTCGGGCGCCGCCATTTTCGAACGACCCGGGCTAAACTTCTGTATCCGGGTCAAGCGCGGTGCATGGTGGGAGATTCTAACAGGTGGTTTTATAATGAGAAGCGGCATGAAGTTAGAAGAAAGGAAGAAGCAAAAGAAAAAGGCAGAAAATGACAGAAAAGAGATTAACTATCCACGGAAGGAAGACAAGGAGGGAAATTGAAAAGAAGGGAGGAAAGAATTGGGAAGAAAAGCAAGATTATAAAACTAAAGAAAGTAAGAGAAAGAGGTGAATGCTTGGAAAAATTGCGCGCAAGATGCGATAGGTTTGATTGATCGATTGCACATCTTAAGTTATGGCAAACCAAATATGTGGCGTAGCGGCAAAGTGCTCGACTCGGAACTAAGACTTCCCGGGTTCGAGTCCCACCGATCTCGTGCCCTTGGGAAAGGTACTTTACACGACTTTCCTCACAAAACTCCAGTGAAAATGAGTATTGTCCTGTTCCGTATTTGTCCTCTATTTGCGTTGGTGACGGCATAAAATAAGTTGATTAAACTTGAGTGTGCCGTCACCATGTCTAGTCATGAAATGTTGGTATATAAAAAAAAGCAAATATGTTGCAGATTGCAGAAAATACAATGAAAGTGAATGAATAAGATTGCGTATCAATGCTTGTTGCAAAGGTCAGTGTACTGTAGTCTGTTCTCTTTAGTAAGCCAAAAGTCAATGTCCTACAGACATCCTTCAGACATTCTCCAGGTGTTAGAAAATAGTTCACTCCGCACACCTGCAGGCGTATCTGTATTGTCTGCTGGTGTTCTATTCTCAGGGTCATCCTTCTCCCAAGGTCCCCTTCGGCTCTCCCAGACAGTAAGGAGCCATACGACCCACAGACGGAGCACCTTCAGAGACTTAGATCGTAGAGTGTCCGGTTCTTTCTGTCTTAAATTTTAAGGACACCTTAAAGTGTTTGTGCAACTTCAGGGTTCTCAAGGTCACAGTCGGTGGCATACCTGTCAGTATCTGCTTAGTTCTCACCCGGGCACATCTCTGTCAGAGATGGAAAAATGTAAGAAAATATGTGAGAAGTGAGATAACCGCGCACGCTGCAGGTTCCAGACAAAACACACGTCAGCTGGGGGGAGTGACTCAGCGGTGGACCTTGGGAATGTCATTAACGGACAAGGACGATCTCCATGGTATAAACCGCGTGAGTGTTAAGTTTTTGGCAGTTGTTTTCAGACTGTAGACAGTGCACATAGTTTAATTCTCTTGCAGTGTCAACATGGGTTTCAGAGCGACGTTGTTTGTGGTGTTTAGTTCACTGATTGTCATTTTTACGGAATGTTCTGTGGACGACAGCTCTCCATGGGAACGAGACCTTAGCGCCTCTTCAAGAGAAGGTATGTAACGTTACAGCCTTAAAGTTTAGGCGTTGGCATCTGTGTTTTCCATGATGGTCCTTTCGGATGAAAACAAGAAGGGCACTGTTGTCAGTGTTATGTTAGCCTGGATTCCAACTAGTTTACTTTTAACGGGACTCCCATACTCGCTCCCTCATAATTTTGATGATGTGATGAACTAGATAGGAGTTGTATAACGATTTAATCACCACTAGCCAGTCATGGAAAGGTCGAATTACTAAGCCTCTCTTATTCTTTGCTCCAACAGACAAAGGGCTTTAATTTCTTCTGGCCATTGGCTACACAAGGGAAAGACCTAAGATATTCAAAAATATTCGTGCGCAAGACAAGAACGATGCAGAAATTCAAACATGGCAACTGGTGTAGAAATGAAGTTCATCAGCCCTTGCCTATAGGGCAAGCTCGAGCTCAATGACCAGAACGAACCACACACTACATACGGAAACGTTTATAACAGACTCAATGGGATAAAAGTTGAAAAGTAACCGATGCAGCAATCACTGTGAAGCACTTGTTGATTCTAGTCATTAATTCTTATTGATGCCCAACGATCTATGGTACTGTTTCTCTAACAGGTGCCGCCCTACGTGCAGTTGAATGCTGGGAGTTTGCCCACGTCACGACTACCGCGACCTCCCCCACCCCAAACAGCCTCGATATAAGCCATCCAAGAGATATCGCCAAGTACGTGTCTTACATCACTTGTGCTCATGATTTTTCACGGTTTAAAGGATACGTTATCATAAGCCATAAGGATACGTTTTCTAATGAAAGTGTGTCTTTTCTCCATTTCCAACTCTGGATCAAGAGTCCTTCGAATTCCTTATGACAGCATCTGATGAACTTGGGTAAGGTGAGATAATTGGGAACTAAGAAATCAAGTATCTTATCTATAATGATGTTTTGTTTCCGATATTTACAGATCAGCGGAAGAGAGATTGACAAACAATCCAAACACTGGGACACAAAAGCGGCCTCCGTGCAGTTATGTTTTCTTATGGAATATCGGTAAACACACCTCCACCGGTACCCACACAAGGAAGATAAAAACTACCCGCGGTACAGCCGCACCCCCTACAGCAGGAAGAGATGGCATCGCCCTTAACCAGGGTCGTCATGACGACGATACTGGAGTGACAGGTACCCATTCCGATGAAAATTCAGGAATGAATGATAAGAGACTCCAGAATAAGCCAGGAAGAGTAGCACCCAATCTTGACTCTTTAAGAGAGGTACTTGAGGCATTAAACGTCTTGGGTCGGAAAAGGCGGGAAGCTACTTCGTCGTCTGCAAATGACGTCACGGTGCGAAGAAGCGCGAGTGTAAGGGAGAGCCTGATCTCCAAGGCCTGCTGCCGAGCGGGGAGGCATTTTGGCGGGAATCCAGAAATTGCAGACTGTTCGGGAGCTTCCGGTCGGTTCGTGTCGGGAAACATCGCGGTGTTGACCGACCTTCGTAGGATCTGCGTCGGCCATTTCGTCGACTGTTGCAAGGCGAAACAAAATGAACTCAGAATGCAACGAGCCGGACCAGAAACCGTCCCCGAGCAGCAGGAAGAAATTACAGACAACCACAGCGAGGAGGAAAACGAAGACGAAAGTCCTTTGCCAGAACCTCCGACTGACCAAAACACACGGATAGCGACACACTCCGAAGTCCAGCTGGCGTACGCTTGTTGCCTAAACGGACGCAGGACTGCCTATGACCTGGCGAAACGGTGCGAAGAGGAGAGGGATGTCTACCTCAACCAAACGGCTAGGGGCGCTGTTGTTCACACCGCCGAGGCCTTGGCGGGATGTAGGATGGAGTTCAGCCGGTGCTGTGACGGGCAGCGCGACGCTCTAAAGTCCGCTGGTGACTCACGTGCATCAGCAAGGAAAAGTTTAGCTAATCTACGAGGTCTGCAGCTAAAGCAGCACTGCTGTAGACAAGGCTCCATCCAAGGATTAGCGCCAGAAACGGACTGCGCTCAGAGCGCGAGGGAGTTCGCCTGGCGGCCTCTGAAGAGCTCCCCTGGCCGGCGTGCACAGTGTTCGGGCGAGTACAAACAGTGCTGCGCACTCAGACAGGAACAGAACAGGAAGGTGGCGAGGATTCGCAACGCCAGGAAAGGCTGGAGACCCAAGCCAACGGTGGCTACTCTAACCGGCATAACCCAAACCAGAGACAAAGATACTTCTTCCAAACGTTTGTCTCAAAACGAGAATAACAGAGAGGAAGCAAGGATTCGCACACACAGAAAAGACCGGCAACAGATGGTCACGCCATCGGTGATCACTTCAAACCAAACCAGAGACATCGCTGATTCTTCCGAACGTTCGTCTCAAAGTTCTGTCACCAAAATGGAGGAAGGACCCCATCTCGAGATTTCTAACGCAGACCACGTTGCTTCAACCGCGACACCTTACCAACACGCGGAGGAAATTGTACCTCTTAGCGCAAGACGTGCATCCAGTGAAACGAACAGCTCTGGGGCCAACCGAGAGAAGGCAGAAAACTTGAAAACAATCGGCAGTCCGGACAAAAGAGTGAAATCGTCATCAAGATCTGAGAGATCTAAAAAGGCCGCGAAAGCGCCGAAGTCGTCAGCAAAGGGAAGGAGACGTACCCGCAGACGCCACCGAGTTGTCCGCACACGCCCCGGCCCGCCCGCTGGGCTGCTGAACGACGGTGCGAGACCATCTACAACCAGCCCGCCGGACATCGCCGCTGTGTTAGCCTCACACAGGCGCGCGCTGCGGCTATGCTGCATGCACGGTGGCCGCGTCGATCCCAACGTGTTCCAGCCCCGCTCCTGTAGCCTGGAGGCCGACAGCTACGCCCGCGGGACGAGGCTAACGGGCCCGGTGCGCACAGTGTGCAAGGAAGTGTACGAGCACTGCTGCCAGACTGGGAACGAGACGCATCCGGGACACGCCCAACATCCGGGACATGGTCGCAGCGCGGTCAGGTCACCAGGTCGGAAAGTCAGGCAGTTTATAAAGAACCGGAGACGAAAATGGGCAAAATTGTTCCAAAACAGCAAACCTGTGCGTTCTACTGGCTAGGTAATCTACAGAAAATATGTAGAAATGAGTCCTTTGCCCCAAGACACGTCAAAATGTGTTAGAATTACTGTAATCTCTAGTATTCGCTACTTTAAGCATTCCCAATGGGCGATGTCCTTGGTGCTGAAATACTGGTGAAAGTACAAAAACCGCCATTTCAAATGCAGCAGGGAAGGCAATGGGCCTCACAGTGCCTCAACAACACTCAATATGGAACTAGTGTCTATGTTAATGTGTTTTGATCTAGTTCTTTAAGTTTTTTTTTCGATTTCTTTGCACGTTTTACACTTGGTGAGACTGAGAGATTCTGAATGGAATGTGAGGGGAGACATGACATGAAAACTCACAGAATGAGTTGAAACCCGTTCAAGGCTCTCGGTCTTACCAAGGAGCCGAGTCTGCCTTTCTTCATGCAAGATAAAGAATCACATACAGACTGAAATCTTGACCAAAAAAACAGGACATGCGAGCAGTTGAGTGTTGCAGACAGACTTTATTAGCTACTTGTGTGCAGACATTTTGTGTGGATTGCAACATTACAGAATAATTATAAAGTGGCACGAATCATTCAGATGTCATCAGCCTTATTCAGCACAATAAGCAAAATAAAAAACAATGGATGGAAATAGGTTAAAGCTATTACTGGCACATTTGATTAGTAAACATAACGATTGATTGCAACATTTAAATTACTTTTAACAACCCTGCAAATGTACACTGTACATGTACATTACACATTAGTTCACAGTAGATGAAAGGTTACAAATGAACAATGATTTGGCAAACCAAAAGAGCAACCTAAATTTTGTGGTCTTGTTTGCCTCCAGTGTACAAAAAAAAGTGTTACAACTGCATATCAAATGTCACCGTGCAATGGTGTGTGTGTGTCAAATACTCATAAATCTCACTTTAAAAAACAATCAGTGGTAAAAGAAAATGATCATTTTCTGTGTTTGATACCTAGGTGAACTTTTACCTTGAGAAGGTCTCAAATATCATCTTTAAAAGTGCATCTTGTCATCAAACATCCAAGCAAATGAACTCCCTTCTTGGGACACTTAAGGAGTAACACTTTAACACTGCTCCTTACTTACTGTGAACAACATTACAGTGATATTAACTTTTTACACAAATTTCCACTCCAAATTACGTCTTGATGACTTCAATACCTTACGTATCAATGTAGAATAACTGCCTTGTGGACAGACATAGAATTTCATGTATTATTGTTGTTACTGTAAAATTTTAATAAAGTTGTATTATGTCATTTATAGTCTATTCCCTAACTTTCATGCCGTTCTGTTTAAGAATATTTTCTATTGTAGACACTGTTGGATTTTCTTCTAAGCAGGTTAGAGTGAAGTTATTTGTTGCTATATGAAAACATCAAGAGTTATACATGATGCTGATAGTAAAACAATACAACAATCACACAAATGGCTTGTACCTATGAGTCACAATAGTCACTTAAACAAGTTGCAATGAAACAGAAAGCAAAGTTAAAAATAAAAACACAAAAAAGATGGTCTGAGCAGAGAAGTCATGACAACATCAGAGGTTGTTGGACAATATAAGGTTTTAACGTTTAAGGTATACTGTGTAAGTAGGTTAATGATTGCAATGCTAATTACTGTAAACCAGACAACTTTAAGTCCCTACGGGCCTTTAGTATTCTGAGCCTCTCTATTGCTTTACTTCAACTGAAGTGACAATACCTTAAAACACTGGTAAACATTAACCACACGTGTGCTATCTTATAACTTGACAATACAAAATTGTGACTAAAGGCACTTGTAGCACACTGAAGGTTGAACCAGCTTATACTGTGAATGGCAGAAAAGTAAAAAAAAATAATTCTAATGATGATTGAAAAACACATAGAGTTACTTAATTACTAGTTAATGAATTTACACTTGTGATCAATATACTGGTCATATTCACAGTGAATGCATAGCTAATACATAGCATTGACTGTACATGTATTGCCTATATATTGTGAATACATTGAACTGAGCTTCTATATTCTTCTATTTTTCAAACATCCAGGCTTCTCAAATTTGTTACCAAATTTATGACATGTATCTATGACAGTTAGATATCCAGGTACTAGTAGAACATTAATACCAAACAAAAATCAATAAATTCTAATGTGAAGAGTTAGATGTTTCAAATCTTTTATCAGTGACTGAGAATGTTATGACATGGTTTGCTAAAATTTCAACTTTCCTTTTTAGTTACATGTATTATTATTAATAGTAGTCTAAATGCGTGCCTAACATGAGAAGCGAAAATCCATGAAAAGTTGGAAAAATCCCTGCATTTGCAAAGCACAAGTTGGCTACTATTGGTGACAGTTTCATTTCCTATCTGATCAACAAAAATTTCCACAAATCTCTCAAACAATCATTCACATATTTTTCCCTCTACTGTCTCTACCTCAAAAAACAGGCGATGCAACAGTAGAGCAATGTACAATAAATCATCATTACCTGAATACTGTAAATGCAGGTATCTTTGCTGTGGTTTTATTTCGTGGTAGGAGGGAAAAGGTGGTTTTCCTTGTTTAGATTTGCAGTTAAAACAATTTCTGTAGTAATACATTTCACGGTGCCATAACTTTGTGGTCACTGCAAACATACAACCAGCATGAAAATTTCAGCATTTACAGTAATCAAACAACATTCAATTCATCTGCATTAAGACAAAGGCACAAAATAACTTGTTAGATTACATCATTACTGCTCAAATAACAAGATTATCATCTGCATAAAGGCACAAAGGGAAGTGTGACATAAACTTCTTTGTAGAATTTCTTAGATTTTACTTAAATTAAAAATACTTTGTACATGAGAAGTATCTGCCTTTAATTTAGCAAGGTTCCAGGACACAAACTTGATTTTGTGGATGAAATCTTAGAGAAATGACAAAATCTTGAGAGATTGAGGCAACAATATGAGACAAAACTCTCAAGTGGCCAAAATTGAGAAGTCCCGGTAAACTTTAACACAAAACATGATTGTCATAAAAATGGGCACAAATATCACATAACATGACAGTTTCTTTAAACTTTTGCAAGAACTATTGGGTCTCCAGTGGATGTCATCCATAAAATCAACTCTGTGTGGCCTCAAGGCACAATGCAGCGAATGAGAAAAGGCTTGGAGATTAAACATCTGTTTTAAATACAGATTCCTTGATAAAACTTTCTTAACTGTCTAAACGTTATAGAAAATATAGATTTTGGAGACACCCAAATTCACTTTTGCTTCAAGCTTGGGTAAAACTGTGGCATCATCAATTCCTGTGCACAGAATCTGATGACATATACACACACATCTTAAGACCCTTCAATGATGAACATATTCTCATGAAATGTACCTAACTTGACTGGAGCCTAATGACTTTAAGGCTGGAAAGGTCAAGGTTCAAAGTGTGGGTCAAGGGCATGACCTTGAGGTCAAACCTCAAACCTCCATCTCACTGCTGATGGTGACCTTGAGGTTCTCCTCCTGTTTGCGGCGGTAGCTGCGGCGTAGAGCGTCCGACCGCCGGTAGGGTTCGTTCTTCAGATCTGGAGGTGCAGAGAGAAATAGAAGGGAGAAGTTTTATGATGAACTAAGAGGGGGTCCATTCCATAAAGATACCATACAAATTTTTGTATGATGGAGGGAAAAAAACTGAGACTTCATATCTAAAAAATAACTAAGAAATTTTAAAGTTAGCTATAGAATTCAATGTCTGAAGGGAGGCAGTAAGGTTTTGCTGACATTCTACTTGATCTTTTGTTGTGCACCAAAATGTTGTCTATTATTATATTTAGAGTGTCAGTTCAAGTTGTTTTCTTGCAGATAACTGTGTCCTGTGGTTTCAGAAAGATAAAACATGACGTCTAGTTTTGCCCTTACCTGTGATGATGTCCTCGATCGCTCCATGATATGCCTCCGTCTTCTGGTCCTTAAACTTCTTCTGCTTCAACTCTGCAAGAAGGGCATCCTGGAAGACAAGGAAGAATACTCAGTCTAACACTTAAGACTTCAACCTCAGCAGTCTAGGCCATGACTTAGGTGCAAAGTTTGGGTGCTACAAAAATACTACAGATGATATGAAACAATGTAAATAGCATTATATATTACAGATTGCAAAGATTATAGATTACAATTGAAAGTATCAGATTTACCAAAGCAGAATTGAGGTGTTCAAAAATTATTTTTTTTTAGAACTATCCATAGGCGATAGGGTACATGTAGAATTTATTGTCAGCAAATACATTATCACTGGCATCTTCACTTAGTCTAGAAAGATATAAACAAGGCCTGAAGTTAGATGAGCAAAGGTTAATGATTGTAAAATAGCCAGCTGCCACTGAGTGCCTGAAAAGCTGTTACGGCAAAGGGTTATACTGGCTATACAATACAGATACAGATACAGACCTACTAGGCCTATACAGGGTACACCCTAAAGACAGAGAAATAAGAACTTCAAATAAGCACTTCAAAAAATCATCTAAGAAACTCCATGACCTAAGGATGCTTGGCAAGGACAAGACACAGTGGAATCAAGTCAACGACAGATATAAATTGTATCTGTAGGATGTCTCTACAACAGGGTTATAGGCCATTGAAAAAGGACTGGTATTCAGTTTAAATGTCTAGATCATAAGCTCTATGGTAAAGTTGTTTTATGTCTTATAATGTAATCTGTTCTATTTCAGCGCTGTATGTATGATTTCATGTATCCAGGGACACCTGAAACATAGGTCACACTCCTGAGTGTTATCTACTGGAAAAATAAAAAGGAAAATTGAGGAATAAGGAAGTTACAAATTTACCTGGCTCTGCTTCATCTGTTCCTGTCTGCTCTGTTTCTGTTTCTTCACTGCTTTTGTCTCGTCCTAGATTACGTTCAACACAACACAATTTAACATTCAGAACATCATACTGTCAAATAATACAACAGTCAAACACACATAAATACTGGTTAACCTGACTGAGGGTTTCTACATTAAATTCCATTCACTTACGATCTATCAAAACAACATGAAGACAACACGAAGACAATGTATTCACCTCAGCCTGTTGGTGCTTCAACCTCTGTTCATTCTCCACTTCAGCAGCCTGGTAAATAAAGAGTATTTTGATCATTACTTCATTAACTGTATCACTTGATAAAGTACCTACAGAAGAATGCAACACAAATATTTGTATGTACAGTCCCTACAGCTTACCTTGTATGCCTTGGTGAAACGGACAAAGAGAGAGAAGAACTGGTTTGGACTCAAGGTCCGCGGACTTTCGCCGTAGTACTCCACTGCTGTTGTGTATGCTTCCTGCGATTGGTACATAAAAATACAACAAAATAAGCACCAAAATCACTCAAGATACTATTCATTCTGAGATATAAAAAAAACACAGGCACAAAAAATTATGAGTAAGTAGCCCTGCAAACCTAGACTTTCTCTTGTCATCTTTGTGTGGTAGGACGTTTATATAAATAACACTAGTGCAAAACACAACTTGCTGGACTTTGCTAGAAACATAAAAAGCTGCTGTTTTTTATTGTTGTTGTTGTTGTTGTTGTTTACCTGTGCAGTTTTGGCATCCTCTTGCAGCTTCTCCAGTTTGTCCCCAGACTTCTCCAAGAAGTCTCTCAAGATGGGGTTTTCGTTGAAGGAGAATTCCCTCTTCACCACCTCCATTCCTTTAAGGAGCTCTTGTACGTCATACAGGACATTCTCCAAGGACACTGGAAGGGCACAGGGTCAAACAGAGGTCAGGGACAAGTGAAGAGACAAGGAAACAGAGATGGCAGCCTTCACCCCCTTACCCATACCTCTACAGTAAAGTATACCTCTATTACGTCTTAATCTACCTTTAGCTTATAGTGCAGTCATCAACACACAGACCAAGGTCAAGCATAGTTTCCTCACCTTGAGAAGCCTTCTCAATGAACCTGAGTTCGTTGTGGAACGTGGCGATGTCCTGGTACTTCATGGCGACGACCCTGGCGATGTAGTGCAGCAGGGTCTGCTTCCTGTCTGTGGAGCGGGTGTCCAGGAGCTAGGGTGGGAGGGGGGCAACAGAGGTCATCTCACAGATCAACAGAGGTCATAAAGAAAATCAACCTTTCCTTGTCAGCTGGGGTAGGATGGGGCAGCAATAGTTATGTTATAGAACAACAGAGGTCATGGAGAAAATCAACCTTCACGTTAGGGTGGGAGGGGGGCACCTTCTTCATGGTCACTTGTGCAGTAATTCTAAAGAAACAAAATGACTCACTGTGTCCAAACTCTGCAACTTGAAGCCGTAAGCTGCTCCTCTCTTGGAACTGTTCATGTAGTTACCGAACGCCAGGATTATCTGACAGGAAAGAAATACATGGATTCATTGTTAGCATAATGTAGCCTAGATTGCACATCCAAATTCTACCTTCTGATTTTTTCTAAATCCAGTTTTCTAAATCCAGTTTTCTAAAAGCACTTCATAGTTTAATCTCAACAGGTGAAATCTACTTCTTGGATGGCTGGCATTACAAGTCAACATTTCCAAATAAACAAACAAACCTCCAGCATCTTCTTGAGTTTCTGTGAAGCCTTGATGGACATAGAAGCTGCTGTCACTGCATTCAGTTGCTGAAAAGCACAAGAGAAGAACTGTGTGTCAAACACACCAGCTTCAGAATCTACAAGCAGATACTAGCCTGTGTTACACAATCTCTCACTGTCAGGGGCTGATTGGGCCTCATCTCCAAGAGTCTACCTTGAGAGAACCATTCCCATAAATACCAATAGAAGCTTAAGATTCTTTATCATTATAAAAATCAGTCTAATGGGAACTGAGGATTCTCTATCACTATGGAAACCATCATCACAGCCCCCAACACCAAGTCAACAGGCAAGAGAAATCAATTTACGTTTGGATGTACTCACCGGCGTTAGCATGTGGATGTTATCCTCGAAGTTACCCAGGAAATTCATGATTGTCAACCTCTGTTGTATCCTCTCGATCTTGCTGAACTGTGGAGAGGGAAAATAGGAATTGTGTTTATTAAATTCTGATGATTGCTTTAACCTTTAGCACACTGAAGTAGCCATTTGGATAGTAAATCTCTATTAGTTACAAGATTAGGCAGTAGAGAGAGGGTGTAGCAGCTGATGTGTTGTATAGTGCCTGTAAAAAGTGAAAAAGCAGTTAACTTATAGCATTATTGAACAATACAAGACAAGATGGCTGTGACGATTTCTTATTAGTCACTGTACACTACAGCAGCAGAAATAGTGTATATATAATGTATATAATTCATCAATCATTCTCAGAATAGTTACACAACAAAATAAAAAAAATCAACAGGAGAGTGTTGCAAAAATATGGTGGCAAACAAAATCACCAAAACAGAGAAAGAATGGGATAGGAAAGGAAGGAAACAGAAAAGGGAAAACTGAGAAATAACCTGTAACATAAACTTGTCCTCATCGCTGAGTTTCTCTACCGGTTTCCTGTCTCTGATCTCGTACTCTCTGAATGCCTTCACCTGGTGTGGGACAGAATGGGAGGGTCAAACACAAAGTTGTGTACAACTTAGTTTTGAGTACTTAAAAAACAAAAGAAGTCTTATTAATAATACACTTAGATGGACGGTATGGGGGATGCAAAATGCATAATACATGTACATTTTTTGTACTAAAAAAACACAAAAATATCTTAGAGCTACAGAATGTGCATTAAAACACATGTCAAGACCATAAGATCTTAATTTGTTGGTTCTTGGATTTTTGTAGGCAATCAATGAAGCAAGTGGGGGGAAAAGCAGACATATACATCCTGTGATAGCCCCATATGCTACCATAGGAGTCAACATACCAGGCTGGATTATAATGAATGAATGTCAAACTTTTAATCAAACCACTACATTGATAATGAAAATAACTGTAACAACTAGGAAGACAAGGACTTTTTTCAACTGTTGGTGCCAAATTATGAGCATTTTGGAGTTGATTCAGAGCCTGGATGGTACATGTACTAACCTCCTGATCTGTAGGTACAAACTTGATGAGAATGTCCACCTGGTCAACATTCAGTACATTCAGGTCAAACCTGGAAGGGAAGAGAACATTTATACTTTGTTCTTTTTACTGTTTTTCTTTTAATGTTTAAAGTTAAGTACACTTACAAGTCACACTAATATAGCAAAAATACCGTAAGAATACACTTCAATGATAAAAAAAAGGTTGGTATACTGTACTTACATAACAATGGCTCGGAAGATCTGGTCATTGTCAAGTGCAATCTTCCTTTTGGAGATGGCTGCAATGGAAAGAGAGTGATCACTTTCAATCAAACAATTAATCAATCAATCAACCAGTCACTATTATATCTACCAGGTAGGCCTTTATGTTAGCTACTCTTGAAAGAGAGCAACTTTAAACAGTAAAATATTTGAGCCCATTGTACATGTATTTTAAAAGGGTCAAATGATCTAAAGCATCCAAAAATGAGTTCATCATACAAAGAGGCTTTTTCAACCCTCCTCTCCAAGGTTCTTACCCAGATTTCTTGCTCGGTTTGCGTCGATCAGAGTCACTTGGTCCCTCTTCCTTATAGACTTCTCCGATAACTTCTTGGCGACGGAATCCTCCTTGGAATCCAGAGGCTGGGCTTTTGTCTTGAAGTTGTCTTCAAAATCTGTCATGTCTAATTCCTATAAACAGAGAACAAGGCACCTTGTACTTAAAGTAAATGTCATTGCAAGTAACGGTGATGTAAAGCTTGTTGCAGCTTTTCTGAGCTAGCACCAAAAACCAACCTCGAAGTACAGGATTGTGAAAAATCTCACCACCTCTCTCAATTTTATAATCATTTCAATTTCTTGCTCAGTTTCAAATCCTAGTCATGCAACAACCACTATGGGCGTTGAAACTTGCAAATATGTCAAATCTTGCTGATTCTTTTTATTCTGTGTTATGACATTTTAATTTGATGACATTTTGATACTAGAAAAGACCTTGAGGGCCTTACCTCGATGACCTTGTCGTCATCAATCTCACTGAAGACGGTTCCCTTCACCTGGTTCGGTTTCAGCGCCACCCAGTTCAGAACCGGCAGACGGAACTTTGGAACGTGCTTCTTCTTGATCTTAAGGGCTGCAAAGAAACGTAAACTTCCTGGTCAATATTTTTTTTCTTCTTGGAACGAATATACTCAAAAGACTAGCTTCTAGGTACTGAATAAAGTTTAGGACAGCATCCCTTTTCAGTCAAGTCAGAAACATCAAAATGTATAAAATATGATCCTTATAGGAATCAAGACATTCAAAAAAGACTTTTTTTAAAATGTGTATTACAGTGTCCAAGTACCAAAGAATCAGCAACTCTCAAACTATAACTTTTGTATGACATTCTAAACAACAAAATAATACTAATAGTAAACAGTGGTGTTTGAAATTAACCTTACCTGCCATAGCTGCCCCAGGGAGGGGAGGAGGGGGTGGGGGCATGCCAGGGGGTGGGGAGGGGGAGGCACAGGGGGAGGAGGGGGAGGGGGTGGGGAGGCAAGTCGCCTGCTGATGATGATGGTGCACCTCCTGCAGGGGCCAGCGAACTTGGCCTTGGAACTTTGTTACCTGAAAAAAAGACAAAGGAAAGGTGGAACAAAGGTCAAACTTTTAGTCATGATACTTGGAAGACTTTTAACTCTCCAAGTAGTATACCCAAAGAAAAGCTGACAGAATAGCATGGCAGACAAAATGGAAAAAAACCTGCAAAACAAGCCTTTGCTGTCCTGTAATTTTGTTAGCAGTAGAATTTCAGATTCAAGTTCTGAAGAGAAGCAGTAACATTGTGATTCAGTCTTGCCAAAATTCTACTTGTCATGTTTTTGTGCATCTAAACTTTTTGGGTCAGCTATTTCCCAAAAAGGCAGCGAGCCCAGAGACTACAGCCCACCTGCATCAGTCTGGTAAGGTTCTGCAGGAGGAGGGGGGATGGAGAGGATCGGCGCCGCTCGTTTGTCATCGTGTTCCCCGGGAGACGACGCTCCGTCTGCCTCTTCACGGCGCTGAAGCTGCAGCTCCTGGAATCAGATACATCTCAATCAATCAATCAATCAATCTATCAATGGACATCTCTGGCAGCCTTACCTGTGCTTACAAACAAATTTTAGCTAACTGGAAAGGTATTTCCTGATGGGTCTTGAGTTCTGGGAGTGGGAATGGTTCTCTCAAGGGATTGTGTAACGCAGGCTACTTATTACAGGTAGGATCATTCGCTACTAGAAGATATACACTGCAGTTCTGGCCAATGTTGCTAGAGGGGGCTCCTTACCTGCAGCTTGGAGTCGAGCAGGGTTTGCTGTTTTAAGACCTCCTCATCCTTCTGTTTTACTATACGTCGCAATGTTGTCACTTCTGTGTCTGCTTTGGCACACGTGTCCTGGGGAAACAAAATAAGGTTCTGATAAAAGTGCTGCAAAACACAACAAGAAACTCTTTAAAATTTTTTTTATCATGATGCAGATGACTTCTTAGAACACACTATCCAGTTGTATATCGGTTTTATGTTTTAGAAACTCCTTGTATCACAAAAAGTGTTTAAGATGTCCCACCTTGAGAAGTTCTACCTCCCTCAGTGCCTCGGCCAGCTGCCGCTCAAGCTCAAGGCTTTTCACTAAGGAGTCCGCCTCCAAGTCTTGCAGCTTCTCGCTCAGCTACAAGGAACCGAACAAAAACATAAAGACGTTTCCCAGATGACTGCAAATTTATATGTGAGACCAAAATAAACTTATATGTGAGACCACAAATACAGTTATAATCTTGTATGTAACAACATAGTAAATTCTAATGTGAGACCATAGTTATAATCTCCCTGTGCTAAACTTACATGTGAATCTACACGAGTACCCTAAACGTACATGTGAGACCACTACAAACGTTCATGTGATACCACTGCAAACTTACATGTGAGACCTGTTCCTCCAGCTCCACCACTCTCTCCAGAGCGGCCGTCTTGGTCTCCGAGTCATCGAGAAGTGAGGCGACGTCAAACTTGTTATCCAGATACGCCTGGATCTGAACACCTAACTTGTCACTCTCTGTGTTCCTCAGTTTCTGCAATTACACGGAATATAATAGTTCAGGTAGGTTTCTCTATTTTCTTCTCTTTCAATGGCCAGAAACAACTTGCTTCAACCTTTACCAGGATGCATCTAAGCCATTTTACTTTCCAATTCAGGGAAAACTCTCTCATACACTTATACATGTACTATGGCAATGTCATGGGCCCAAGCAGATACATGTGTGCCAATGATCATACAAAATTTTTGATCATGTAAAATCTTTTTTTTTTAAAAGATTTAAGGATGACAGTTGAGAATATTATTAGTTAGGTTTATGTACAACATTTCTGCAGTGCATTAGATACTTTTTCAAAGTTTTTGTGATTTTTATTTTTTAGATAACACCAACCTCCAGGTAAGTATCCAGGCCGAGCTGAGTGAACTCATACTGCAGATGGACCCGGTAGTTCATGTCATCCACACTGTGGACCACGATGTTGATAAACTGCATACAGGCAACCTGCAACAAACAAACAAACAAACAACAGGCAGTTAGCTCACTAATCAACACACAACAAGAATCACTTATTATGATAATGGTAAATTATTTTACAAAAAAATCATAATGGGAAGACAAATGAAACCTAATCTTAAAAGCCGAACTGATTCAACAAAATCATGATCCATCCAGGTGACTGTACATGTAGTAAGCACTGTATGAATGCAACAATGGCACAATGAAAGCATTCCAAAAATACTTTCTGGTCCTAAACCTAACTACCCAACATTTCCTATCTCTGCTACAGCTAACAAACCCTGTTTTTTGTAGCTATCCTTACCATGAAGTCAATGTTGCTTTCCTCAGTACAGAAGGAGTCCATCAACTTTTCAAACCGCTTTGTCTCGTAGCAAACCTGGAGGGGGAGGAGGTAGAGACATTAATTGTGAACAAGCATATAGATCTTGCCTGTACTTCCCTCAATTCTCCTGCAAAGGAAAATACGCTGCTAAGCAACACTGACCAATTACGTTCAGACTGAGAATTGTCTTTTGCCAATTGCTGTTAGAGGCTGTGATGACTGGTTTGAATTGTAGTAAGTGACAGAAAATCCTCATGAGCTCCTGTGGATTTCTGTTCACTGCTATTCTGTGACCCACAATTCAAGGTGTCACAACGTACACAGAGAAACCAGAACAAATGTCCATTAAGAGCTTATCATTTCTACCATTTTTAACGTCTTAGAAGATGTCTTGACACTCAAGGAGTATGACACGTACCTCCTTGAAGTTGTCGAACGCCTTAAGTGTGATCTCATGTCCCCCCTTCACCAGACACATGGCTGCCAGCAGCTCAAGTACAAGTGCCTTGGTCCTACAGGAGACAACAACACAGGAGGTTCCAGCTAAAGTCTTCAAGTCATAAGGTTTAGGAGTAAACATCATGTATGAAGTGATATTATAGGGAATCTACCTGCAAAGAACTTGGTTTGCATTGTCATTAGAAGTACATGTAGGCGGAAACAAAAATACATGTAAAAATTTTTCAATTCACTTACTTGTTAACAACCAGAAATATGTGTTTTACTTATATTCCAGCTCCAGAGCAATACAGAAGGCTTCCTACCTGGGACTGTTGTGGTTGAGACTGAGGGCGATCGCCGTCACACACATCTTGTGGGCCATCACCATGTTAAACCCATGCTGTAGGACAGAAACAACAGTAACATATAGTTTAACATATGCAGGGCACAGTAAGATATAACAGAACTGTCTGCTGCTGTGTGCCAGTGAAGTTCTGGCAGAATACAAGACAGCAGGCCAGGATTGGAAATCCCAACTCCTAGTCCAGAAACTTCACAATGGCCTACAGATATATAATACATGTATTTACAAACAAACAAACTCGTAGTGTTACCTGATAGTTCATGATGGCGCGCAGACACATGATGCAGACGTGGACGTCCTCCCGTTCTCGTGTCGTCCCCACGTCCCGGTTCTTCTTGGTGGATTTCCGTGAGGGGCTCTTCGCATACGGGCTGGAGCCGACCATGCTTCTCAGACTGGAGTTGGCAGACATGCTGCCAAATGTGTCGTCTTTACTGTGGGGGGGTGGGGGGATAAACATGTGTTAGGATGATTTGGCATCAAGGCAGAAGAAATCACTGTAAGCTCAATAGGAAACCTGAGGGATAAACGGAATATCTAGAAGTTATCTGCATTTCAGACATATAAGTAACAATACTAATAGATTATGATAATGTGAGATGGGAAACTCCAACCGATTGTTCTTTTATTCCATATTCATGCTCAAAAGACTAAAAGCAGTCTGGTCTCAAAATACGAAATTTACATTAATCATTACAAATTCTTCATTAGACCTGGAACTCTCATCACATTTCCTTGTTTTAGTACCGGAAAAAAGGGCTAGCATCCAACAAGATAATATACTGTAAAGCATACTTACGACACAATCTGGATCTGTGTGAAGGTGAGATAGTCCACTAGCACATCCAGCCCAGAGTTCTCCTGGTTCAAAAACTCCTTCACCCACCTGTCAAGAAAAATGTCAGGGCCAAAAACATGCTTTATTTCTGCACACTAAATTCTCTTTTAGTATAACTATCAAAAACATGTTTGCTTGTTTGTGTGAGCCTTTGTTTATTGCTTTGTTTATGGAAAACAGGTCGATATGAACCTGGAAAACAATTTTCCAGAGTTCAGAATTGCTACAAGTATGTTATAGCCCTACAGCTTTCCTATACTTATGGAATATATGGAAAAGTTTCAAATCACAATGGAGAGAACTTGCTTGCTGAGATCACAACAAAATTTGCATCACACTCACTCAATGTTGTTAGTCCTGAGGGAGATCTCGATGTCTCTCAGCACCTGTGTTGACTCCAGCATCTTGCGGCTGCTCTTCTGGCCAAAATGGAGAAAAAACATCATTCTTCACCAAAAAATTGAAACTTCAACTGTTTTTTTTAACCACCACATAACAAGTCTCCAACCCTCAGGCATAAGGATGGGACAAGGTAAAGGTAATGTAACAAGACCCATAGCCACTTCAATAGGTGACCTGATCCTAGGTTACAGGTTACAACAGGTTATAAGAGTGTAACAGTGTCTCTTCTACCTTGGTTGATAAAACGTCATATTATCATAACTACTGACAGTCTTTCCTACCTTCTTGGCTGTGTTGACATCCATGTACCCCTGTAGTTTCTGTAGGTAGGTGTGGGGAGGTTCTTTAGCCTGGACTCTCTCCTGGAACACAACAGCAACAAAATTATAGTTAATCACCTTTTTTTATTGTTTTAAACACACACACACACACACACACACACGCACACACACACATACATACATGAACAATCTATTGCAATATACATAGTAGCTGCAAAATGGCCACTCTACTCTACTGTAACATAAACAGCAAGCAACACCTGTTGTATGTACCTATATGAACACCTGTTCTATCTACAGGAACACCTGTTGCCCTACCTGGCCAGTATAGTTACATGAACACCTATTGCCCTACCTGATCACAGATGAGGTCCCATTTCTTGTCGTTGTCGTAGCCTCTCAGCACCTTGGCCTTGTCTGGGGGGAGATCCATAGACGCCTGGGAGGGGGGGGGCAACATATCACATATTTGGTCAATATTTTATATTTCATATTTATATTTATGCTTCTGGAAATACATCATATAGTCCAGGAAGAATCCTGGCAATTAAATAAATCACTGTAATCAAACACAAAAGGACACACTTGGGAAACACTAGTAACTCAAATCTTGTTCATACATGTAGATGTAGATGTAGAATCAATGTGTTTATGATTGTTTCTTCCAAAAAGTATCATAGAGTACAACATGAGTTAGACTTGCTATTATTACCACAGCTGCTAGGGGCTCTTCATTCGGGTTGAACAGTCCTAAGCTGAGATCTCAATGAACTTCAAAACAATTGGCAGGGACTTCAAAAACCAGCTGCTGCCTTGTGCCCACAAAGCCCCAGTATCACATCACAGAGTAGTTATGTCTGAAGGTCAGCCTGCAGACTCTATTGTACAGAAATGTCTGCATACCACACAGTTTTCATAACAACAGTGTCATCAGGAGAGTTGGCACAGTTTACATCTGTTTAGTTGTATCAAGCCTTCATATCATAGAATAATACACAATACTGTGTATGAAATAAATCAGACAGATAACAAGTCTTTTTCTTCAGTTCACTGATGAAAGATATACTACTGTAGATACTCAGGGGTTAAAATACCCGGTCTCGCAGTCTCGCCGCGCAAGTAATTTTTTCTGTGCGAGACTTATTCGGAAAGCCAGGTTGCCCGGAGCGCAAGTTTACGGCCAGCAGCTTCTGAAATAAATAGTGCCGCGGTCCCGCCTGATTGACATGTGGACCGGTTCGGACCGAAAAAATTTATCGGTCCGGTCCGAAAAAAAAACGAAACGTCGGTGGACCGGTTTTTTGGACCGGAACAAAAATCCATACTAACTGATGATCACTAGATACAAGGAAGCCAGCCAGGAAAATGAAAATCCAGCATTAAAATAAAAGAAATTTACCTTAGTTTCCGTACCTCTCATTTTGCAACAATATTCTCCATATTTTCGTTACCGATAGTCATCTAGAAATCATAAAGGGAACTTTACAGGCCGCGTTTGGTTCGAGCCGAAAATAAGTGATTTTAGACCACATGGTCACACTGTGCCGCTACTGCCACACATAAATTTTCACTCGAAATGAGAAATTAGCACCCAACAAAACGGACCATTAGTTTCCCAAGGCTGTATTACTCTTTTGTTCTTGTGGTCAACTTGTTTTCTTTGCTTGAATCGCGTAAAAATACCAAGGAAAATACAAGGAAACTTCGGCAATCGGCCCGAATTTTGAGACGAGCGGCGGCCATCTTGGAATTTGTTGTTTATGCATGCCTGCAATTTGGCCCAAACCGCTAGAGGGCGATGTGATTGGTTGGGAAGTTTAATTTATTTTTTTTTATTTATGACGATTTACCACATTTGTGGAAGGATTGACATAACAGGTGACTATCACTATTAATGTATTAATATATTCGGTTCTGAGGTTTTAGCCATAGAGGACAGTAGAGGAGAAGTTTGATAATGATTAGAACGGATAAAATGGGATAAAATAAATTAAAAGAGGATAAATAAAATAAAAATAAATCTAAAAAAATAAAAATAAATCTAAAATCTAAAAAAATTTAAAAAATAAATAAAAAAATTTGTATTGGTTGCTATACATCTAATATTTAGCAATGATCATTTAGCAAAAATTATTTGGTACTGATAGTCTGGTATCCAGAATCAGGTACAGGTACAGGTACAGGTCCGGACCTGGACTCTGGACCTGGACCTGAAAGAGCGGAACAGGTACCCACCCATATGAAGGCAGCATTTTTTAATAAACAATGATGTTTGACAGCTGTTGTGTTTGCTACTTGATAAACAAACCTATTAATTGATAAAAAGAAAGGATAATGGATATTGGGTAGCAGATTTGAAGAATCCAGATCCTTTGAAATGGGGCAACCTGAAATCCTGATGGGGCAACCTGGCTTTTGACCCAGGTTGCCGCCCGGGCAACCTGGAAAAAAAAAGTATTTTAACCCCTGGATACTATATTGATACATGTACAAAGAGATGTCTAAATATGTTAGGATTAGTAGGAACCTTATCCAGTTGTTTGATTTATTTTGTATAATAAAAAATGCACCTGACTGTCTAACAATCATCAATAAAGTATATGTTACTGTCACAGAGCTGCATATAGTTTTGTTTGAGCCTTTGGCTGGCCAATTTTCATTGAGATCAAATGTTAATGGCCAGAGACAGACAAGATAGAGGAATCAACCAATCATCCGCAGACATCAGGAATTACATGATTGAAATGACCCTAACAAATCCACAGTTGACTTGACCAACACAAAGCAAAAAGGCCACCTGACAGCATTTTACAAGTCGTTGGTCAGGAGTGTTTTAAAAGTGGTCATCAGAACGTGTTTGAAAGTGTTTGGACCACAGAACCCGGAACACTTCATGTGAACTCATGCTGGAAATACACTTGATAAGTTGAGATTGCCACATTTTGTATGGAGACCTGGGACAGACAAGTTGTGAAGTGGCTCTCTGGACTGGACTGTTTCTCTGATCCTTAATCTGTAATGCCTTATGGTGTGTATGCTAGAACCAGTAAGACAAGAGCCATTTGACATAATACAACACTATCAACACTGTACATGTACATTACTAATTGTAACCTGGATGCCAGACTGTTTCCTGGGGAATTTCTAAATCAGTCTGCACATGTTGTAATCACTACACAAGCAGATTTCCATCTGTAACATGAACACACATAAATTCTTCCGGTATCACCCTCCAAAGCAAGTTGTCAAACAGTCACAACCCTGATATTTTAATCCTTTAAACTTTAAAGTCTCAGAGCTCGTACTGTCGTAGCCGAGAGTCCCAAAAAATTCCAACACACCAGTTTTCACAGGAATAATTTGTTACATGTAGTTGAATGAAGGTTTTTACATCCAGGTTAACAATACTCAAGTGAATTTTCGTGACACTGAAGAAGGAAGAGACTGAGTGATGGATGTCACTCGAAATGTTATCTTCAATTCTTATCCAGCAGTTTCCATTGGTCAATAACAAACAGTGGAGTTTGAGTTACCGTAACCTTCTCCCTGCTGCCTAACCCTGTAACCTATACAAATTTGGTACCAAAAGGCTACTTCAGTAGGGAGAGAGTTAACCAGTTGGTCAGTTTGAGTTGGTCTCCTGTTCTACATTCCATCTCACATTCTTTGCCCTGTAGGCTCTCTGTGGAATTCACTACTGGTGAATACTGTACATAGCTGCTTGTCATATTAAATATTTATCTTGTTTCTAAATAATGTATGAGACAACATGTGAATATAGATTCTATCGTCCTAGTTTTCTGCAAAACATAGTGATAAAAATGGCTTTGGGTATGGAGTGAAGACATTTCTTTTTTTTCTTTTTTCACTTTCGCAACTAAGTTGAACTAACAGTCTCCAGAAATGGTTTTGTCTTCAAGTACCAGAGATATCAGCCCAGGCTATGAATGAGGTGTTGAAAAATTTGTTTTTCCAAGAACTAAATACTAGTACTATCATATGGTGAAACTTGCTGCCACCAAGCATAGTAGGGGACCTAGGGGTAGTCATTACAAGATAGCTTTTAAAAAACTTACAGACTTTCTAATCTTCTGATATCATATCTCAAACTAACTAATCCTATAATCTTCGTTTGACCTAATTTCCAGATTCCCCTCCAAGGTTTCCACGTTACAGATAATTGCTGTTTGTTCGGCCGTGTATGTCCCTGGTCATTTTAAAGAACAGGTGTGTTTGTTTCTGTAGGAATACCTGGAGATTCCGTATAAACAAAAACAAAACATTCCTGAAGTCTGGATTTCACTCCAGGTCTTCAAACTCACATACCTAAACCTGTCTAAGGTGATCTGGGCTTAAAATACAGGGTGTATACTGGGGTACTTTGTGCACCTAAAATTGTAGCTGTGCACCCAATTTTTGACTGTGGGTGCACCAGTGCACCTAGTGTTTGTTTAAGGTCAATGTACTGCTATATACTAGTAGGCACACATGTGTTCTTAACATTTGAGTGCCATAAAAGAGCCTCTGGGCTGAAAGGAAACAGAATTATTTGATGTTGTGCATCCTAAATTTTCTGTGCACCTATCTTCAGTTAGGTTTTTGTAGAATCAGCCATGTCTCCTACACCTAAATTCTATGGCTTCAAAATCTAAACAGATAATACAACAATGAAGATTTTATCATTTCTTCTGACACTTGATTAAGAATATGATATACACTAGAAATGCAATAATAGGATGTTGTTTTATTTTTGTAGTCAGTCTTGATCAATGTATTCTACACAGGCTGGCACGTCTCAGTCCTCCTGACCTCCTTCCCTTCCAGCCACAAATGTGACCACAAAATTCCTCCTCCTCATAACAAGATAACAGCCTCATGTTCACTGCCAGGTGCCAAGGTCAGGTTCAGACCTGACAGGCTCCAGATCAACCTGACAATGACCTCTACTGGTCAAGGTCACCAACAAATATGGCCGCCGTGGTAATCCTGACCATATTTGGGTTTATTACAAAATTATAACCAACCAGAATGTGTAAAATTTCTGGCAATTATTCAAAACGACTTTATATATAACATCTGTGTCCATAATATCAGCAGGGTCCATAATATCGCCACCTTGAGAAATAGTGTGCTTAAAGACATTTTTACTGCAACATACTTTTGGTATGCACTCCTTCACACATCAAATGTACATACCTAGGGTATGTTGCAGTAAAAATATCTTTAAGCACACTGTTTCTCAAGTTGGTGATATTATGGACACGGATGTTAGACTTGGAGAAATCTTTTTCATCAAACTGGCAAAGAAACTTCAATTAAAATGATGTTTGAAAATACCAAATTCTAATCTTGCTTGAACAATCTACTAGTAAATTGTAATCTTGCCCTTGAACTTCCTTCTGTATTTGAATGATAAGGAGCTTCATGATTCTATAGCATACATAACTCATAGATAAACAACAGGCACATATTTCAGAGGTCAGAGAGTTGTGTGGTGTCTGTCACAGTTGTAACAGGCATGACTTGACTACAGTTCTGCAATGTTGGTGTGTAACTCACTTCCCTGTGTGGGAGCCCAGTTTATATAAACAACTGGCAATGACAGGAACCATAACTTGGTATAAAAATGATTAAATATCACAATCCCAAGGACTTTCAGAATACATGTAACAAACTTTCAAAACCTATATTTTGAAAGTTGTTTAGGTGACTAACTAAGACTCTGTTCATACCAGACTTATATTTAGCGGTTTCAACCGGTTTTTCAAAAACCCGGCTAAAACCCTTAGCGTTCATACCAGACTTTTGATAACCGGTTTTGTAAAAATCCTGTCCGGTGAATATCCAATTAATCGGCCATGACTGCAGTTTGAATAACCGTTCCTCCCGCTCTTCTGATTTTTGTCCTTGGCCTTCTTGCTTGCATGCCGTCTTCAGTTTGTTTTTTTACCTTAGTGCGGCACTGATCCTTTATCTTCAAGAAATCAGCCTCCTCCAACATTTTTGGTTCGGTAGAGCCCTCCCCCCCCCCCTAGCTTTCTCGAATTCGGCGACTGCTGCTCTCCAAACCTAAATAAGTATCAGGAACGTCCCGTCCGCCGACCAGGTTGCGTTTGCTGATTCCATCGCAAAATGAAGAAAAACCGTGGAAAAACAGTGGAAACGAACTCAAGTTGGTCAAAACAACGCGATCAAAAAAGCTTGGAGGTCGCACACGGCCAGGATGCTGACCCCGTGACCCCGGAATTATGACGCAAAAACCGGTTCAATAAACCCTTAGCGTTCAGACCAGGTTTTTCGGTGGAAAACCCCCACAAAAACCCCTCAAAAACCACCTCCCGAGGTGGTTTTTCAAAATCGGATTTAAACCCCTAAAAACCGGTTAATTTGCGTTCACACCAGGTTAAATAAAAACCGGTTTTTGAAAAACCGGTTGAAACCGCTAAATATAAGTCTGGTATGAACAGGGTCTAATAGAGAGGCCTCTTCTACACAATGACAAGTCTTGATGATACTTGAATTGTTACTACATGTATAATTTATAAATGTAAATTATACATAATTCCAGATCAGAATCAAGCCTAAGTACATATTTTATCTCTCGGGTTCAGAAATTTGACAGTGTCCTATCTCTACCATCCCTGCCTGCCATGCTGGGATCATGTTCATGTGTAAGACAGGGATCCCCTGGGTGCAGCTCCAGTCTGTACAGGAGTCTGTGTAAACACCAGGGTTAGACTGCTGTGCAGGGCTGACAGATGACTCCAGTCTGGACAGTGTAACATCTCTGTAGAGTTGGCCGTCGGCGTGGGTTGGCATGGTGTACCTCATATCCTGGTTGGCATCATCTGACATTCTCTACTAATATACCTCATCCTTGGGCAAAGTGACAGACCTACCCACATCCCAAATCATCGGAAACATGCTCCACCTAGTTTGTTTCAAACTTCAAACTCAAAGTGTGAAAATTCTACTTCTGGAATGGAAGTATTGTTTTTGGTGGCATTAACTTGATTTATGCTAGTTTGTATGTTTGTGTTCCAGACTTACGTCATCCTAATGAGCAAAGTGACAAGCCTACCAACACCCCAAATCATTCATTAAACAATTACGGTAGCAAATTTGGAAAATTGTGAAATTTTTTGCTGTCTTTTCTTGAAATTTCCTAGGTTTTTGCAGTGACTCACAAAAACATGTTTGTCTTCCATTATGTGTAACTGTAAACTTAAAATCCACAGCAAACTCCAACTCTGGCCATGCCATACAATCTGAGTACTGTGACCTGTAAAGAATTTTAAACTATCCTAGTCATCAAGCAGCACTTGGCAATGGATGTAAGAAAACCCCAGGCAGCCATCAGGACTAGTGGTTGTGTGGGAGGGCGAGTGTTTTGAAGTTCCACCCTAAACAGACACTTTACTACAGGCACAGCCTGTCTCCTGTTACAGACTGACTCACTTCAGGTGGTGGTGGGCGGACTTCAAGTTGTTGTTCAAGGCCAGAGTGTGACATACTTGTCCTCTGTCTCTTGCTATACTGCATACTGACAGAAGTTGTACCTTCACGAACAGTACTACTGTCTACAGGCAACATGAAATATTTAGAGGCGAGATCAAATATTTAGTGAAAAAATTCTATTGTATTCAAATTTCAGGAACCACTATATATTATCAACCCGTCAATGACGTGATAATGAATAAACGGAACACAACCTACTTCCAGACTTGAATTAAGTGGTGTTTTTAACTTTATGACATCTAGCTTTATTTCTGCTTTAAAATCATCTCCATATTATGTCATTGAAATAAACCTGTATGGCTATCACTGTAGATTGTAGCTGGCAAGTACTCTACTGCATACATTACTGTATACAATGCTCCCTACAGTAAAGAGGAACAGACCAACATGACAACAAAAGACTTAAAGCAAAGAAAACCAGACAAACAAGGTGCAGTAAAACTGCTGAACAGCCAGCCTTGTTTCAACACAGTAACACCAGTGGGATCACGTACTGGTAACTCAAGAGAGAATCTCAGTTGAATGGAGGCATTGTTGGAACAAGAAGTCAGAAGCCAAGAAAAACTGCATCAGTATTTAGTTCAGCAAAGAACAGGGTGAAGGTTTGGTAGTTAACCCTAGTGGGGTTACTTAGAGAAGTGTGAAATTGAAGTAATTGTATTCCTGTGAAAATTGCTTTTAATTTGCTTAATTACATAAACACTATGATTAGTAATACTAATTAAGGCACCCTGTGTTGGCATGTGCTGGTAGTGACAGCTGGCATAGCAAGAGACTGGGAGAGGGGGAGATTTTAAACACCACTGTACATATTTTTCTTTGACAATCTTTTTCTAAGAGGTTTAGGCAATAGTGACCTACATTTCTGACATACATAAAAAATTTTGGAAACAGCAAGGATGAAAATTTGAACGTAACATTGTATGATTTGGCCAGTTGTTTTTGTTCACGTCAAAATCCCTAATCAATACATACATTCCTTCCGGTCAGGAAGTTTGTTACAGGTACATTGATCAATGATCAATATTTCTGCAGCATTAATATAGCCTGACATAAACTGAGAAAACACACACAACCTGATGACAATCCACACAAGACACAACTTTCAACAATTCAACACTGAGATAAGTTTTTGTCATGTAGCTTCATTTTGTTTCACCTTTTGACACCAGTCCATTTGGTGATTGTCACCACCTCCTGAGAGTTCAACTTTATCAAGTTCAAGTTCTTCCTGTTGATATGGCCGTGCCAAAAACTGGCTGCCAAGAAACTCAGGAGGGGGCGTAACGTTATGTGTAACGTTTGTGTCCAACAATCAATGTTTGGGAGTAAAACAATCTACTGGGACAAAACTCACAACAAGTAGCCAGGAAAAAGAAAACCATCATTGATAATATCATCAGGGTCACCTTCATTAGATTTAGTTTTTCACAGAAAACACCAGGAGTTGGATATACCTGTAATGCCTCATCGATGTAAGTAGTTTTATATATCATAAATATAATCATGTGCCTGGGAAGACGGTACATTGTTGGTGTGGGCAATTACTAGTTACACACAACGATTTAGTTGGTGTGTTACACCAAGGGGCGATTATACCTGCTATACAGATTCAGATATAGATGACCAAAGATAGTACAGTTTCCTATCAAGGTTTACAGCTAGAGTTAGACCACCTCTGGATCGTATGTACGGCGGTTTGATTCCCGCCTTTGAGCCCTGATTTGCTTTAGGGGATCAAAGAGGGAAGTTACAAGACGCCGGTTTTGAGCTGCACCTTGAACTTGTTAGGAAACCCACCACACTTCCTGATCTGTAAGGGTACACCCATAATTTGTGTAGGATGACTCAGGCCTATTATTAGCCTATCACAGCCTGTACCTAATAACTTTAACTAAGTACAGGACTGGGTGTTACGTAATGCAGTGGTTTGTGAACAATTATGCGATTTAAATTCAGACAATACAATTTGGTGAGGCAGTTAAATATCATAATCACAGTGTTTACCATTTGTTTGTTTATTTGAGCCTTTGTTTATTCATATTCATTCATTATCAACCTAATTCTGTTTTAAGTTACAAATTTACATTGTACCCTCTAAGATTCAACACAAATTTCTTCAAGTTTTGGGAGGAAACAAAGATGAGTCATTGTGAGTGTAACAAACAGTTTTTCTAGTGTCCTTTCAGTCCACTCTCCACGCCCAGTTGTTGACCAAAAACGTCCTGGCAAACTTTCCAAACTTTCAAACTCTCTGTGTTTGCTGTAAACCCCAAAACACCTACAGACCAGACAGCGGAACACCCACAACAGCCAACAGAAGTGAGACGCCACATTTCCGAAAGGTGATGTTGGAAAACATCAATTGTTTCGAACGTTTTGAACAACTTCCGTATTTTCCGCCCCCACGAAGCGAGCCACAAATTATGGGGGAGGGGGGCGAACCACGGGGGGTCGACTCGGACTCGCGAAACAAAGTTTTACTCACCAAAACTCGGGCGAATCTCTCCTCTAACTCTCCCTGGTCGGGCATGGGACTCTTCATGCTTGCTGCGGTGGTGTTGTGGCGCAATGCCGGGTCCGGAGTGCTCTCTCCGTTCCCCATACTGAAGTTATCAGTGGCGGGCTCACTTCCGTTGTAGTGGATCTCACATCGGACTCCTTTTGGCGATCCTCGCGTCCCAGTTCAGATCGTCAACTTGATACAAGTTTTCTTATCGACGATTCCGAGCTTTCTGCGATCCTCGGGGGAGTTGTAGCGCTTCTTTGTCCCTTCAAACACAGCACACAGCCCTCGCGTGCAGGTCCGAACACTTGTAAACCGTTATAAACCCGGGGAGCGCGGTTCTTGTTTGCTCTTTTCTTGCGGCCTCCATTCAAGTGTCGCCCGAGCCAATATTGACCTACTTTGACCTCTCACGGGCGACACCTTGCGATGTTTATCCGAAGTGCAGGTCGCGAATGGCCTTTGGTTCAAGTTTGGACCGTTTTGGTCTTGTTTGGCTCTTTCCAAGTACAGAATCGTCATCACTAAAAACGATCTGATCATGTGCAACTATTTAGATGCAATAAAAAAACATTGCTGAATTGTATCTCCCATAGGAATACATGTATGTTCAGACTGAACTTGATATGTTGTTTCTGTTGCGGTTTCCATAAGGAAACAATATTGTTCCTGTTGCAGTTTCAACAGCCACTTCCTTCTCTGTAAAAGTTCACTTTAATCATAGTTCCTTTCTAAATCTATCCATCTGATTTTTCTTGCTAAAGTGCAAAAGGAAACCTGTATAAAACTTAAAAGGTGGAATTAATACATGGCTATACAGTCAAACAAATGAATAACGGGACTCCTAGTTCCAAACATTTATATTTTCTATCTCCAGGAACACAATCAACTGTTGGCACCTAAGCAAAGTTTTCTATACATTCTCTACATACTTCTATACATTTGGACTTTTCACAGTTGGACTTTATTTTCTTTGCTCCCATAACAACTGCAAGAAACAGGGTATAATCAGGATTGATATTAAAGCAATCAGAAAATGGCACGTTTTGCAAAAAAAAAAGCCAACGTGTCAGACTGCTACGGAGGTAAACAATCCTAGCTAACGTATTACTAGCACTTTATAATACATCTGACAAAAGTCTACCTAACAGTGAAATGCACTTTTACCCATTGTAACCTTATATACAAACTTTTCCCAACTAAATTTGTGTATACCGGTATCTTACAAAGAGGCTACCAACATCTTTTCAGATGGAAGGATGTACCATAGTTTGTCTCTTATATTTGCCTTGTTGTGTTAGATTGTCATGATCTGAGACTTATATGTACAAAATTTATCTTTATACATAATTATCTTGACACAATGACTATTTCATAATTATTTCTGCATAATTATTCTCACACTTGTATAGGAGTACTGACTCCATAATAATCTAAGAGAACCCACAACAATTTGTCTTGTCCACTTGCATTGCAGTATTGGCTTTGGTAACTGTTGCACAATCTAAGTCCTAAAATCCTTGGCATTAAGTTTTATACCTTCTAACCTTGTTTTATACAATATTATATGTACAACTTCAGGCAATGCAAAATCATGAGAAGATTTCAACTGTAATATTATGTAATTCTAGGGGAATCTTTTGATATCTTAGTGCTAAGTTTCCAGGTCAGTTGCATACATGCATACATGCATTCCATAATGTATTGCATTACCAAATCAGCATATACATGTATGAATATTTACATATACAACATTTCATCACAATAGATACCCGCATTAAGGAAGTCCAGCATAAGACTTAAGATCTGCATAGATTATAAAGCAAGGAAGCACTTGGTGTTAATTCCTCTAAAGAGGGGTCAAAAGTTGACAGGTGTATTGGCACATAATGGATATATTAAGTTCCTTTTGGGTCAAAGAAGGGACGTTATATAATCCTTGGTACTTTGGTCATTTTTTTCTTATCACAGGTTTGGAAATTTTGTCTTCCAAATTGTAAGGACTGGTCCACATTCGAAACCCTGCATTTGAACCTGTTATTGTATATGCATTTATAAGTTTAGATATCCAATGAAAAACGAATATTTCACACTTTATAATATCATTTTTAACAAGGAGAACTGGGTAATGTGATTGGGCTATGGCAAGAATGGCAAAAGCGTTTAGTGGCAAGAGCTGATGAGGGTTGCAATACCTAAAATTTAACTTCAAGATTTCTAGTTTTTAATCTTAGATATTGATCATTATTATTGATCAAATTATTGACTTCTACAGCTACTATGGACAGGATTGGGTCAGTGAGAAAAGCTAATCTAAGGGGCCACCAAAAAATGGTAACAATGGCCAGTGGTATCAATGTTCTAGTCAGCGGACCCCCCTAGGGTTGTCACATTTGGCACTCAACATGATGTTACGTCAAACTTGAGATGACAGAAAAAAATTTCAGGCTGGCTAGAGCAATGTGCAGAGGAACTTTTCTACATTATGCAGCTGGTGGAAGTTTGCCCTGCATAGTCAACAGTTTCACCCCGAGTTGTGCTTTAGACGCCATGTTTTCCGACAGCGCGCCGACGCACATCCGGTACTGGTCGCGGGTCAGGGCGGGATCACAGGTCTTGGAGTGGTAACGATGCACAAGGGCTGGGTCCATGGCACGGAACACCTGTAGTAGTACAGGGGGAGCAGACAGAGGAGCATTAGCATGGAGGCACACTGAAATGTGTTCTCAAGGGACTCTGAAGCAGGTCAAAGGACATTAAAATATTAACACATTGTGTAGCCCAAGAATGCTGTTTTTTGTACACTAAAACTATTTACAGAAAAATGCTTGTACATGTACTTCCTTTACCACTATCATACAGTCCACATCTTATGATGTGGACAGTAGAATATCAAACAAACAATCAATCAATAAATCCTTGGTCTTTATCTACACAGCCCACTGAACACCCCTATCAGCCTATAAATTACTACATTGTAGTAGCTTTTTTCAGGAATTCAATTAAATGGAAGGTCAACAGAACAAAGGTCAAAGGACAACCATCTGTACCTGAAGGTCACTCTTGACATGGCGCTCGTAGAGTTCGACGTCCTCACCCCCCCACCCCCGAATGTCCAGGTTGAACCCTCCGACTGAGCGGTAGTCCTGGTTGTACATACAGGCCATCCCGTAGCCATAGTACATCCAGAAACCTGCAGTAAAATAACAAATATATAACGTTAAAAATGCTGCTGGCTGAAAATAGTAAAATAGGGAGAATAATTTTCCAGGGGACCTTGACCACAATAGGGTTTTATTTGCCCTCTAGCAGACTCATGGCCAAATATTCACTGTATTTTTACCAAATTCCATAACCCCCTAGGAAGGCCTCAGGTACAGCTACATTGTAATTGCAATGACTTGGTTTGTCGGTACCATTGTACTTGTTGATATCCCTGAGGTTGGTGGGTTTGGGTTTGCCAGGGATTCCTTCCATGACAAGTTCAGGGTCGTACTGGGAGAACACAGCCGGGTAGAAAACCTGCCGACCCAGCTCAGCATTGTTACGACATCTCTGCAGAAATCCTGGAGATATGAGAGACATTCAGTCAGTCTGTGGAACATAAATACAACTGACTTATGTTACATAAGGTGAGGGATGCATAGGATAGAAAACCTGGAAGTCTTGTAACATTACTGATGACTATGTCTACTAGTAACCCATGCACCTCGCATGTTCAGAGATTCACACACACATGCACAGACACACATGCACACACATAGAGACACTGACTCACACATGCACACACATAAACACAATCACGCACACAGACAAACTAGTTCGCACACAAACACACACGCACAAATACAAACATGAACCCCCCAGACTCACCCTGATCGAAGTCCACATCTATGTCACAGAAGAACAGCAGAGCGTCAGGCGGCAGCTGCCTCGCTGCCAGGTCCAGCCCAACAGCGCGGGAAAACTCGCCCTCCGCCTCCACGTACCGTATCGTCGCCGCAGGATACTTGGCTGCGTACTGATCAAACAGCTGCTTGCACTGTTCCAGACTGGTCTGGTCCTGCGGACTGTCCCGGAACAGCACGCCCAGCAGGCTGACGGCAGCGCCAGTCTCCAGACAAACCTTCTCGTACACCTGGATAAACTCCCGCAGTCGGTCCGTAACCCTCGACAACGGCACAATGAAATGAACTACAGTTTGTTCCACGACGTTTTGAAGATTGAGCAGCCGTACGTGGGGACGGGTGGATCTCACTAGGTGGACCAGTTTACGCCCCTTCTCTTCCCCTTCTGACTTCACAACTTCCATGTCCAGGACATAGTCCATCCCTCGAAACGCATCTATCCTCTTGTACCCGGAGTGAAGTTTCACAAGTTTCCACTGAGTCTTCTCTTCCTTACTGATAATTCTGACAGCCTGTTCCTGTATGTCTTGTACATCTTCCTTCCACCTTCCGATAAGCCCAATTCTCGGATCATCATCCAGGTTTTCGTACAGGTGCTTCTCAGTGAAGTAGTACCACCGGATGACTTCGTACATGCTCCTGGGGTGAGACGGCTCTACAATCACGTCGTGTTTCCAGCAATCGGAGCAGAGCGCGCACAGGGGGCAGGGTTTGCAGTGCGCTGGGGTGGTCTCCTTCTCGCTCGACATCTTCTTGTACCGTTTTTCCTCGATGATGGAGAGGAAGGTGCTGTCGAACAGCCCGCGGAGGATGTACCCCACCACGATCCCCACGCACACCGGGATGAGCGGGAAACCTCCGGGACGTCTCAAACTTCTCCCAAACATTTCTGCTGGTGTCTTCTCGCTCATTCAAGACCTGCAGAGCAATGTCTTGTAGTCACTGTGTGGTCGCCTCATTCCTTCTCAAGATGGTTCCCTGAGAAAAACAGAGACGTCATCATCATCATTCATCTCATTTAGAAAAATTGAAATTAGCATTATTATAAAATCTTAACATAGAAAATTCCCTGCAACTTGAAGACGCAATTAATCCCTCCTTAAAGGGGCTTTCTTAAAAACCGAAACGTCTCTAAGACGAGCACGTTTTCGAGACGCCCCCTCCGCATATTGCAATCCTTCCCACCTGTTCCCTACATGTATGATGAATGGCAACCTTTATCATATGGTACCGTTATTAAACACTGGTGCCACAACCGCGCACTCTGACTTTATCATATTGATATTGACACATTGCTTAGCAAAAACATTACCGTATTTACTAATTCCATCTTCAATCGAGCATGAAATACGTTTTTTGGAGCTAAAAACCTGAGAAACCGGTAGCAACCTGCTGCAGTCTTCTTCGAGCTTCCGGAAACAGACGTGACGTCACGACAGCTCCGGAAATAGCCGAAGCGGCCCGAGGCACCGATCGTGACGTCATAGTCCGAAAATAGCCGAAGGTTTCCGAGGAGACGATCATTACGTCACATAGGATTAGTGCCTGAGTTTAGAACAAGGCCAGGACAAAGAGATCGCGGTAAATCTGCTTTTAAACCATTTTGACGTGAGGATCGGGGGAAATTCTGCCATGAGTAGGTGGTATGGAGTCCTTGTGACCATTTTAGTCGTGCTGCTGAATGAAGTAAGTGGTTTATTCGCCTGTTTTCATGCGATGTTTTGATCATGACAACTTGACGTTTTGTTGTTGTGGGGAGGGGGGCGTGGATCAGGAAACAAAAAACGAAACACAAGAAAGTAAATCAGCGTGATTACAATACAGCAAAGTTTTTCTGATTGTTCTTGAGAGTATCTGTTGTCTAAATTATGTAACGCCTAAATATCTATGATGACATATACTGGGGATGTGATCGAGTAGTGTGGCGATTTTGTAAAAAAAAGGAACAGAAACAAACAAAAAAAAAAAACAAGGAAGTAGATAAATTTTTAAAACGAAAACACCGCTGTCTGGAGAGCCGAGTTAACTGTGTAGAAGCCGAATAGGCGATTTTTTGGAAAATATATAATGATTGCGTAATTTCTTGATTGCCTTTAGGGTCTAAAACAAACGAACCACCCACCTTTATAAATAGCACGTAACAGACATGTTATGTAACCCAATCCTTCACATGTGGTGAACTCATAAAACAGTACTGCACTACGTATACCTGGTGGGTAGCTCATAACAATGGGAATTTTGATTTTGGACACGTTTTATTTTTATGATCACAATGTTGGGAGTCATACATTTCACAAAAATTATGTATTGAATGCTGAATTTACTAGTACTTTTAGTATATAGCTAACCATAGTTATTATATATGTTCACAAATTGCTCAAAACCAGGTTATGGAATACTCCTATGTTTTGTTAGAGGATTGATATGAAAAAAAAAACTGTCATGAATGCCAACTGTATGGCTGAAATCAGAATGAGAAGTGTTCTGTCTTCTGTGATAAAATTGTTGTTTTTTCTATCTTTCCCTCAGGTCAGCTCAGCGACTGAGTACTGTACCGGCTATGGTCACTAGTAAGTATCTACAGTACTGAACTACACAGATTATCCTTGATGATCTGCAGTTTGTAAATTGTGATAGAAAACCAGACAAATTGTTTTAAGGATCTGTAATGTGACACCATACCATATTATTGTGTGTATAGCGTACATATATAATATATTGTAAAGTACAGGACAGTATGGTTTGCTCTGGGTTCTTTGAAACAGATTTCAGTTGTATATTTAGACTTGAGCTAATATAGAAGGACAATCAGTCAATCGCCTGTATTTATCCTGGAGTTCCCAGATTGAATTCTCTGCATTTCAATGAACTAACATCAGACCCTATAGCCTAGGCACAGGGTCACTCTGAGAATCTGGTTTTATAACACCTTACTGGAGCTGGTTTCTAAGAAATCTAAGTCACCCAGACTCACCCCTCAGATATACTTTCTGGCGCTATATATATGTCACAAATATGTATAAATGTCTCTGGTATATGTGTGTAGATATGTAACTTGTAGTTGTAAGAACTGAGTATCTCTTTCACTTCTTCACTGCTGTGTAGTTGACTGCTTCTATCCCTTCTCTTCCATCTTTACGTTGGACTTTCTGTGGTAAGTTGTGAGTCCAGTTGTCTCTCGAGTAAGCAATGTCGGCACGGGCAGTTCTGTTGTCGCTACATGTGTTGCCAGCTCAGTCTCTTCTCCTACTATTACACTCACGTCTGGGACGTCTGGTACCTCTGGTGAGTCGTTAGCAGGGTCGTTAGGCCACGCCAACTCATTAACTTGGTTCTCGGACATTTTTAAAGAAAAAAAATTGTCAGGAGGTTAAGGTTATTAAGGAAAAATTGAATCTTGAGTTTATAAAAAAAAAACTTTAAACTGTTCTTCCAACCCAAATTTCCTGAAAATGTGTGTACCTAGGTACAACATTTCCCTCAGACTGTCGTTCCATGTTGCCAATCTAGCCTTCTGTTTGTTTGTTTGTGTTTGTTTTTAAATCCGAGAACCAATAACTGAGCTTGGCGAGGCCTGAAGCTGGTTAGTTTGTAGGGTTGACCATGTGTGCCCTTCTGCCCATAGTTGTGACCTAGCATATGAGCACTGCTGTGGATATACATGCTGCCAATATAGCTCCCCCGGATATGGATATAGTGTCTGGAACCTCTGGTACTTTTGGTAAGTCCTGTTTGCTTTTGAAATTTATTTTCTTGCACTTTTTTTTCCTTAGTTGAAAAATGATGACATTTTTTTAGTTTACCTCAGTTTACCTGCAATTTACAGATACATGTATTTTAAGTTGATGATGTATTCTAAGTAATTATAGTCAGAGCTGTCCAAAAAAACCGCTCAGTCAGAAGACTGATAAAAAAAATTTAGTCTATGTGGACAGGGCTGAGGCGGTCACTATAGACAAGATTCTTGTTTTATCAAAGATAAATTACCGTATCTAACTTCTAAGGGACTACGAAAAAGTGGCCCCAATGGGCAGGTGATACTAATTAATGTACATGTAGAGAAGGTCACTTGTACAGGTTTGTAACTACATATTTAGGCATAAAAGAACTGCAAGAACTTTTTAACTTAACTTAATTAATTATAATTGAGCTCACCATTAACGAGGTTTTCTCTGACAGGTTTGTGGTTATCTTCGTGATGATGGCGTGCTGCGGCGGGTGTGGCTACTATCGCCGACGACAACACCTCCTGCAGCAAACCCGGATGTCACAAGGTGGCGCCATTGTGTATGCGGGTGCTCTCCCCGGCGAGCACGTGTCGTCACAAATCCCGCAGCATGGATCGTCCCAGCTACCCGAGGCAGCAGCACCCCCGCCATACAGCGAGGTAATGGTATCTTCCTTTCTCTCAACGCTTTCCAAGTTTCCAGATGTTTTTCTTCTGTCATTTGTACTGTCGCAGGCTCTCAGAACAGATACAGGTTTCCAATATGGTATGCCAAGATTTATTGTTGTTAGAAATGATTCTGAGAGATGATTTTGTTTACCTACAAAGTTTGCTAAGTGTCAATATGTCTATACATGAAAACAAACACTGTACAATAAAAATAGAGTCTGATGCTACCATTATTTTTTCCCAGGTAACAACCAAGCCCGATGTCTACCCCCTGGCACCGGACAGCTTCCACTACGGTCCCGCCTACCCCCCTCCCTACCCCGTGTACGGGGCCTCCCCCTACCCCCCTCCCTACACCCCCTCAACAGATGCCACCCCCAGGCGGCCTGACACACCTGAGACCAACACAACAGCCGTTCCAGGTGCTGTGAATGCAGCTGCAGGCGCAACACCTGTCAACAACCCAAATATGGACAGTTCCAGGATTTCCATGACAACCAGTGTCGGCCCTGGCAACCCCAGCACGGACAGTCCCACCCCCGCTGTTGCCATGGCAACCATTACCCCTGGCAACAGGGAGGAGCACAGGCACTGATCACTCATGCCTCCCCACAAAACTCATAGCCATGCCTCTCATGCCACTACTTAGTTTGCTGGCCAGAAAATATACTGAAGTATAACGTCCTTTGAAAGACCATGGAGAAATGTATACGTAACCAGAAATGTTATGCCAGAAATAAAGAGAGAAGTGTAATGTTCTTTCAAAAGATATGCCCTGTATCTTAATGCACTATTATGCACTATAACATGTTGTGATTTTTCCAAGCAAAATTTTGGAAGATAATTTCAACATTGAACTTGAAGTGACCAGGGAGATATCATTTTAGAGTCCTGTGAAACAGGTACTCGTGAGTGATGTAAGTGTGAAAATGCATCATATTTTAATCCCATGCTTTTCATTCTTTCATTACATTTTTGGCCAAAGATTATGTCCCACACTGATGATTGAATGTATCCTATTGCATTAAGTAACTTTAACATACAAGTATGATGACATTTGTGGTACTTCCTGAATTTGTACAAATAGAAACACTGCTTCAAAATTCTTATTCTGACATCTGATGACCTCAGTGTGTGGTACGTAGAGATAGATGTGGGAATATTGTCTGTGAAGCTTGTCAGTATTTTAGCTACTCTCCAAGCTGAGGTTTTGGGTCCAGGCTATCTTGTGTTTTAGGCATTTCTATGATTCTCCATTTCCAATATGTAGCGGCCATGATTGCTTTTATTCAGAGGGAAGAAAGAAATTGATTGCACTACCAAACAGAAAATTGTAGAGAAGGCCTCAAAGAAACAACAAAAGATCAGCCCCTGACCAAAACCTCTCGTTGGGGAGTATACTAGTATTGTAGCTGCTGTTACCAGTACACAGTGAAATGTGTAATAATGTTGCATTAGCACCAATTTATCAGCCAAATGTGAGTGGTCTGGGTTAAAAAGGAGATGCCAACGATTATTGATTTAGAAAAGCTGTACATAAGCTGCAACTAATGTTGCTATTGTTCCTCTAGTTGCATCAAGTCTTAATACAATTTTACATTTTATCTGTGATGTATAAAAATTGTATTTCAGTGATGACATAATGTAACAATTGTCTCAGATTGTTTATTGTAATTACATATGTAGATTCAACTTTAACTTTAAGCTAGAAAATGATGGAGAGATTGAAATCAGCACCATCTTTGATTTAAAATCCTTTCAAAAGCATGGGTTCTCTGTGCATATGATACATGAAGTCTAAATAAACTTTTGGTTAATTGGTTATTCATTTTCCTGTCATCATTGAGAATTAAACTTCCTTACTATTGTTTGAAATTTTACCTGCATCTTGTATCTGTACGAGTGTCTAACGTGTCATTTAGGTACACTGCACTGCTGACAAAGTAAGACACAAGTACTGAAGCAAATTTAGCTGACACTTTTGCCTGAATACTTTGGTACTTTTAGAGAATTGTTGCATGACTTTAAAAACTGGCTCAAGGCATCAGACATTAGTTTTGTATTGTAAGTAGGTAAGTTTAATTCACTCACACTCACACAGGATGGGCCCCTACTTATTTCAATACTTTTAAGTACATGGTGAATTCTTCAACTTGCTTGAGGTGTGGCTCACTAATAACACAGGACTTGTGGCTTAAAATCCCATCAGGACTACCACCTTTTCACGAGCGTGTAAATCTGTGGGTTCATGAATAAAATTAACCAATTAAAACAAAATCACATTGGCAAAATTAATTTTCTACCATATACTTTATTACTCGTAGTACTTGAAGCATGTATACAACACAGAAATCATCACTTGCTCGGAAGTATGATTTGCTCCGAATAGTATTAATACAGGTACAAAATGAACTACTTTTATACTTCAGTACAACAATTCAAGACAGACTACAACCCAACCTAACATCTGGGTTCAAAACTCGCTTGTACTGGGAAAAGATAATAATGGCAATACAACAATGCGTTTTTTAATGAGAAATGTCAAGAATATTCACCTTTACATGTTACACCTTTACATGTTATATGCAAAAATATGTGCCCTGCAAAAATATGTTAGTGCTAACACCCCTATCATATGTGTTAATATGTACATATATGACAGCAAGTATTCATTCTACTGGTACACATTTATCATCTTTCTGTATATTTTGATGAGTTGTTGCCCTAGCTGGCATGGAGATCTCTCTCCAAGATACACGTATGGGGATGTGAGCAACCTGGTTAATTTAATAGATAAGATAAAGAAAATTATTCATATTTCTGTGTGCCCCAATCTGTAAAATGCTGTCCACAATTCTTGTTCTAATCAGAAGCTCCTTCAGAATTGTCTGCACAGTCAGAGTGAGTCTTCATATGGTTGTTCAGGTGGTCCTTTCGGCTGAATTTCTTGGCACAATGCTGGCAGCTGTAGGGTCGCTCACCAGTGTGGGTCGACTTGTGCCTCTTCAGAGCACTGGCCTGGCTGAACCGACCGTTACACTCGTCACAAGTGTACGGTTTCTCACCGGTGTGGGTTTGCATGTGCTTCTTGAGGTACTCTTGCGATCTAAAGCATTTCCCGCACTCTCCGCATGCATGAGGTTTCTCCCCAGTGTGAATCAACATGTGTCTCTGTAGATGTGCCAGCTGACTGTGCGGCTTCCCACACTGAACACAAACAAACGGTTTCTCACCCCTGTGGATCTTTTTGTGTACGCGTAAGATGGCCTGTTGACTGAACTGTTTGCCACACTCGTCACACATGAAGGGTTTTTCCCCAGTGTGAGTCCGTAGGTGAAGGTTTAGAGCGCCGACCTCGTAAAAGCCCTTTCCACACTCGGGGCACTTGTGGGGCCTCTCGCCAGTGTGGGTTTTCATGTGGACCTTCAGGTGCTGACTTCGGTTGAATCCCTTGCCACACTTTTCACACATGAAGCGTTTCTCATCCGAGTGAGACAACTTATGTCTCTTCAGGGATTCTTTGTCTACAAACGACCTGACGCACTCGTCACAGTCGTAGGGTCTTTCACCGGTGTGAGTTCGAACGTGGCTAATCAGCTTGGATCTTGTAGTAAATCGCTTGCCGCACGTCTCGCACTGGTGGGGTCTCAACTTCGCCTCGCTGTCTTGTTCAGTGTCTTCTGCACTTGTGCCTGCAGCTGTTTTCTCCCCACTGTGTTTTGCACTTGCACCTGCAGCTGTTTTCTCCCCACTGTGTTTTGTTTTCATGTGCCTTTGTTGGTGGTACAGTTGACTGAACTTTTTCCCGCACTGCTCACAAGCATATGGTTGGTTCCCAGTGTGGGTATACATGTGCACCTTTAAGGCTCCCTTTTGAGTAAACTGCCTGTCGCACACGTCACACTTGTAGGGTTTCTTGTCAGTGTGGGTCGCCATGTGTCCCTGCAGAGAACGTTGATCCCCGAGGACTTTGCCACACACCTCACACTTGCAGGTTTTCTTCCCGGTGTGAATGAGCATGTGCCTACGGAGGTAACGACGTATAGGAAAGCTTTTATCGCACTTGTCACAGCTGAACGGCTTCTCAACAGAGTGAACTAGGACGTGGGCTGTCAAAGCTTCTTTGTCCCTAAACTGCTTCTTACACGCGTCACAACTGTAGGGTTTCTCCCCGGTGTGAGTCAGCATGTGTGATTTCAGGCGGGATGGCTTATGAAACTGCTTGCCACATTCCTTACACGTGCGGCATACTCCTCTCACTTTTTCTTGCCACCGCTGCCTTTCTCCCTAGTGCACGTTTGCATGTGAGACTTCAGTTCCCCTTGTAGCCTGAACCGCATGTCGCACTCCTCACACTTGTAAGGCTTCTCACCAGAGTGGATCAACTTGTGTCGGTTTAGAGTACTCCGCTGACCAAACTTCTTGTCACACTCGTCACAGCTGTAAGGTTTCTCCCCAGAGTGACTTATCAAGTGCTTCCTGAGGGCAGAGCCACCACTAAAGCACTTGCTACACTCCTTACAACTGTAGGGTTTCTCACCAGTGTGGGTCCGCATGTGGGTCTTCAGGTGGTCCAATTTCTTAAACTGCTTGCCACACTCCTTGCACACGAGGGGTTGTCTTGGACTAAGCAATCTTTTCCTCAGGTTACGTACCTGTATGCCCTGAACACTTTCCCATTCGTCATCCTTGTCACACATGCTGGGTTCCTCATCAGTGTGAGTTTCCATGTTGGGTACCTCTGTTTGAGTTTCTATGTTTGGTATCTCACCAGTTTCCTTGAAGGGTTTTTCGTTAGCTTCCTCACTGGTGTGAGTTTTCATGTGTAATTGCTCACCATTGTGAGTTCCCATGTTGGCTTCCACATCATTGTGAGTTTGTATGTTTGGTGCCTCACCAGTGTCTGTTTGCTGGTCTGTCTTGAGCATGAGATACTGTTCCCTGATGAATTGCTTGCTGCTCTCCTCACAGCTATAGACTATCTCAGTGTGAGTTGGCTGTTTCTCGTCAACAGCGTGAGTTGGCATGGAAGGTTTGTCAACGTCACCAGGGTGAGTTTGCATGTCAAGTTTCTCACCAATACAAGGTTTCTCAGCAGTGCGAGTTTTCTCAGCAGTGCGAGTTTTCTTGCGAGCTTTCTGACTGGCGTGAGCTTGTTTCACATGTAAACCCAACTCGCCCAGTTCACCAAACCTCATGCTGCATTTACTACACATGAAGGGTTTCTCGTCAAGCTCTTCCTCATCAGTACTCATGTAGTTGTCATCAGTGGGTGTTTCCATGCTGGTTGTCTCACCTGTGTGAGTTTGGACATTGTTTGTTGCATCAGGACAGGATTCACCCCCTTCCTCACCTTGGTTCAGGCCCTCTTCATCAAAGCTGATATTAGTTGCCATGGTAATGATGGATGTGAATGTAGTAGATCTGAAACAATTACAGAAGGTTTGTTTTATATAACACCTCTATATAATCATATGAGCAAGGTACAAAAAAATGCCTAAAACACTGTGAGATTACTTTTAGTATACAACACATCTTACATCTATAGAATACTGAACAAGGCCCTCATAGGACATCACGTCCAGGACTGGTGGACGACAACGTGCCGCCGAGGGGGTGAATGGTGCCCGTAAAAACGCAACTGCAGGTTTGAAACTTCCCCCCCCCCCCCCCATGGAAAAATGGAATCTCCCGGGACCTCCCCCAGTTTCCCTCCGCCCCCCTCCCCACCCACAGGGCGAAACCTTGGCCTCTGATTTGTGGTTAAAACACGTAGTACTACCACAATAAAATATTTACTGTTGCGTAGTAGCACACACATTTGCACAACGACAGGTTTTGGGACATTGGTGTATACGATAGCGTACCCACGCGATTTTCGTCCACATGAAAATTTTACTCTTTCAGTTGCTTTCCACCCAACAAAAACGTTTTCTGAGGGACATTTACATACTCTCCTTACCTTTGGGTTCACGTAAATCGCACTGAAACCACCTAAACGTCCTCACAAAAGCCATGATAGACGAGAAATGCGACCGGCGCTTGTCTGCTTGTCCAAGCTTCAGACCGGATGCCGATCGGCGATGACCCGGAAGTGATCTGCGCGTCAGGTCATCAGACTGCTCCTGCTTACCCAGTGCAGTCGACGTATGTCCGCCAGACAGTGTTGAAAAGAAAACATGCATATGATGTCCTTGCTTCATATTTCCAAGTGACTGAAGTAGTCATTTTGATCGGCTGTCAGTGTGTCTGTCTGTGTTTCTGTTTGTCTCTGTGTGTGTGTTTGACCTGTGTAAGGGGTGGGGGGGGGATCCAAATCCATTTTTAGACATCCCTGTAGTTATTTGTGCCAAACTACTCATGGCAACCTTCCCCAATGTACATGTAATTATTGTCCTGCTTCTATTGAATAAATTAGGGAATCATTATCAGTGGTTCAAAGTATTACTTTATTAAATCAATCCACATTTAATTTTTTTTTCAAAAATGTTAGTACAATGTATTATCTACTACAGCTGTAAGACACAGCAGTCACACCAAGGACCTTTTACTTTTAATTAAAATGTCCTTGCATACACTAACAATATACTACTTCAAAAATTAATCTTAAGTTTTCTCAACAATGCTAGTAACATGTTAGTAGAGTTACATGTTAGTATTTAAATATTTATCTCAAATTTTCACAAAAAAAAGGTAGTAGATCTACTATCTACTATAAGTATCTGCTACATACATGTACAACAATGGCAAATAAATGGCAGCCCCTGCTATACATTATAAATGTAATACTAACGTGAACATTCTTTTTAAAAATTATTAAACCTTTTCTAAAAAAAATGTTAGTACTATCTACTACAACAATGAGCCAAGAAATGGCAGTCCCTGCATTATGCATGTAACACTAACAACATTCTTTAAAAAATCAATTAAAAGTTTTCTAAAAAAATGTTCCTGTCCTGTTAAATGGTTCTTCTGTAGTGTTTCTCACTAGTGTGAGTTTATATTCTGTCATTTTCACTGGTGTGAGCTTGTACGTGTTCACCCAGATCTGCCAATTGACTAAACCTCTGGCTGCATATACCACACATGTAGGGTTTATTGTCAGTGTGAGTTTGCATGGATGGTTTCTCACCATTGTGACATTCCATGTTTGGTTTCTCACCATTTTGAGCTTGTTTGGAGGATTCTACAACAGTGTGAGTTTCCATGTTTTGTTTCTCACCATTTTCAGCTTGTTTGGAGGGTTTTGCAGCAGTATCAGATTCAATATTGGGATTCTCACTGGTGTGACATCTTTGCATGTGTCTTTTCAGATTAAGGCGTTTACTGTAGCATCTGCTGCACTTTTCACATTTGTGAGGTTTCTCACCACTGTGACGTCTTTGCATGTGGCTTTTCAGATTACGTCGTTTACTATAGCACTTGCTGCACTTCTTACATTTGTGGGGTTTCTCACCAGTGTGAGTTTCTTTGGAGGGTTTCGCAGTGTCAGATTCCACGTTTGGTTTCTCCCCAGTGTGACATCTTTGCATGTGTCTTTTCAGATTATGCCGTTTCCTATAGCATTTGCTGCACTCCTCACACTTGTACAGTTTCTCACCAGGGTGAGTTTCTTTGGAGGGCTTCACAGCAGTGTCAGCTTCCATGTTTGGTTTCTCACCATTTTGACATCTTCGCATGTGTCTTTTAAGATCATGGTGGTAACTGTAGCATTTGCTGCACTTTTCACATTTGTGTGGTTTCTCACCAGTGTGAGTTTGCATGTGCCTTTTAAGATCACGGTGGACAAAGTAGCATTTGCTGCACTTCTCACATTTGTGGGGCTTCTCAGCACCAGTGTGAGTGAACATGTGTCTTTTAAGATCACGTTGGTAACTGTAGCATTTGCTGCACTTTTCACATTTGTGTGGTTTCTCCCCAGTGTGAGTCTGCATGTGTCTTTTGAGTTCACAGTGGTAACTGTAGCATTTGTTGCACTTTTCACATTTGTGGGGCCGGGGTTTCTCATAATCACTAGTGTGAATGAACATGTGTCTTTTTAAACCTATCCGGCATCCTGAAACTTTTGTCCGCATTCTTTACAACTGTAGGGTTTCTCGCCAGTATGAATCCGCAAATGGCCCTTTAGTTGATCAAGCTGATTGAACTGCCAGCCACACTCCTCACACTTGTACGGTTTCTCCCCAGTGTGAATCCTCGTGTGTTTTGTACAAGCACTGGAATCACTAAACTGTTTGCCACAATGCTCACAGTGGTACGGTTTCTCACCAGTGTGAGTCCGCATGTGCAGCTGTAGATGACCCAATCGACGGAACTGCTTGCTGCAAACTTCACAGCTGTAAGGTTTCTCACCAGTGTGAATCTTCATGTGTTTCCTTAGGTAATTATTTGTTTTAAATCGCCTTCCACACTTGTCACACATGCAGGGTTTCTCATCTGTGTGGGACACCATGTGTTGATTTAGGTTCTGCGTGTTACTACAAAACAGTCCACACTTTTCACACATGTAGGGTTTTTCACCAGTGTGCATTTTCAAGTGTCTCTTTAGATAAGGTATTGATATGAACTCCTTACTGCACAGTCCACATTTGTAAGGTTTCTCACCAGTGTGGGTAAACATGTGATTTTTTAGGCTACCTAAGGCACCAAACTGCTTGCCACACTCATCACAGTGGTATGGCTTTGTGTGAGTTTGCATGTGAATATTAAGGTTTTGTTGTGCTCCAAACTTTTTCCCACACACCTTACAACTGTAGGGTTTCTCCGCTGTGTGAGTTTGCATGTGTACCTTCACAGTGCCCTGATGCAAAAACTTCCTGTCACACAATGGACAGCTGTAGGGTTTCTCACCAGTATGAGTCCACTTGTGTTTCTTCATTTCACTCAGTGTAAAGAACTGCTTGTCACACTCCTCACACCTGTAGGGTTTCTCATCAGAGTGAGTCCTCATGTGCCTTTTGTACACACTAAGGTGACTATACGGCTTGCCGCACTCCTCACACTTGTAGGGTTTCTCCCCAGTGTGAGTCCGCATGTGTTCCTGTAAGGGACTCAGCCATTTAAACTGCTTGCTGCATACATCACAACTGAAAGGTTTCTCACCAGTGTGGGTCTTCAGGTGTCTCTTTATCTGACTCAGATCACTGAAGAGCTTTTCACATCTCCCACACTTGTAACCTAGAATGACATTCTGGGGTGTTGCAGAAATCTGCGTGTAGGGTGTCTCACCAGCCTGAGTTTCAATGCTGGGCTTCTGAACAACGCGCATCTGTGTGGAGTGTTTCTCACCAGTGGGTACCGGTATGAGCAAACCAGGATCGCAGGGGCTGGCAGGAAACGTGAGTCCAGAGCCGTCTTCACATCCCTGAATCCTGCAACCCACCTGTGCCTGACCTATGGCAGAGCCTTCAGAGCCCGTATAGGACTGGTGAGCCACAGCCAGACACACAGAATCTGGCGTGACATCAGTGGTCATGGTCGAGAATGGACGAACAACCACCGGGATCTGTGTGGAGCATTTTTCTCCAGTGTACAATTCCATGTTGGCTTTCTCACCAGTGTGAGTTTGCAACTTACTAGTGTAATGTTTTTCACCTGTGAGAGTTTCTGCGGGCATGTTATTAGGCGTCTGATGACTAATACGTATCTGCATGGAGGGTTTCTCACCCGTGTGAGTTGTCATGTCAGCCTGTTGATAGCTGAAGAACACAGGACCTTCCTGACACGGATCCAGTTCTTCACTGTCAATCATTGTTGTTGCCATGGTAACGCTTGATCTGGAAGCAGAAGTTCTGCAAAACAGCAAATCTTTCTCTCAGCAAGTAAATCACATTTTCAACCATCTTGAAACCATGGACAGAAGGAGGTTCAATTTACTAGTAACTGATTGAACCTCCCTAGTAAAACGGTAACAGAAAAAGGAAAGGATACCTATAACTTCTTTTGTGTAAAGCTGAAGTTACCAAAAAATTTGCAATGTACATATGCTAAGATAATTTGGCAGAAATAAAATAGGGCATCTTTAGGGTGTCCTACCAAAGAGTAAGGCGTCCAAATATTTCTCACTATTTTTAGTTCAGGGTGTCCAAAAGACACTCTGGACACCCCTAGCTAAAAGCCTGGTTACAAATCTGTCTCCAGGCAGATCCTAAGGTGGCCTGGACAGGCGGGTCGAGTCAAATATTTGGACTGGACAGGGCCGCAGGGGGTTAGGTCAGAAGTTGATTAAGACCTCTTCCACAGCCCAATAACTACAAGTATAAAGACGTAAAAAATGAGCTGAAGCATAAACATCTGCTTGTAGAGAGTAGTCAAATGTACAAAATTGAGATTTCTACATTTCCTCCCTACCTGAATGTTGGTGTGTATCGCAAGGAACCCTGAGAAACTTCCGATAAATCAGGAAATGGAAGACCTGGGCGGCAAAACTTTCCACGCCAGACCGACTCGACCAGGCTAAGGGAGGAGGTCAACAGACTATGACCCGGAAGTACTCAGTCCTGCAGGTCACTGACAATACCGCCTGATTACCCAACACGGTCTGCGTGTGTCCGCCAGACGGTGTCGCAGGAAACTTTCGTCTTCAATTTTAGAACTACCGGTATTACTTTAATGTCTATCATATGTTGGTGAAAACAATAAGATCCTTGGTGAAAATGACGCTTTACTGTTTACCCACCTACACATAAAAGGCTCTAGAAGGCTCTGATAAGATGGACTCGACCATGTGGTAGTGCATGTGGGGGTGGGTAGGAATTTGTCAATAAAGGGAAAGTAGATTACTGTAATTCCTGATTTGTTCACTGTACTGATAAGTTCACTGTTTTCACTGTCTCTTGTGTAAAGTGAACTTATCATTACAGTTAACAAATAATTCCTGGATTTTCTTGTTCCTGCACTTGTCACCACCGTGAACATATAGTTACGTGAACACCTCCATTTTTCTCAGACCGTGAAATTTTGCTACCGTGAACATAAAGTGAATTACAGTAGACTGCTTCAATTTAATTTTGGGGTTTTGTCTACTTTTGATTTGTTTTGTTTTGATTTGATTTGATTTGTAAATGAATTAAGCACGAGACACCTAAATAAAGGTTCATCAATCCATCTATCCATTCATTCATTCATTCATTCATTCATTCATTCACAATAAGAAGGGGTACAAAATATGAATACAAGGGTCACTTTTATTGATCACAAGACTAGACCAGTCCTCAAAGAATACAAACAATATTTAGGTCGGACATTTCAGATAACATCTAACGTTAATAGTATCATCAGTGACTGAGAATGAGTCTGAAGAGAAATAATGTAACTGTTACCATTTGAAACAAAAAAATGACTTATCCAGTTGTTCCCATTTATTTTACATTGTGCAATGTTCCCTTGATTTAATTTCCTTGTCAATGTCATAATTCATAAACCTTGTGAAACAATCTACATAATTCTGAGTAAAGTACATGTACATATTCTCTACCATTATCTATCACCAAGTGGGTTCTCAGTGCAGAATAATTTGATTTGTTACTTCTCAAATTTTTCAGGAAATCAATGAAGCACAGTCCGGGACAGAAAAAACTGAAAAAGCTTAAGGCAGACTAGTCAAACGTGTTTTTTTGCAAATCTGAAAGAAATGAAGGTGTGATCAGAAGACAGATTGAATCTGTGGAAAGCACCAAGAAAACATTCATGTTTCATCTGTTATGAACAGAAAAACACTCTCAGATTCTGAGCCAGAACATCTTACTCTATATGCAGACAGTAACTTCCCTTCACCACCATTTGAACCTGAAGTGATAAAGTCTCTTCTTGCAGACAATCTTGCTTTTTCTCGATGCCGAGGCATCAGCAAAAGACTCTGGCTTCTCCACGACCCAAAACTTTTTACACGTTGGTGCCCCGCCTGCCTCATACTCATTAATACACTTGTACCCCTTGTCTGCCAGGTCCAGAATTATACACTCTATAAGATCTCCTTCCGTCGGTATCCCCACCCACGGTCCGAAACTCGCGATTCCTTCTTGTTCCTTACATTCATGTTCCTCTACGTATTCCTCCGCAATGGTTGGATCCAAGTCAGGATCCTCTTGTCTCGCTTTGACCTGTTCGAAGGCGTTTTTGAAGATACAGACGGGGACTTTGGAGTAGCGTCCATACGCGGACATGGCCTCCTTCCTGGCGTGCTCGATCATGCGCTCCAGGTTCTCGGTGTAGCTGGGGATCTGGGAGAGGAACTGATGGCGGATGTGCTCCCCGAGCTGCTCCATAAGCGGCAGGATCCCGTAAAACAGCGCTTCCCTGTACACCTGGGGAATAAAACATACAAGTTTTACAACACCTTACTCTTGTTATGGGGTAACAAGTACAAGCACATTAAACTTGGGACATGGTGTAAAGAAGTACCTCTGACCTCTCTGCTACATTTAATTATATCAGTAAGTAGTCACAGCTTTTGGTTATCATTAAGCAATTGACATTTAAGCTGTTATACGTATCTGATGTTGTATGTATTTGCTGCCTGGGTATCCCATTGTATTGTAATGTTTACAATTCAAATACATAAACAAATGGAGCTGTTGTAGTTAATAGTTATTACTATATTATTGATAGTACAAGTATTCTACTTAGGATGTGAAGGGCTCCAGGAAGACTTGTAGACTCATGTTGTCTCACTAATGGAGTTTCCTATTACTAAATAAACATAAACACAAACACAAACCTGAGCGGAGATGTCGTAAGGCGGTAGCGTCTCGCTACGCAGGAAGTTTAAGATGTGGATGAAGTACGTGCCCTCCCGGTCGATGAAGTACCGCCCCTCGGCATCCTGGGTAGCACGGTGACGCCCGGAGAACATTGCCGCCAACATGGAGTCCTCGTGTCGCCTCAAGGTCATCAGGGTCGTGGTGAAGGCATGACCTCCGACATTCAGGGGAATGACCTGTGGGAACTGTGAAAACACTGTTACTATAGAGACTGTTACCATAGAGACTATTGCTATGGAAACTGTTACTATGGAAACTGTTACTATGGAAGCTGTTACCATGGAAAGTAAGAAAAATAGAGAGGAAGAAAAAAGCTTAGAAGAGAAGATATGTGTAAAGTTTTGAGGCAAGGGGCAGTGCTGGTGGGTGAAAACACTGTTACTACGGCAACCGTTACTATGGAGACTGCGATGTAATAAACATGCATGAGATCATTAAGAAGGTTTGGAGCCAATGGACAAAAACTGCTGAGAATTCATGATACAGGAACAAACATGCCTCAGGTATATACCGGTATAATTTTGGAACGTCAGCATAAAATAAAAATAATTTTCTACCCAGGATTTGGTTGAGCATTTTTTTAGACAACACGAAAGAGCTACAGAACTACCTACCAACCGTATGGACCACTTAGTAAAGCTTTTTTAGCGAGAGAACATGTAACGTTAGATAGCTGGATAGTACTTATTATACCTTAGGACGTTTACCGCCCCCCTCCCCACTAGCCGACTATTTTACACTATACATAAGGCAATTAAAACAGTCTCTTCGTCTGGAGATACGTCTATGGCGTGGCTAAAGAATCCCGTACCTCTTCCTCGTCCGCCATGTCGTCAGAATACTCCTTAAACAGACGATAAACCCAATTTCTTCGCCTCCTTCCCGGTGCCGCCGGAACTCATGTGTAGGCTTCCTGGCCGTGAAATAGCGCTTGCTAGCGGAATCAACTAGAAGTGCAGCGGGTTGGACTGAGTGAGTGAGTGAGTGAGTGAGTGAGTGAGTGAGTGAGTGAGTGAGTGAGTGAGTGAGTGAGTGAGTGAGTGAGTGAGTGAGTGAGTGAGTGAGTGAGTGATCGAGTGAGTGAGTGAGTGAACCCGCCTGTATCGACGCCCCTGTGTTCTCCAGACTCTCCGTCTGTAGTAAGCCGGGCGGTTTCTTCTCCATTTTTTCTTGACTTGTGGCGGCCAGAGTTTCCACCGTGCGGTCTTCATCTGCCAAAGTCTCGGTCACCTTTGTGTTCCAAACCTCCATTTTGGCGTTTTCGGTCACTCACACGGTCATGCTGTCCACGATTGAGGAAAGATTTCTGTCTGTATCGCCGCTTACGGTTTCCGACATACCCGTTAGATATCGTCTCATGTAAGGCTGACGAAAAAAAATCAACAAGCCGCACGACAAAAATGTAATTTTTACGTTGTTGCCATGGAAATTAAATTCCGAATTACGTCAATCCGACGCTGATCGTTTATTATTGGACGGATTTACTGCTTCCGAAATGAGTCTGAATGACTGAATATGAACCCAGCCTGGCTGGTGAGAGGAGATGGCGGAGCTTTAATTTTGTCGATATGAACCAATAATTAGAGTTTAAAAAATGACTTCTTATAACTTTGGTGCCCTTTTTATAGACGCTCAGTGTACAGACTGAAACGCACCATCATTACATACCTAAACGTTAGCCGTACTTTTTTATGCGCACGGATATTTTCTGTAACGCTCTAACTCCCCTGGCATCTTATGGCCTCTTATCTGTCTATTTGGCCAATGTCTACTCTTTCCAGCCGCTTCAGTGAAGTAGAGGTTACACCACTATGAATAAAATCAGTGGGCGTACTCGCATACGATTCTCTCCCCTTTATCTGCTTGTAGATTAGGCTAATTTCCCCCATTGCTGGGCACTGTTGTGGGGATTAGCATAGCAATTAGCACAAGACTGTGGTTCAACCCACCCCGCCTACCTAACACCCTGGCCGGTCATCCATTCCATCTGCATGAACTAAGACAAAGATTAAAAGATATATTCATCCAGAAATTCAACTCAGCACTACAAGCACAAGGACAAAGGAAAAATCAAGGCAACAAACTGAGAACATACAAAACATTCAAAGTACTATACGACAGAGAACCATATTTAGACATCCCAAATTTTGAAAACCGCAGAGCCATGTGTAAACTCCGTATTAGCGACCATCCTCTACACATAGAATCTGGCAGGCATAGCCGTACACCGTTACAAGATAGACTGTGTACATTCTGTAACAATTCGTGTATTGAAGATGAATCGCATTTTATGCTTGACTGTAAATTATATGATAACGAACGTAAATCACTGTTCAGTTCAATTAAGCTCGACAAAAAATGTAAAACATTATCAAAGGAAGACACTTTTAAATATATTATATCATGTACAAATATAGACGTCATCAATGAAGTATGTAAGTATATTTCAAAATGTTTCAAAAAGAGAGAAGAAGCCATTAGAACTTAGATCAATACCACTTATATTTATATTTCTTTTTATCTTATTTTTAGCATTGTATACCTTAGACCTAATGTTAGCCTTTTATATTACTTTTGTTTTAGTACTCTCTAGTACATTGTACATCCATGCATTTATCCCTCCGGGGAATGAACATGCAATAAAGTTTCATAAAGTTGTAATCACTTAGCGCCCAGGCCCTAATGCATTTCAAACACATTTCCTAATGACGCTTGTTTGAAATAATTATTTTGCAGTTTAATGTCATTTTTGTTCCAAACAAAACCTATTCTCCAAGTACAGGTTTAGGCTTTGGCTTATTTTTGAGGTGTTTTAGGCGTTTTTTCGGGCTCTCTTTTTTTGGACCTGTATCGTTTTTACGTCAGCCAAATGCGTGGCAAATGGGTACTGCTCTTTTGGTTTTGACTTTATTTTATTTCAGCAAGGTAAAGATTATCAACAGTCCGTTAAATATACAAATTTTGATCTTTTGTTTCGCAAAAAAGGCCACCCTGTGCCCCCTTGCCATGTATTGGGCTCTCCCGTACGGAATCTCCCGTGCTCTGACCTTGTTGCGCAGCGGGGGTGGGTGGATTAGCCTACTCTCCAAGCAGATATAGGGTAGATCCGACCTGTTTTAAAATTTACTCATACATTTTTAGCGCTACATACGCCCTTCCAATTGCCCACACCTTAATATGAGGTCAATATATATCCATCAAAAGGTGTACATGATGCCGAAAAGACTTGATATACCACATTTGCTTGGAGATTCTTGTGACCTCGCAGCGCGGCGGGGGTGGTTGGAACAGCCGAGTATTTAGCAGTTGACAGAAGGGCCTGAAAACACAACGTGGGTTTTGTACGAAGGGAAGGGAAGGGCTGCAAGCACGGGCCAGTTTTTCCACCCCAGTCATGCCTTCACTACCACCAAGATGGCTTTCTCTCGAGACATGATTCTTCTGTCGTTCGCTGTGGTCGTTGTTTGCGTCCTGACCGCGGCACAAGGCGAGGGATTGTTGTTTTTTCTATGCTATTCTAAGTTAGAGACGGCTCCAGCCGCCATTTTTCTCTCCCCCTCTCCCTAAGTTTGTTTACAGAGAGCGAACGTTTGATTTAGGTCGGGTAGTGCTGAGATTTTAGCGTTTTAACGGTTTGCATCCCATTCATGTGTTTCTAAACGTGTTGTAGAGCTGAATTCCGTTGTGAATAATGTGATTTCTGCCCGAAACGTCGCCGTTTCCGGTGCTAGTGTTGGGTTACGTTCTGTGCGGCGGCCATATGCATGTCACTCTTATCTCAGCTCCCAACAGATGTTGGTGTTGGAAAGAGCGTAACGTTTCTGTTATCATTCTGCCTTGCCAGCTTTCTCTGACACCCGGGGCCGTCAAAAAACGCCCCCGTGTGCACATCAGAGAAGCAAGGCTTTCAGAGAAACCCTTTAAATGTTACAATTTTGTTTTTTTATGATTGTGACATCTGCTTGGAGATGTGTGGCCATGGCAGGCGCCTGGTTTAGGTAAACTGACAGACTGACAGGCCTGTCTGTGCCACACACACACACCAACTGTCGCCTGCTCTGTTGTTGTTGTACAGACACCTACCGATGTTGCTATCAGGCCAGGGAGTACCCGTCTTGCCGTGCCGCTTGCGAGCAGGTATGTATATATTGTACAACCCCCTCCCATAATGCATCCAATGCAATTTAAGGGCAGAAAACTGGATATTTAAAGTCGATTTTCTGTAATTCTGGTCATTCTTTTCCATTGCGCACTGATATCTGTGAGGCAGAAAATATGTGTTGTCGCAACAGAAAAATACAAATGGCCATTTATTCCTTTTTTTTAAATTCTACAATCTGTAACACCGTAGTAATGCCTGGTAGAGGCTACAAAATGTACACTTCATGTGCGTGTTTTTTTTTTTCTGCAGATGGCGGCAGAAATCGACCATGACACGAGAATACAGCATGTCATGACCTTACCTAGATACTGTCGTAGTGAACTGGTAAGGGAACTTTCTTACTAGAGAGATGCAAAAATACACATTTGCTAATATTACAACTATTAATATTAACCATCAGTTGTTCTGTTACGATTTATTCATGCATTAAAATCTTTCAAACAGAATACCTGATTTTATTCTTAATTTGCAAATATCCAACAGCCAAGAGTTTGAATTGAAATTGCAAGGCTCGAAATCCATTTTTGGGAATGGGTCGACCAACCCAATAATTTAGCCTTTTATTTTAGGTGCCAGAAAAATTTTGTGTGCATAAAATTAAAATAAAGTAGAATACCGGTAAACCTTACTGACTCTCTTCAGACCTTGAATTTGTCAATTCTATAGATAACTTAAAATTTTTCAACCAGTTATACAACAAAGGTTCTATTGTTGTTGTTTTTTTGACACTGAAAAGTTTGATGTCAAGAATATGCTATATATTTAGTATACAATAGTACATTTACATACATAACACTACAGAAATATCTAAGTGCACCAGTGCATCCACTGTCAAAAATTAGGTGCACAGGTTCGATTCAGGTGCACAAAAGAGCATATGCACACAGCATTTTGGGCCCGGTACTACAATGTCAGATTTGACTTAGTTATACACACCTTAAACCTAACATTGAAGGCAGGTGTCTACTGTCATGTAGCCAGCTGTCCTCAGGAACTAATTATGTCATCATGCTCGTGCTAGCGTTAAGGAACTTTTGTCCGTTGTTTTACGGTCGGACGCTCGGACTGCGGTGTGACGGACATGCCGTTACACGTGAAAGCCGGGCGGCTGAAAATTAGACCTGCAACAGTGCAGGGTTCAGTTGTGTTGTTTACTTTTTCAGGTCGGTTTCTGGCAGTGTGTGAATACCTCGGTGCTTGGTAAGTTCACTTTATTCCCCAGGAATACCGTAATGTCATTTATCTCTGCGGTAGAAGCTAGAGGAAATGAGGTTTTTCTTAGTGTTTTCCCAATTCAGTAAAAAATGTGGACAATTTGCATCTTTGCAGGGTAAAAATAAATCACAGGCATCATATTGTGAATCATATTTTAGCTAATTGACAGTACATTAAAGCATGAAGACTTATTGAAGTATAGTGACTTGGGAACTGTTTTTTCGAATATTGCAAGTAAACTTGTGGTTCCTGTCCTAAGTCTACCCTGACAGCCAGTATTTTTTGTTCCAGGGGAGCCCGAGTCAGGTGGGGAGTGGGTGGGACATGCCTGCTGTGACCTGACTGTGTCAGACCTGTGCAAAACTGCCTGTTTAGAGGTACGTCACTCATTCACTCACTCACTCACTCACTCACTATCTGGTTTAGCGTCTGTTGTTCCCCCTCTGCCAAGGGTTAGACATCCTTGCCCACTGATGCTGAGGCTTCATGGCAGCCTAGAGCTGTGTACCGGTACGCAGTACCGATACTGTACCGGAAAAATTGATTAGGTACAGGTCCAAAATACCTAATCCCTCAGTACCGGTACTGTACCTAAACAATTTCACACCAATTTTATGCCTATTTGTGACCTCAAATGTGTAAATAGCTGGTTAACAATGGGTCCCTGTGTAAGGACAGTGTGTTCATGAAAACAAAAACACCTATATTTTATCTGAGCATTCGCCATAAACAAAGAATAAACCTTAACTATCAAGTTTATTTATGTTTTTTTTGTTATTGAAGGAGTTCAGAAGAGCATATAAATTGGTCGAATTGTTCAGGTACAGGTTCAGGTCCGGACCTGTACCTAAACCTGTGTACCTGTACCTGTACCTGTACCTAAAATTTGTTTAGGTACACAGCTCTATGGCAGCCTGCCATTTGCCTCTATCCTGTGGGTTGATGTTATGTAGATTATAGTGGAGGAAGTCATCCCTTATGTTGAACATTCCTCTCTTCCTGGGATGCCCTGGTGGGTTTTGCCTTCCTCATTGGCTGTAATCTAAATTTTATAATGACTTCTATACAAGGAAACTTTTCATTGGCCATAATTTAAATTTTATCATGGCTTCTATACAAGCATGCATTTCATCAGCCGGAGACTGAATTTCATCATATGTTTTCCCTGTACAGGCCAGTTCAAGCAGTGATATCAGTGCAATACCATGTAGGAGAGATCTTGAGGTAGGTTTCATCTGTTTTATGATAAGATGCAGTGTTCTAGCTATAGCCAGCATCTCAATTTTTTTACATAACTTCATGTGTCAAGCTCTAAAGGGCAAAATTCCCCTGGAAAATATTGGAATTTTGACCCTCTGAAACGCTATTTCCTGCATTTTACGGGGCAAATTTTGGAATTAATAATTTAATGTCATTTGTTTGTTGTATTTTGCAGCCTGCTCTACATAGCTGTATTGAAAGAAATGAAAGTAAGTCTCTCTTATACCTCAGTCAGGAAATAATAGTATTGTAATAGCACAGCACAATAGTACTGTAACAGGACAACACTTTCCGTGTGTGTATGTGTGTGGTGTGTGCTTGTGTGAGTATGTGTGTTTATGTGTGTATGAGTGTGTGTCTGTGTGTGCACGTGTGTGTGATTGTGTGTGTGTGTGCATGTGTGTCTCTGCACATGTGTAATTGTGTGTGTGTGTGTGTGTGTGCGTGTGGGAGTGTTTCGACTGCAGAGTAGTATGGTTTGACTATGTCATGTGCAATGATTGAAGGGGTGAAGTCTGCCATCTCTGACTACCTCATTTTCAATGTATGTTTTGACTTATTGTGACCAATACAACAGGGCTCGAAATTAACATTGTCCCAGTGTGAAATGACACTAAATTTTGGGACAATAAGCCTATTCGCCATTACCGGCGCGAAATGCATGATGGGTAATATCCGCCATTTTGAGAGATAAACAAAACCGCGTCGCCCCGCGACACAGCGAGCGCGGGTGTCGAATCCCGCTACGTAGCTAAAAAAAATGAGTTTACCCGGGCCGTAAGTGGAGATTTTATATCTTATTGGACGGCAAAGATGACAGACGTTTCTTGGTTGAGGTTAGACTGCCGGTAACTGCCGGTTTTCAAGGCGTTTCCGCGAGTCACGTCCAGGGGGAAAAGCCTACAACTTCAAGGCGCATACAACTTCGTATGCTTAAAAGAATCATGACACGGTTGCCGAATTCGCCGAAGACAGCAGCAGGTTCAGTTGTGAATGTCAAGAATTATAGTCAAGAATAAAAAACTCACCTATTCTCGGCCCGGTGGGCTTCACGGAAGGGTAGTTCGTCGAACCGAAGGACGACGTCAAAGGATGCCCCTCCCCCCGCACTTAAAAATCGGCCCAGCACTGATCATGAGTTTAGCGAGCCGGCCCTGTGCCTCCCATACTACGTAAACGGCTGTCGGGCGACTATGATGAGGAGAAAACATACTCCTTCTTCGACTTTGAATGGGTAAGCGAAGTCCCTTACCACCATATTACCCCAACTGCAGACAGAAATTGCTTCCTCAAACGACTAGGCACATCTTACCTCCTTAGTCCACACTGTCTTGACCGCGGAGACGAACTTGTCCACAGACCCAGGATACAGAACCCAAGACATAACAGTAGTATTCAAGCAACCATGGCATTAATTTTCTTTGAAGAACCTTGTGTTTAGTAAAGGATTGTTGCATGTTGCCAGTAATACTTGTGTTAGTGTACAGGTCTTTCTCAACATATATGGCATTGTATATTTAATATTATATTTCCTATGCACCATTCATTAAGTGCTGTCCACATATATGGGAATAAGAAAAATATCAAAATGGTGCTTGTTTTGTTTTCTTTATAGTATATACATGTATGTAACAGTACAATCAGTGTCCAGGGAAATAGTAATTGAAAGGTTATCTGAGTTGGTAAGTTACATATTTTATTTAAAAAAAACTGTTCTCCAACTCAAGAAATTTGAGTTTTCAACTATATCTGTCTTCATCAACTATCTGAGCCAAGTGCTGTGGCATTATATTTTCTACATCACTTTGATTGCAGAGCTGTTTGTGTGTTAACACAGTAAGTTTATGTTTAACGGTGCTTGTATGTTTTCTATCACAGTGTGAATGTTTACAGTAATCTAGTAATCGCCATCGTACAACCTATGCTGTCTAGCAAATATTATTTAGTATTTAGACAATAAACCGGATAGTGAATGTGAGTGAGTATGTAGTACTGTCGATGCAGTTAACTGACTTGTTTTTCTTGTGTTTGGTCAGAAAAACAACAAGAGAGTAGTTACAAATTAAATATTCCACTTTCAAGATCCAAACGCAGGGGTCAGGTGTTTGGTGTAAGTAGTGTAAATGACTGGAGTTCTCTACATACACCTGATCTTATGGTCAACAGTCAGTGGAAAAGATCTAAACTTAAGTACTAGTACTTAGACCATCACTGGGAGCACCTGTGGTGCAGGCACGAAGGAGTCAACTACACCAGTTCACCACAGCTTTCTCAACTGCATGCGGAAAAAGGTATCTTAAGTGGTAAATATAATGTTAATGACTTGACATCATGTTCAAATATATTATTTTCCACTAATTCAAGTTAATAAGTGAAAAGATAATCATATTGAATCTATTTACAGCAGACCCTTGTTAGACTAAAAGTCTGTACCAGTTTAGCAGTATTACTGCACAGAACTATCAAAATTCAGTACATAAAATATCTGTCATGATTACAATTTGCAGCACTGTTTATGTGCGGGTTACAATATACTTTCATGAAACCATTTCAGAACCTAAGTGTACTTGTATTTTTAGTATATTCCATCTGGGTTTGGCTTCAAGCTTGTTCATAAGTTTATTCCCTCTTCTCCTAGCATGAGGTTTTTTTCTTCTCATAGGAAAATGGTCCACTTTTTGTACCATGTATTTGGCATGTCTCTTCCATTTTTCTAGATGGTAAGTTGAATTGCTGCAATTCACTACTGCACACAGCTTCATGTTGAGGTCGGGAAAGTAACACTGTAAAAAGAAGAAGAAGAGAGAAAAATTGAACCAAAAGTTGATGGATTTACGTTCAAAACATCAAGTCTTGAATGCACTAATGCAATGGCATTTGCATGCACAAAACCCCCATGGCCCTACGTATCCCGCTACGAAAACCACACTAAATATTTATAAACATATAGATGTCATCACTGCTTGTACTATTCCTAAATCATTATTTTAATCGGTAATAATGTCGTGGTGAGACGGTGAGGATTGTGGTTAGAAAGCTCTATGTGCTTGGGGTGACACAAGAACACGTAGTGTATCGGTCTTCTGAAGACAAAGCTCATGCAGTTTATTTACAATTTTTACCGACTAAAACTGAAAAATTCCACCATTATCTTACACAAATAACCACTCTTACACGAAAAAAGGTATTCCAAAACTCGTTTTATCGAGATTGGACCGGAAAATTGAGCGGAAAACGTGAAGACGGAAGGCGTGCAGGATGGGGGAGGGGGGCATGCATAAGTAATTAGGCGCTAGCGCTAGCTTGGATACCGTCAAAAACGTACCGTAAATCCACTTGAAGATAAAGATATCGCGATATTTTAGGCAAGATAGGTCCAGAACATCGTTGGAACTCAGCCCAAGGCGGGCCACCACCGGTAACGCCGTGTGTAAGCTGGAAATCGAGACATATGCTGGCGCTGGGGACGATTGCGGCCGCGGGTTTGTTTATCTCCAATTCTGCGTCGCTAAGTAAACTCCGCGCAGGCGCACTAGTAATGGCGAATAGGCTTATTCAAATTACGTTTCGGGACAATTTTGGGGCAATTGGAAAATTCTAAGACCATCCACGTCATTTGGGAACGCGATCCATCCATCCTGCTGCAGACTGCTGGCAGCCTATAAATGTATCAATCAATCAATCAATCAATCAATCTTTATTGCGCAACAATTGCAACAGGTACAATGTATGGCAAGTATAATACTCTGACAAACATTTAAATTTGACCAATCAGGGATTCCAAATATCAGGGACGGTGCCATGCCCATGATATTATCATGTATTTCCCTACATTTGCTAATAAAGACTTAGTGGACTTCAAGTTGTACAAATTCAGTTGTTGTTTTCTTATTTTTGTCTTCAACTTATTTCCTGAAAAGCAGGCTGGGACAGTCCATCTTCAGTTCGGGACAATTGAAATCTATGTTCGGGACAATTCTGGGACAATAGTGAAAAAAGTTAATTTCGAGGCCTGTACAACATTCCATCATTATCACTAATGTGTACAGAGCAGTCCCAATATGTATGCATACATGTGGACATTGTTGACGCTGTTGAAAGTTTTAACCACTCACCAAGTTAATATGATTATCCCCCGTGCCTCCCTGACTGGACAGGACGTCATACCTGGAGTAAGTTTTGATCAGTGTCGTCTCTTCCGTGGTGTGGATATAAGGACATGGTTTTTACAGGGCTGAAAACACTGGCTGCATATAGCAAGTTGCCACAACATACTGTGCCTACACGAAACCCGTAATGTGTTGTGTATTACACTTTAGCAGAATGTCTTGTTTAAGGTCATATTTGGGGATGACACCCTGTCTATAGTTTTCAAATGTTGTGTCAAAACACATGCTGTCTGCAAAAGGTATAATTCTGTTGCAATGTTGACAAAACATTCAATGAAATATGCAAAAAATTCTCCGGGTTTTGTGCAGGTGCAGTATGTTCTACCCATGTGCTGGTGAATATGCACTTCCGTGCATCCAAAATTGTAGCCTGGGTACCATACTAAGCTTCCATACTCGCTCCCTTAGAAATATTCTGGAGAGTATGGGAGCCCAGTATACAAATAGGATGGCACCCAGGCTACCAAAATCGGAGCTGTACAGAGGGGTCTATTAGTAGTGCATCTAATTTGTAGCTGTGGGTATACTGGTGCACCTACTTACTTGTATAGGGTTACATATGTTAAGGTACTATTACTACATTATAGACTAATACAGCATATTCTTGACAGTGGGTGAGCCTTTACCAATCAGAATGCGGAGTTAGATAATGAGACAGAATTTCTACGTACCAGCCCTACTTTTTCAGGACAGACATCAGGAAACACAACATTAATTCTCCTATGCCTGAAGTAAGAGGTTTTTTTTGTGTTTGCCAGTGGGTGAGCGGTGTTGTGGGACCAGTGTGAGTGCAGAGTGTGAGGAGGCATGTAGTACAGTGTTCCAGACAGACTCCACACCCACCAGACAACAGAGACAGGCCATACAGGACCACTGCCTGTTAGACAATCAACAAGTCATCCAGTGTGTGGACAACTACACCAACTCACGCCCTGCCAACAATCCTGCTGAGAGTAAGTCTGTAGTGTGGGATTGTGTACAATGTTTTCAGTAGCTTTTAAATTATATTTATACGTTTTATGTCTTGGCAAAATTTGAAGTAAAGAACCCATCTCACCATTACAGTGTAGTCTTTAGTTGTAGAGTTTACATGTTGTTCCAACACAAGAAAGGAGTCACCATAAATTTTTGGTCGATCTCGTCAACCTTCATCAGATGTGTGCACAGACTCTCCTGATTGATTGATTGACATCATCATGCTTCCGGAGAGTCAGCAAATGCATCACAAATCTGACAAAGGTTGGCGAGATCGACTGAAAATCTATGTTGAGTTCCTTTTTTGTGTTTGAACAACGTTTAAACTCTGCAACTACGGATTCTACAAACACAGATGAGCTTTCATTCGAACAGTGTAGTCTTGAGGTATTGTGGTCTGAGACCAGACATTACAGTCCTTTATTACCTTATTTTGGACTGTGTTTGTTTGTATATTGTTTGTTAGTCACCACGATTAACTCAAGAAAGATGGGATGGATTGCTTTTATATTTGGTGAGTACCCATAGTGCCTTGCACCTCCCAGCATGCAATGGACCACATCCAATGGGGACGACACTAGATAGAGTGCAAATATACTCGTACATGTGTAATAAAACGTATTGTTTTGTGGTCATTTCTTCTTCTCTGACTGTCTTCTCTGTTTTCTTCCTCCTTTTCTGTGTTTCTGGTTTCCTTTTCTAAAGGTGTGAAGGGCATTGGTGAGTGTTTCTGTTATCTTTTGTGGAGTGAACTACTCACTTTTGCAGTTGGTCCATTTTCTATTCCTGTTTCTTTGTTGTTGTTCTTCTATAAGTGTTCCAATTTCTTCTCTTTTCCAGCACTGCAAATATGAGAACCAAGAAATTTATTTGATGTGGCCTTAGTAACCACAAATACAGATACATGTAGTAAAGGGTACAATCTTTCTTCCAACGCACTAAAAATTAGTGTATTGAATTTTTGACTGTCCTATTGCAGTTTTTCTCAGCATTCTAGTGACCAAGAAGTGTAGATGGCTGCTGTACCCTGAGAAAAACTGCAGCAATGTGCTAAGTTTTTGATAAGTGCTGTATCTTATCTTTTCCTTTTGACTACTGTCATTCTTCAAGTACCTAAAGATATGTCTATGTAAAGTGTGGTCTTAACTTTGTTCTTTTGGAAATGGAAGAAAATTGATACACTTGGGGATGTCAGCCATATACAAAATGTCATCAGTCAATATGGCCTAAAAGGTTGTAAGTTGATGGTATATTGTTTGTTGCAGGTTTACATTGTTGTGAGCAGTCGAATGATGAGCAGTGTCAGGACAGGTGCAGGCGTGTTCTGGTCACCCTGACCAGTGAACAGGAGATAGTAGACGGGCTGATCGAGGGCTGTGGAGACCCCCTCCCTCAGGACCCTCTCTGGCAGTGCTTCCTCTCAGCATCAGGTAATAAACTCAATATACTTCCCGGAAATAGCATGAATGAAGAATTAAACTGTATTCCAATGCAAAGAAATGTAACTCACCTGAGTTTTTGACCGAATCTCTTGGTCTTCATCAGCTAAATGAAGTGCTCACTCCTTGTGACAAACTTTGACCCAGTGCTGACCTCACATGTGGGAAAAAAATCATGTGTCTAAAGCACTTGGGTCAGATAGCTGATGAAGGCCAAGATATTTGGTCAAAAATTCTGGCCACCATGCATATGCATGTTGAAACATCAAACCTTTGTGTGTTGTGTCCAGCCAACAACGGACATGATACGGAGGAGGTCATCCCTGTAACAGGATTGGACGGTGCGAAGCTTCAGTGCTGCTCCAAAGCAGCCACGTCTAGATGTCGAGATCTCTGCGTCAAGGTAGGATCACTGAGTAACTCACAGTTACAGTTACACTGCTCAACCATCTTCTTACTTCACTGGCCCTCCGGACTGCTTCCATTTTAGGAAAGTTAGAGTTTCAAGTTCATGGTTCAAACAGTTCTGTAGTACAATGGTGATAAAATTGAAATATATGTAACACAATGGAGACATATAATTGTTATGTCACTGATGTGACACACATTCATGGTAGATTGGTTACAATTAGAAATGAAAAAATAAACTTCCACGAAAGTTTCTAGGTTTGCAGTTGTATCTTTATTGAGATGTCTACATTTGGTGAAATATATTTTCAGCTGTACAGTACAACTTGGGCCACTTCCTCCAGTTGGAACCAGTTTTATGCAGACTGCCAGTATCACCCTTCTGAGGAGGTCCTTATGCAGTGCATTGCTGATGGTGAGTATTGCTGTGTCCCTAAGGGATCTGTCTCGTGCATGTGTGGTCTAAGGTAAAAGAAAAATAGTGAAGGTGATGTCTGGCAAGTTTTACTCAAATGAACTCAGTTGAACTGTTCTTCCATAGCCTGTGACAGAGAAGTCAGACACTATGTATGATATTTAAAATATTGTCTTTTCAACAAGAGCGACTTTACATTCCATCCTAAGGGCTGCAGTCTTTTCCAGTAGTGTGGATGTCAGGTGAGCTACAACAGCTGGGATTCAAACTCCCAACCTCTGGGTCCAGAGGCAGAGTCAATAACCACTTTTACTACACACGCAAGCAACTCTGCCTTCAATTTAAACCTGAAGGTTGTGAGTTCGAATCCCAGCTGGTACCACTCACCCAACATGCACGCTGCTGGAAAGGATTGCTGTACTAATTATAATGTGGTCCATTATTTATTTTACTTGTCAAAAAGATCTATGGGAATTCCCCCAGGGCAATGAACCTGTATATACTATACATAGTTTGAAATGCTGATGTAGTAAGTATGATATGCATTATTTATATTTTGAACATCTCTGTTGTTGTTCATCATGACCTTAAGTCTTGTATTTGTTTTGCAGTTCAAGAACCGTGTCAGCTTGGGTGTTCAGAGCTGAACTTCTGCACCAACTTCAATAACAGGTAAGGTTGGGAAACTATGTTTGTAATGTAATGTAACAAACAACACTGTAGAGTTGGCACTAGCCACTGGCACTAGCCTGATTTTTTCAGTCTGCAAAATTGCAGGTTGATTATTTTGTTCTTCTGTAATATTGAAATGTCTCTGCAACATGCAGACTGCGGATGGTTATTTCGAACACTGTAATATTATGTAATAATGGTGTTTCTCCTCTTCCCTGCCCTGTAGACCGACGGAGTTGTTCCGCAGCTGTGCTTCACGGTCGGACGAGGATGCGGAACAGTACATGTCAGACTGGCAGGGAGGGGTGATCAGCATGCCTGTGATGACCATCCCTGTGCGGGACGTGCAGGAGTGTGAGCCGGACATGTGGAAGGCCATCGCCTGCACCCTGCAGATCAAACCCTGCCACAGCCAGTCTCACGGAAACAGGATCTGCAAGTAAGCTCAGGGATACACAAATACCTCAACCATCTACTTACCAACTCAGGTAGCATTGTGTGCAAGGAAAAGGCTCTACAGAGCAAGGTTGGAAAAAAAAATCATAAACCTGTTTAAAGTAGAGTGGATTTATTCCTCAAGCTAACTGTCATCTTTCACACCAAAGATGTCAGTCATGGCAGACTGAATAAAAGTTCTAAAGGGGAACTATGTGACTCCACATGTCTTACTGAGGGATGACTGCGGTGTGCTAGATGTTGGTTAGCTTGAAGGATGAATCCACTCTACTTTACATCTTAAAATCTGTTTGTTACCTCCTAAATGTTATCTTAATTCCTGCAGGGCTGACTGTGTGAACATCCTGACCAGGTGTGGTGACCAGGCCCGCTTCCCTCTGGGCACGACAGTGGACAGTCTGTGTAACGCCCTGTCCCCCCAGGACGAGGATGACCACTGTATCACCCTCGCACCGTACCTAGGTACACTAACTTGTCTGAAAAAAATTCTTCCTCTTGTTTTACAATGCTTGAAATACTTGTAGACCACCTTTAGGTGTAACATACAAGTTTTGTATAGTAAGTACAGATGTACAAGCTTCGTAAGACTGCATGAAGTAAGGTTTGATCCCCTACTGATTTGAGTGAGGAAATAAGTGTTCAATCAAATGCCTTCCCCAAGGACGCAACAGTGGGGTCTGCTGGGGATTTGAACCCAGAACCTTTAGATTCTGAGTCAACAACCCTAGTCACGAGACCACATTGCCTGCTAGGGATTTGAACTCAGAACCTTCAGATTCTGAGTCAACAACTCTTATTATTTAGCATTTCTCACTGTTTCCTGTTGTGTATTTGTAGTTCCCAGTCAGCACATCAGCCGACTAGACGAGGTGACCAACCCCTGTAACCCCAGTCCCTGTATGGAGTCAGTCTGCCACGTCAACAGGGCCAGGGAGAACTGTACAGGCTCCTCCTGTCCTCAGCACATCTGTAAACAAGGTCAGTACACAGACATTCTGGTTGGTAAAGCTGCTCGCTTTGCACTCGGGAGGTCATGGATTCAAACCCCAGTTGAGTCATGTCAAAGTATAGGATGCTTTCTCTGGCTCGACACAAGTGTACAGGGTTCCCTTGTTCTCACTCTCACTGCATTTGTAAACAAGGTCAGTATGCAGAAATACTGGGGCAACAGCCAAGTGGGCTGACCATTTGCTTTGCATTTAGGAGGACACCAATCAGGCAATCTACTTGGTGAAAGCGAGTTCCACTCTACTATAGTTCGGTTGAAAAACAAGTTTTTAACACCTCAATCCTTGATTGACAACACTGGTATTTGATTTTGAAGGCATGACTACTTGTTGTTCCTTTCTGAGCTGGTATTAGGTACTTAGGTGTATGCCCTCCAGTATTATAAGTCATTTTGTACATATCAGGAAAGTTCATCTCTGTTGGATGTTTAAAGGTCAAACTTTTGTTCCAACACAAAGGTAAATGTTTTCACCTAGTCACTGTAGTCTTCCTCAGTACATGATGCATAATCTGGACATGTTTCCCAGGTTGCCCGATGGGTGAAGCGTCAGACTACGTGGTAGCAGCGGGGGCGGTGGTGAGAGTACCTGTAGCCAGTGGAGACCCCGGCTGTTACCGGGTGTGTCACTGCGGTGACGACAGGAGACTGGGAGACTGCACCACCCTGTCCTGTATCCCCATGGACACCTGTCTGGTCGGGGGACAGATCAGAGGTATGGGAACGTTTGTCGTGAAAAACCAACAAAAATCTGAAAATGTTAATGACTTCTTGTATGTAGGAATTGATGTAAAAGCTAAGTCTCCAACAAAAAAATCCTGCAGTTCCTTTGTAAGTGGCTAGTTGTATTATGAAGAGGAAAAAATCACAGAATATTCTTGAGTGTAGACCTTATGGAAAAGTTTCCAGCAAAAAGGCCCCTGCAGTTCTTCTGGAAAGCTGCTAGGAGGACCAAACAAGCCTTTCTTCTCAAGACCTGTCAATTGTAGTTACTCTTTTCATTAGCTTCAAATTATAGTAATTTTGACCAACTTGTTGTGTGTTTTTTTTTTTCCAGACCATGGCACCAGTTTTGAGATGGACTGTAACATCTGTGCGTGTTTTGCCGGTGAGCTGACCTGTACCAAGAGACCCTGTCTCTCACTCAGCAGTTCAGAGGAGGAGAGGAGAAGATACACAGGTATGATACCCTGTCTTACTCAGGTATGATACCCTGTCTTACTCAGGTATGAGACCCTGTCTTACTCAGGTATGAGACCCTGTCTTACACAGGTATGAGACCTTGTCTTACTCAGGTATGATACCTTGCCTTAAGAAGCAAGGGAAACTTTGGAATACATATAAATCTGGATTCAATATTTTTTTCAAATGTAATGATTTTTAACCATTGAAGCTAAATAGTATAGCTGAAATACAAGCATGTTGTTCTTATTTTACACAGGTCTCCCCTGTAACTGTGCTGACCAGTTTGTTCCAGTCTGTGCTCACAACGGCAGGACCTATCCAAGTGCCTGTTTGGCAAGGTTGGTACTTTCTCGCTCGAGAATATTGGGGGTCAATTGGGACTGCAAACATACATGTATGCTCTTTGTTTTACTCTGGGTGTTTCAACTTTGTTTCATGATTGTAGCTGTAAAGGAAATTACATTGACCTTTGAAGATACCTTAAATTATCTTTCGTCCGTCCGTAAATTGTCAAACTGGCCATTGGTCCTGTATTTGTCCCTCAGTAAGACTGGAGCCGCCTAGTTCAGATTGCTGCTGTCTTAATTCAATCCCAATAGGATAGTTGTTTTGCTGTTAAGTTTTCATTTCATTTCTGAATTGTTCTAATGTTGAGAACCTTTCTCTTCGCAGATGTGCAGGCCTTCTGGACCACCAGTTTGAGTTTGGAACATGCTCCTCCCTCCACCCATGTCAACCTGACCCCTGCCCAGCAAGCAAGAGGTACAGGTTGCTTTTTTTTTATTGCCTGTGTGGCATCTGTGTGGTGTAGTGGTAGAGCATCCTACTGTAAAGCAAGGGGACCCAGGTTCAATCCCCAGGGTTGTATCCAGACATGTCCGGACATGCACCCAGACGTTGTGTCCTTGGGAAAGGCAGTTAACACATGTGAATCTCTTTGTGATAGCAGTCCGGAGTATACATACATTGTGTATTGACATACTGTTGTCCATGTATTACAGGTGTATCCCCAGACCTAAGGTTTGTCTGAATGGTCTGGACCAGCAACATTGTCAGCAGTACCAGTGTGGTAAGTCTTGGTTAGTCTTACTTTAGCACTAGACTATACAGTCTCAACTATAGAACAGTGAAGGTTAGAGATCCACAGTCAGACATTTCAGGTGTCATCCACTAACTTTAATCAGTCAATATAAAACAGTCAACTTCCACAGACTGTCGTAACACCTTGCTGTTTGCACAGTTCCCCGTAGCTGTGAGGGAGAGATGGAGGATCCTGTCTGTGATGTGGACGGGGTTCAACATCCCAACTACTGTCAGCTCCTGGTAGCAGGGAAACAACTGGGCTATCACGCACCCTGCCATGTGAGTCAGTCAAATTTGTCACGAGAAATAGTCATTGAAGATGACCACTACCAGCCTGTTACTTGTGGAGTTTTTGAGGTACTTGTGCAGGTCTGAATCTGTACCCAAACCTCTGTACCTGATGTTACATTAGGTACATGGCCCTAATACCAAGAGTTGCAGTTGTATTTGTTTTACAGTTGTGTAGACCAAGTAAGATCTTGTATTTTCTGATATGTTCCATGATGCTTGAGTTGTCTTTCCTGTATCAGCAGGAACAGTGTAAAGCCAGCCCTGTGTGTGGACATAATGGTGAGACCTATGAGAGTAACTGTGCAGCCCACGCAGCCAGAGTCTCCATAGACTACGAAGGCCCATGTCTGGCTGTGGGGCTAAGGCCAGGTCAGTTTACATTGAACATTATTCTCTGCGATATTAACATCAAAAGTTGATAAATTATTATATTATTTTTTTGTAAATTCATGCCCAAGGGGTAATTGTACATTAGGAATGATAGAATAATAGTAAACGATGAAATGAACATAAAGTAAATTGAGAATCCTTAACTAAAGTGTAAATGAACCATGTAGCGTCCTCTGAATCTACTTCAATCTATACTTGTTTAGGACAAGGGAAGTACCCAGAGTGTTCCACGGTCAGCTGTCCTGACTCCAGCCTGTGTGAAGGGATCATTCCTCCTGGGGCCTGCTGTCCAGTCTGTGGTATGGAACAACTCTGTGTACTGTAGATCATGGAATTTCTGTGGTTGTTATACAGTCTTTGTATTTACAGCTCTGGTGGTTGTATTGTCTGTGTTGTTACAATTCTGGTGGTTGTATCGTCTATGTTGTTACAATTCTGCAGCTAGTGGTTGTATCGTCTTTGAAGTTACAATTCTGGTGGATGTATCGTCTTTGTAGCTACAACTCTAGCGGTTGCACCATCTGTACTTACAGCTATGGTTGTTGTACCCTCTGTGAAGTTACACCTATGGTTGTTGTACCATCTGTGTAGTTACACCTCTGCTACTGTCTGTATAGCTACAACTCTGGTGGTTGTACCGTCTGTAGATACACCTCTGGTTACTGCACTGTCTGTGTAGTTACACCTCTAGTTGCTGTACCATCTGTGAAGTTACACCTCTGGTTTGCTGTACCCTGCAGGTGGAGTGTTGGCGATGTTGTACAGTGGTTGGTACGTGGATCTGGTGTCCAGACAGGCGAGTATCGGCCCCATCACCGTCACACAAGTCATCCAGCAGCTCAGGAACCATGTGTCAGTGGTAAGGCTCTACACACATATTTCCTTACTACAGTTGAAAATGAGACGTAATGCCAGAGGTCCCGTGTTTAAGAAGAGCCACCTTAAGCATGATAAAGAACCCACCACACTTACCAAAAAGGGTAGGGTTCTTGCCAGTGTGTGTGGCTCAAGCCTTAGTAAGTTACAGTCTGGTCTGAGGGTTGACATGTTGAAAAGGTGATAGTTACCTGTTATTGTTAAATACATAAAACACCTCCATTGAAGAACCATCCTGACTTTTGCTGTTGTTTCAGCCTCAGTGTGATGTGTTTGGGTACCTGAGTATTGAGGGAGACATCATCGCGATAGTGATGCCAGTCACACCCAACACCACACCGCTACAGGTTAGTATCTTCTGGTTAGCTACATTGTACAGTTTACAGCAGAAGCATGTCTTTAGCATGTACTGCTCCAGTGCAAAATCTGGACTTTTCCAACATGGCAGGCTGATCTACTTTTGTTTTTGACTTGTCCATCTGTGTCTGTTCTTCTTCTCTAAACAAAGAAGACCTGGACCAAATGGCTGTCATCGTTGTAACTGGTGATGTAACAGGCACCCTGTGGTGTTGGATTACATTATTAGCAAGTTGCAGGACAGAGTTGGAGGGGCTGGTCACCTTATGTATGATTGTGTTTAAATTAGAATAAACAGAGCACTAGTTTGTTATGCTAGACCATGTGAAGGTAAACATTATGCATTTGGTTTGAAAATTTTATCTTTTGAGTTTTTCTGTAATTTTCTTCCCCATCTTCAGGTGGAGGCCTGTAACCAGGAAGCCCAGAAGCTGGGGGCCCTCATCAACTCTGGCAGCCCGGTGATCGTATCCCACGTGCCTCTGTCCTTCCTCACCTCAGCCTCGCTGCACCTCGCCGCTGTCACCATGGTCAGTTCCGCAACAGCAGCTGTCCCCTCCCTGACAGCACTCCTGCTGCTCTGCTTAGGGACAGTGCTACACAGACTGTTCCATGCCTCATGACAGATGACCCAGAATTCTCCTGGGTTAAACTCTGGCCTGGAGTAAACATTATGTACAATTATCAGTCAGCAGAACGTATTGCTTCTTCACAAAGTTTTTGTCAGACGTTTGGTCAACGTTGCATTAGAATTTTGCCTGTTGCAGAAAAGATCTTTTCTGACACAGCATTTGAAAACTGTAGACAGGGTGTCATTTTTAAATATGTGAATTCTTTGAATGAGACATTTGTGCTATGCACAATACATTACCAATTTTGCAATGGATCAGTATGTTCTGCCAACATGCTTGTACAATCCACCCCAGAGAAAACGTTTGTTGTAAAGTACTTCTCAGAAAAAAGACAATCTAGAAAATGTGTATACAAATCAAGAGTGAAATACTAACAAGGACGATGTGTGATGCAGTGCAATGTGTAATGGCAATTGGACGGAAATTTTACCATGCCTCTCCTCTCTCTCTTATTTGCATAATACTGTAGATTCATATATGTTTGCAGTACTTAATTGTACCGTGGGGGGACGGAGGTTTCACAGTGTTTGATAACATTCGTGGTGGGCACAAAGAGTGCTCATCTGATCCAGTGTTTTTGGTGGAACCACCAAAATAAAACCACTACAAATGTTTCAAGATTGAGAGTATGGCATCAAAGAGATGTGAGACATGTGTTGGAGAGGCATGGAAAGCAATGTTTATAATTGTTCTGGTGTTTGCTATTCTTGTGTAAAGTATTGTGACAATCCTGACCATTCCTGAAATGTGAAAAGAGTTGCCTTTTACAATCAGACATGAAACGTAATGTCGAGACAATCAAGAGATGGGTGTAGTGAAAGATGGAAAGTCAGTTGTTGGGTCTGTATAGTTTATTGCACTGGTTGAGATTCGTAAAGAAAATGTGTGTTTGTGCTACGTAAAAAATGAATATTCTATTACATAGCAAGTTTGAACTGTAATTTCCAACACAAAAATTGGACATTTCCAAATTTTTGACTGTACAACTCCAGTCTTTGTCAAGGAATGAACAACCCACTGCATCTGTGACACCACAGAGGCAGTGGATCTCTAATTCTTTGACAAAGACTGGAGTTGTACGGTCAAACATTTGGGTAAGTCCAATGTCCTATGTTGGAAATATATAAAGTTCAAACGTGCTTTGCAATGACTTCTATGTAATGCAGATAAACTTTCAAGATAATATTCTGTTATGATAATCCAGATTGAAGGCATAGAAGGCAATCATAGTGTTGAATATATCTGTATGAATTTAACAAATATGATAGTTGCAGTACTTAATTGTACAGGGGACGGAGGTCTCACAGTGTTTGATAACATTCGTGGTGGGCACAAATCTAGTTAATACTTGTAACAATTTGCTTTACATGTATGTTTTTTATATGAGTGGTATGCAGTTTGCACTATGGTATCTACCATAATGATTTTCTTGTGGTATGAACTGGTTCATAATGTACCATGGCATGAAAAGTACATGTATGCAGGAAAAGTATGCAGTCTGTACAGCATGTACGCAGTCTATACAGCATGTACCATGTTTGTACAGTATGTACATGTATCATACTTTATATGTTTTGTACCATGTTTTATGCAGTATGGTTGTGCCATGATTTGTATACTGAACCATGACTTTATACAGTGCATATATGAACCATGGTTATAGAATATGTACTTAACCATGGTTTTTATGGTATATGCATGAACCATGGTTTATAGATGTTCATGTGATCAACCATGACTTTTTGCAGTATCTGTATGAACCATGGTTTATATATGTACATGTACTTGACCATGGTTTTATGTAGTATGTGTATGAACCATGGTTTATATGACATTTTTTATTCCTGGTAAATAGTTATTTTTATTGTTGTTCAACATGCCCTATCTAGTATGTACTATAGTTTATATAGTAATTATTCAGATGATCTGATTTAATACTGATGATTCTTCCCATGCAAATGTTCTGCCAAATTTCAGACATTTCTGGAAAAATTGCTTTAACTTGAGGCTTGATCCTCTATAATAGAAAGACCAATGTAAAAGTTGTATAATATTATACTATATCTTATTATATTCTGTTGTAAAGAAGGCAGATAACTTTGATTTAAAACATAAGACAATCATGAATTTTAACACCAGTGAGATTTATGTGCCAAACTGTTGTGTACTTTATGTGAAAAGTTTTTTTGGCTACGCCTCAGGAGCAGAGCCTTTATTGGTAGAAAAATCTTAGATGAACTGAGATTGTTAAATGATTAATATTTTGGCTGTATGTGTGTTTTGGAGGCTAACAGTCTAACATAGTAGCAGTATTTTTGTTTATTATAATTGAATATACAATCAGTGAAATACGTAATCATTGTTAGAGAGCTCTACAGGAATTTATTGTCAGGGAAAATTCAGAAAATCAATTTTGCAGTGAGACAATGTTTTACTTCAAACAATGATAGTTAGGAACGTTTGTAACATTTAAGGTAATCAGTTTTTGCACACGTAACGAGATTTTTGACGTAAAGCTGGACAATCATTTTTTGGTAAACACTGCCGTTATTTAGTACTTTAGTAGATTTTCTCTGTGGACTGTAGGTTAGCTGTGCGATTGTTGCCTATTCTGGTAATCAAGATGTTTTCTCTATTACAATCAGTGCTTGTATTAGGCAGATGTAACCAAATGTGTAAGTACAATGTATTCAGGATTGAAAACGTAACAAAATGCCTTGTGTTCATCTGACTCAGCAGTAGAATGGGCTGTACATCCTCCAATGTTCTCTACCTTTCTAGAGTGCCAATACCTTTGTGAGAACGTTGCAGACTTTAGAAAAACTCCTGCTTTTACGATGTTAAAACTCTTGCTGTATTTCTGTCCTCTGCATTTGTGTTGATATTCGGGTGAGCTGTCATGAACTTGTATTTCAGCCTTTTGTAAGCAACAGTTACCATAGTACTCCAGTGCTGTATTGGTAGTACAGAGAACTTGAGAAACTTAAGTGTGTTGAGTGAAACCAAGATAATCATTTGTTGCCTTTACCAGGCTCTGGGAAGCGGATGGAAAGAGTAGATCTGCTAAACTCCCCTGGCATGTTATCTGTACTATTTGGCCAGTTTCTACTCTTTCCAGCCACTTCCCAAAGCCTGCTAGAGGCTAAATCATTTGAGGTTGTATCTGCATGACAGAGATTGTGACTACAGTATATACATAGCTCCGTACTTCATCAGTTCTTTTCTTCTCCATGAAATATGCTGGCTCACAGTTTGAACTGCATATTGCCATACCATTATTGGGTAATAATACATCAAGATTGAAGGCCTCTGAGACAGAAACAAAACCGATACAATTTAGGGGCCGTCACCTTTGACCTTGTGCATGCAGTTTTAACAGTGAACTGGCTTATTTCTGAGAACCTAGGACTTCCATTTAGTGTGACTTGCATTGAGTGCAGAAAGGCAAGATGGATTTTGCAGAACAACTATATAAAGCTTTTAAATAGATAAAGAATTTGAAGTATACAGAGATGTTTTCAATGTAAACTCGATCCCACCGATAATGTACATGAAGGCAATCATTGATAACACAAGTTGATATTTTGGACAGGCAGGGTTTACAAGGCCTACTGTGTACAGTATTAAGCAGACCAGTGCATATAATAGTCGACTTGAAGTAGGACAGATTGTGATTAAGATTTTAAAGTCATTTATCCCAGTTGTGAAGTGAAATAAAGTCTCTACTTTTGCATACAAATATTGGGTTGTTGTTTCATGTACAAGTAAGTTCATATTTTCAAGTAAGAGGATTCCTTTGTTTCACATGGTAACTGTTAACACTGTCAGACATTTCAAGTACATTGTAGCATCCACTACTCCTGGTCTAACGGCATCTGTAGTTTAAAATCTATCCTGTTGAATACTAGTAACTGTTTTCTTGTGTATCTCATGGGTACCTTCACCACTGATTCACTTGGTGGGGTTTTAAGTTTGCAGGTGAGACAATTATTCTCCGTTAGGATAAATTTTACTGTTTTTGAACCTAAATTGTTAGTCTGGTGGAGACTGGCAATTATGTAATACGTGTATTGCAGTGGAAATGCCTATTTTTACCCTCCATGAAAATGGGGGTACTGTTTTTACTCCGTTTCATGTTTGGTCTGATATCTGAAGATCGGTGAGAAGGAACTGTACGATATTTGGCAGATTGATGGATGGGGCCTTGGAGATTGTGTAGGTTGACTTTGAGCCCCTGGTGATTGACCTTGGTACTGCAGTTTAATTTTTTTATTCTGTTGTTTTCGCGTTATGGACTGTTTGTGCGATATTAAGGTAGCATGTAGTTGTTATTACCATGGTTTAGTGGTTTAAATTTGGGTCCCCTAGCTGTTTGCGTTTGATATTTACAAAATGTTTAATGTTGGACTTTTTGTGTTGAATGTTTGGAAAATCTGGGGGATGGTTTGGTATGATTTTTGGTATGTGGGTAGTTGTTGAGTCTCTTTGTGTTTTGGAGTGCATTAGCAGGTTGTCGCATATTTTTATTGCTTAATTTAAAAGGATTTTCACTTTTTCACCCCTACTTCATAATAGGATGGTCTGTTTGACCCAAAAGTTGGGACAGAGTGTTTTTGTTTATACCTCCAGCTGGCAGGCCAGACCCAGGCAGCCCTATCTATTTTTACCCCTAGACAGAATCTGCAGGAAAATAAATCTTGTTTGTCTGGTCTGCAGGTCATTTGCCTGTCTGGTCATTGACCTACATGTACAGGCAAATGTAGCCTGGGTACCATCCCCAGTAGTATATTCGCAAACTCTATAACAGTTATAGAGTTTGCGAATCATACTACTGGGGATGGTACCCAGGCTAAGGCAAATGACCTGCTGGCCATCAAAGTAAACAAACCATGGTAACAAGACACTAAACGCCTGCCCATGACATGACAGCTTGATAAAGTGCCACCACAAATCATTCTGCTGATAAAAACAAAGTTTGACTCATAATATCTCTATTGAAATACACCAAAAGATTACAAAATAACAAGCTATTTCATGGAGGGATGATGTCTACGACTTCTCCTTGTTTTCAGGATGGGTTTACTTTGTTGCAAAAATAAATCCAATGCAAGCATGTTAAGACTTACAGTATGCAAAGAATTAAAGTCAGTGATGTCATATTCAGGGCACCATAATTCCACGGTGGACAGGTCATTGCAAAAATAAACCCATCGCAAACATTTCAGGAGTTAGTGAAGAAGGAAAGCTCTCCGAGTGACAGCAGTAATTGCAAGTTTATTAATGTAGAGTGCATACATACATGGTAATGAATCAATACTCCCTGGACAAACTCTTCATCATTTTCTAGAGCAGGTCTGACAGATACATTATACACTGGTCTCCATCTCTCTTACTAAGAGTAGCTTAAATCATGTCATATATACTAAGTCAGAAACGATCCCAGTACAACAGTATTTAGCATGCCAGATAATATTAAATCAATGTGATACACCTCTGTACAGCCGACCAGTCTTGTGTTCGAATACTGATTTCCAACACCTCGCCTAAAACAATTCTGATGCAAACGCATGTATCACATCTTGTATATTCAGATGATTAGAGCTTCTTTGTCAGATACTACAAATACAGTTTGTCGCTAGTGTTTCACGGGGACTATACACATTTCACAACTTCCAAATGCACTGTTCGTAAAATTACCAGGATCATTTAAGAAAAGGAAGCCTTTCTATGGTCAGACTGCAGGTGAGAAACAACATCTCTAACTTAATTTTCCCAAAAAACACAGAAGTAGTTGAGCGCGTCGGCAGCACTAAAACAGTTTAACTCTGCCAGCAAGTCGCTGTCGTATAGTTTCTGAAAGTCTGCGTACAACACACAACCAGTGTGACACGGATGACAGTCAATAACAAGTGCTGTTCTCAATACAGGCAGAACATATTCACCACTAAACTGCCTGCCGACTTAGTACTGTTTACGAGAAAACAAAAAAAATCTGCTTTCTTGCTATCCATACAGAGGCCATCTTAATAAAATCCATGGATGACGTCAACAATTACAAATTCTGTCCAAAGAAAGCAAGACATACGGTTTGTTAGTAGCATTGAGATAGACAATACACAATATACTGATTTAGGTACATCTTAGTATTACAGTTTTCACCACTCTTGTAAATAAACAGTTCTGCAAATAAACAGATGCTTGCTTGTTTATTTCACATATAATTTACATCAAACTCTTATGCTTGCAGTGCCTGCTACCAGAAAGTACCAACATACAATTATTAGGTTGAAGGTATATGTGTGAGCATCATCCATTGGTTTATCTGACATGACCTGACTTGAATGCTGTGGACATTTAGCTTTTTCTTTTTTTACTAAAAACACTGCGTTGTCTGATGTATCTAGTTTCTCCTATGTGCCTGTAACCAACTAAAAGGAAATGTACAAATGAGGAAATGTGCAAGGTTTTTTTACTGGTTCTGTGCAGTATATAATCACAGCCATTGTTTATATGTGTGGTAATTTGGTCTGGGCTCGAGAACACTCAATTAGTAACTTGAAAATCAAAGTGAGAGGAAAACTGGATTCTCGTTTCGTTTGCTAAAAGGTCTTACACTATGTAACAAATGATTACACTATCACTTTCCAAATCCTGAAGGATCCCTTACAGCTTTCCTTACAATTCTGCATGAACAAACATGAGTTTAGCCAAGACAAGGTCTCAATTTCTTTCTATATTCCCAAAGATTTTCTTTCTGCCAGTCCTCTTATGTTGCTTCTAGCTGTCCCCTTTGTAAAAACAATTTCACCCATCTGCACACCAAGTCCACATCTGTTAAAAGTTAGGGGCTAAGACTTGCTTGGACGCATTACTGCAGTACTGTGTTAAGTTACCTGTGCCAGGTGCTGCGAAACTAGTCAACAATGTGTGTACACAGGTGAACAGTTCACAAACAGGGATGCCGCAACAAGTAATGCTGGCTTTACTGTCCTAACAATGACAGAATATTGATGGTTTCAATTGGAAACCTCTCGTCACCATACCCTCACAAAGGAGATCCTTCGATACAGGAATAAAATCCTACAGAATGATAAGGAAAACTACAAGGGTCGGTCAGGGATAGCTTTGTACAAGGCTGAACAGTGCCCCCTCCTCCAAGCTGCCCAAAACCATGTGTTTCTGCTAGGTGAAGTTATTTGTTGTTTTTGAGTTGGTTGGAAAGCCAGTCCAGCCCTTCGTATAGCCCGTCGCCGCTGGTTGCACATGTGGCCTGGATGTACCATTGTCGGTTACGCAGGTTGTGTAATGCCAACTTGTCCGTGATTTCTGCAGCATTCATGGCATTCGGAAGGTCCTGGAGGAAAACACAAAACCAGTTATTGTTACTGAGTGCCGTGTGGGCCGACTACTCTGTCTTTGCAGCCAGGGGGCTGAATTGCAAGGAGCTAACAATTCGTGGGGCTGAATTGCAAAGGTCTGGAGACGCTACCATTCGGAGCTAACTCAGGTGACCTCAAAGGGGTCACTATGAAAACCACTAAAATAAAAAATCACGAACATTTTGAGATTTATCAAATCAATATATCATCTGTTATGTCACTCCTTCAACAAATGTGGTAAATCTCAATAAATAAGCATTCAGTGATTCGCATCAACTCCCTAAAGCCTCTGTAGCCTATTCCCTGTCATTTCTATCAATCCCAAAGATAAGGCCTATGGAATGAAAAGTGTCAGAATGAATAAACTGTGTTTTACCTGCTTGTTGGCAAACACTAACAATACGGCATCTCTGAGCTCATCCTCTGCCAGCATTCGCTGCAACTCTTCCCGAGCCTCCGTGGCACGTTCCCTGTCATTGCTGTCTACCACAAAGATAAGGCCTAGGGAAAACAGGGACCAAGGGTTAGCATTCTCTCTCTTCGATGGAAGATTTTTGTTGGACAAAAAGAGCTTGAAATACCACCTACATATGTAGGGTAGTGAATGTAAAATTGAAGCTGTGCATGTACCCGGTATTTCTGATGTCTACCTGCACTGGTCCATGTACTGGGTTTTTGCAGGTTAGTGCAGATAAAATTGGAGCTGTGCAGGTATTTCTGACTACATGCACCTAACCTGCACTAGCCCTTGCAACTAACATCTTCACTTGCTGCATTGACCAAACTGTCTAAATTCTGAGTGGTGCAGATTAAGATTTTTCTGGTACAAGTAATGTTCAATTGTACTTATTCACAGACTTTGAAACTTACCTTGTGTGTTCTGGAAATAGTGACGCCACAGCGGTCTGATCTTGTCCTGGCCGCCCACATCCCACACAGTGAAACTGATGTTCTTGTACTCGACAGTCTCTACATTAAAACCTACACAGGGCAAACAAAATTTCACATAAGATCAAACAACCAATCGTCAATTATCAGGAAAAATGCACCAGGATACATATCTATTCATCTTTTTGCCATGATGGGGCAAATCAATCACCTTTATCATGCAAATTCACAAAACAGCCTCCAATCATTTGAGCAATTACCTCAAAGGTCTAACACACCTTTAATTCCAATAGACTCTAGAGGCTGAGACTGCCCAGTGACCAAAAATTTATCACATTTTTTACATGTGTTTTGTTCTTTAAATCATAGTTACATGTTGTGCATCATAATTTCGCCTGTTGCAAACGATATCTTTTCTAACACAACTTCTGGATTTTAGACACCATATATTACATGACAGGTTTCGAGTCGACGTGTTCTATCGAGCTGCTGATATGAAGTGTCTTACCAATGGTCGGAATGGTTGTGACAATCTCTCCCAGCTTGAGTTTGTACAAAATGGTTGTCTTTCCTGCGGCGTCCAACCCAACCATCAATATCCGCATCTCTTTTTTACCAAAGAGGCCCTGGAACAGCTTAGCGAACACGTTCCCCATGGTTGATTGCTTGTACGATTTGGCGCTTATCACAAAAAGGCCTGGAAAAACAAGACACAAGATGTACAGTGGTTAGAAGTGAACTGTAGAAAAAAAGCTGTCTTTTATCCAAATTTTTTTCATCTCTTACCTTCAATGACCCTACATCTGGTTATGCGAACCCTGATTTCAAAGTGAGCACATGCCCAGAGAATGTTACTGTTAGCTTTGTTCTCACTCTAAGCTGGCTTGTGGACAGGTTTGCCAAGTTTTGTGCACACCAACCCACAGTCTGGTTTACACTGAAAACTAACTGACATAATGATTGGGCAAACATCCAATTTGCCAACACCCTCAATACTTAGCCATGTCGTAACAAGTTTTCTCCCCAGATATTCACAATCACAAACATGTGTTTTCAAAGAGATTCAAGGCAAATTTCAACCGTCTAGTCCGGTACATAATTTTCATATTCATAATTACACTTTACACAGAGCAAGGATAATATATGGAGCATGGAGTTTCATGCCTTCAAGGTAGGATTGTAGGACAAAAAGCATTATCAGATTGTGTGATTGCTATATCCTGATTGTCTATTTATATAACTTGTGGTTTTGAAAAATGACTATCAACTCTTGGTGGGAGTCATTCAAACCATACAAACGACAAATTCCAAGAAAAAGAATGGAGTAAAACGTGTTAGTAATTGTTGCCGTGATAAAGACACATTTTTACAAAAACCGGTGCGATTTTGACAAAAATCACGGCATGATAGACCCACTTTTACCTGACAAGAGGCCAATCCACCCCCTCGAGAATGATGTGGGATGTTTTGCGGCTGATTTTGAGGAGGGACAACCAGAAGTTTCGGGAGTAAAGTTTGTCACGCCCCGATTCATGTGACTGACTGACAGCAAATTATGGCGAGTTACGATATACGTGGACATCGCACGTTTTTTTCTCTCCCCCAAACATTCCTCATGTATTACGTACGATTTGGGCTTGGGTTCAGTTCCAGACGAACATTTTCGACGTATTCGAAATGTGCTTGCCGACAAAATCCTTCCCAAACTGATGTACTAAAGCGAAATGTGCGTTTGGGTGGGAGGGAGGGGGGTAGCTACTGAAACTACCGGCGCGATTTACAAGTACAGTACCGTGCCGTTTCAGGTCCCTAAAAATTCACACTCGCTGCGATTCCACAAGTCAAAACGCACCAAAAGAAGCCAAAAAGCTTCCTACTAATTAAAACGCACAGAAAGAGTCGTCGTTTTGTGGCTAAGAAGCCAAGAAACAACCTGTTCCTAAAACGTTCGCAAGAAAATGAACAGACAACCTTGTCTTACATACACTAGCGGAAGTCGGCGCCAGATTGGGCAACCAGGAACAAGACACGAATTTGGCCTCAAATACCGTTTAAAAATAGACCCTATAGTATAAGAACTATTATAGTATGGTGTGTAAGGAGAATATATGAGGAAATGTGGGTTAAAATGTGAAAGAGAAGATTTTGAGACCCACCTCAGGTAGATACCAGTCTCCAAAATGGCGGATGTGAAAAGGTGTCGTTGCATGTGCCACGTCAGAGGGGTCTGAGTAATGCTCAATTGCGTGACCCCCTATCACGTGACCGGAACGCCCCGCACCCCTGCGACCTCTAGCGACTACATTTTATTGTGCAGAAGTTGATTGAGTACTAGTACATAAAATTTAAAAATTGAAGGTAGACCACTCACTGACTCAGCCAGTGCTCAAAAGCAGAAGTATTAAATGAGTGCCCAAAGAAAATTCCAGCTAAGAATGAGTAAAAAAAGTTTTTAAAATGGTTTGAAATATTTGCATTCATTTTATTTCAACCTGCTACCACTCTCAATCAATCCTCTGCGGGCATCATGGTCTGATGCTACCACTCTACTCCATTCAAATACATGAACATATAATGTTATACAAACACAAGCAAACTTACAGATAAATGTTAACATACAAAAAGTATAACGTTACCTCCGTACCACCTGTTATACTGAGGGCATTATTCCTTTAAAAGATCATACTAGTATATCATTGGTAATACAATGGGGGTAAAAAATCTAATTTTGTGCTCCCTTCTTGTGATTTTTTTACCTCCATGGTTATACATGTACTAAGGGTTGCTTTATACCTCTCCTTTATACCTAGGTAAAAGGGGAAAAAAGGATTTTGATGTCGATAGAATACATGTATTGGAATCTCCGAAAATTTGATTACAGTGTGCATGGATTTATCTTTGCCGAAAATACTCCCAATTTTATATTTTTATCTAATTTCAATTTTACTTACTCTGTACTCTATATGACATTTGATACCTACAGTTCAAACTCGTCGAAGAGAGGAAACCCCCTGTACAAAAATTGGTACATTCTTACAAGTGCGCATGCGTTCAATGTACCCATACGACACACGAACTGAACAGTTCTTCGAATGATATTCTAACTAATATTTATTGAAAACGTTTATTTTTAAATCCGTGTGTGTAGTGTGAAGCATCATTATGTCTTTCTGTAAGGATGACAAGGTGAGTGACACTAAAACTACCCCACCCAGGGGCAGGTTTTGTCCTGTAGACCCCGCCATGTGTTAATGCCCCCCCCCTCTTCCCGGCTGCAAGAATGGCGCGTTTGGACCTGCGTTTGCCAATAATTTCTAACTTTTCAACTTCGCAGAATTACAGTCCAGAAAATTTTGATATCAATGACATTATAGCTTTGACTGTACTCAAATCAAGAGTTATGTGTACTGAAAGTTTGACTTTCACAAAGTTATATGCTATTTCGTTGTACACGTGCTTTTCTATATGGGGGTGGGGGGTGTAGGAGAAAATATAGCGGTACCAAATTATATACTATAGCACGTATAGACTACCTGTAGCAAAATAGTCGACAGTAAGCAAGAACAACAATAACAACGAAAATTTAATCATAGTAACACATTATATCACTACAAGTAACTGGTTTTGGCGGCTAAACAGATACATACATTTCGTACTTGTTGGTGATGTAACTTTTACTCTGATTTTGTGCCACCAGGTCAAAGATTTCAAGGAACACTTCTGCAAGGAGGTAAGGACCTGATTTTTGTAACCTGCGCTGTTTTAGTGGGCAATTTAGAGATATTAAATTAGACTTGATATCCAGTATGACAATTTTTTAGATTACCACTAAATTGTAATGTAATGTAAGTCCCATAGCCTTCACGGCCGTAGGGGCATCATGACAGCCAGCAACATGTCTGGACTTGTCACGATGACTCCTCAGGCTTATAATCTTGGCGGCGCCTATCTCCTCTCCAAGATTTGGCTGATACAGACGGGGTTCGCCAGGCCTCCGTCCGGGTGAATGATGTAAATCACCATGTGGCATATACAAGACGGAGGTCGCCAGGCCTCCGTCCGGGTGATTTGAAGTTACTAAATTACTCCTACTAAATAGTACTATTGCATTGTCTGATGTTGTTACATCTACAGACATTCTATTATGGTCCGCTATAGCAGTATGATGTATAATATATTTCGATTATTCTAATCTCATCACATAATACATGTACATGTACTTTACATCATGCAACATTAACTGTGGTTTTATTTTTGTAGTGTCCTCTTTATGTAAAATCATGATACTGCAAATGTGTGTTTTGTATTTCTATAGTACGACCAGAAAACCAGGTAGTGAGTATGAGTGAGGGAGACTGTAATATTTAATCACACCTCGTATGTTTTCCAGGCAGAGACGATCGTCACCGATGACTTTCCCAAGAAAATTATTCAACTGGACGAACTACTAAAGGTAACCACATGCTGAGGGCCTTACCATTTACAGTCAGGCCACACTGATTTTATTATTACTAGTATATGTTGTGGTGGTAGAAGGAGAGGAATGGTCTCTACCTTCCCAATCCAATACTGTGTCCTTATAGACACAGTGGATTAACAACCCACTGTCCATGCTGCCTGAAAAAGGCTATGACCGAGTATGGGACTACCTTTACTCTTACCTACCTTATTAAATTATTTGTATATTATGAATGTACTGTACTGAATACGGTTGTGTTCCCTACAGTCGGACATGTTCCAGTGTGACGACCTGACACAGATGCACATGGACCTGAACGTGCCCATACCTGACCCCGTCCTCGTTAACTCTCATCAGGTAAGCAACCACACCTGGATAATTACTGGTTAACGACCTTCGTCTCCTGATGTCCTGGCCACTAACCTATAGCCACATTGTAAAGCCTCAAAGGTCTCAGAATCAGTCCAGGAAGACACCAGGAATTAGAAATCAACATGGAGGGAATTCAGGAAGCTGAGGATTGCATACTCCCTGGAATTCTGAAGTCTTCTATTTCTTGTGTTTATATTATCTATATGTCTTGTGTAGAATTTTACAGCCTTAATTGTAAGACATATTACAGATGTCTGAAATGTGTGTTGTTCTGTTCTGTATGCCAGTCTGATGCCAAGAGAAGGAAGCTAGACCACAGTTTGGATGATATCCAAGGTGAGCTCACTATCCAAGGTAAGGTTTCTTCACATACTTATCTTTCCCTTTCTAGAACATGGAATAAAAGACTCTTTTTTTACGTAACCAAGTGAAGTGACTTACCAACCTGATGAAATTATCCCGTTTGTGACTAGGTACTAAAGTCTACCTGAATCCTGCCGGCAAAGTCACCTGTAACACCAAACTGACAAAAATCATCGAAGTCATGAAACCAGAAATCAGGACGCTAGTGGAAAAATGCAACATGGTAGGAAGACATTTTTTATGTTAATGAGCTGCACAATGTGCATGTCCAACCAGGACCCTTGTTCCTTACAGTTAGTGTCGTATCTAACACTGAAACCAGTGACAGAGTCACTGATTGGTCACACTTTTGTGAGAAGTCAATTATGGTTTCCCTTTGTAGAATTGTTGATGTAGAAATATTTCAAAGTAGTTCATTTTTGCTTATGACATTGGTCTAAACATGTTTTTAGTAATATTGTAGTAACGTGTATTCAGAAGTTCTGGGGGTGTGATGTCTCAGATGTCTTGTTTCAGTTGAAGATGTGGGTTCAGCTTCTGATCCCGCGGATCGAAGACGGGAACAACTTTGGTGTCTCCATCCAGGAGGACACGCTGGGCGAGCTGCGGCAGTATGAGAGCGAGGCGGCGGCTTACCTCGACCAGATCTCAAGGTAAGAAATGTTCACGGTTTTCTGTTTTTTACTCCCGGGAAGTATTGTTTTGGGTGTCTCACTGGTGAGTTTGTATGTTTCCTGTCCGTTTGGCATCTATGGAATGGAGAGTGGGAGCTGGTTTTACAATTGTTAGGCTGTGGTTGAAGATATACATGTAGATAGATTGTTTTGAAAGTTGGCAGGTTGGTAGGTCTTGACTTATTGAAGAATTGAATGGATTTTGGACTCTTACTGCAGAACTCCAGTTTCCTTCTCATATTCTCTCTGGACATACCATGGTCACGATTTTTGGTCAGTAGATAGTTCTGGTGCTCAGGAAGAAGTGATATAAGTTTGGGTCGACTAGCAGCTTCCTTTAGAACTCCAGAGGCATTTTATTTGCAGACTTTATTTAATCGTAAGAGCTGATTCAAGAAATGCAACCGTCTTTCCCTACCTTGACTACTTGCAGGTACTTTATCACAAGAGGGAAGCTGGTGTCTAAAGTAGCCAAGTACCCCCACGTGGAGGACTACCGACGAGCGGTGGAGGAGATGGATGAAAAGGAGTTCATCAGCTTACGGTTGGTCTGCTGTGAGCTGCGCAACAGCTATGTGAGTAGACAGATTCATTTCAGGGGACAGAAGGGATGTTTTGGGTGGCTGAGTTGTGTGTTTGTCTGGACAAAGTAGGTTGACAGCACATGGATGGGAGCAAGATTGACAGGCAGAATGACAGGAAGTCAAAAGGTCAGACACAGGAAATGGCTCTGACCCGTAGCCAGCAGGAATTTAGCAAGGGAGTGCACAAGGGACTCTTCAGTACTTCTTGAAGTCTGAAATCTCTGATTTTTGTTCTATTTGGGAAAAAACTTACAAGATTGGGAAGAAAATGTTAATTCTCTACAAACTAGTTAGAGGGACAAAAAGGACGTCATCAGCTTACAATTGGTCTGCTGCGAGCTGAAGTTATGTGAGTACGGGATATTTCAGCAGAGGTCAGCAAGCCATTACAGGGCTCCAGACCAACTTTTTGACTTAAGAGCACTGATGGTGCCAACACTAAAAAGTTTGGGTGTACCAGCAAAAATCACTGAAGGTAGTTGTATTGAATGTTGACTTGCAGGACATCACACAAATATTGTGTACTCTGTTCATAGAAACATGCAAGTGGAAGTATCATGATCAGAGAGCTAGAAAGCAAATGAATATACAGTCATGATATGTTATCTTTGCAGTCTGTAATATAGACATGCAAGTTGCTTTAAAAAATTTCAAGGTACAGAAGTGGGGCAGTCTGGTGGTTTGTATAAGCCTGGAGTCTATTCTTAGACAAGCTCCTGCCTGCTCCTCTGATTGCTTTCTGCAGATGAGTCTGCCACCCACTCCTGTCCTCATTTACATGTTATCCTTCACATTTAGCATGTGGCAACCAGGTCAGTTTTTGACTTAAAACCTAAGTGTACCAGCTTCGGTTCCCTGGCAGGCCCCAATGTTATGCCACTTGCACTTTACACCTATTTCCTCACTTGACTCAGGTGAAAATGAGTACCTTACTTTGGTTAGGGACATCCTCTCATATAGGATGTTTGGAACAGCTAACTCTGCTTACATTGTATAGATATACATGTACACACACATGTAAACTAAGTTTACTCCTCAATGAAAATAGTTTTTTTCTTGTTATTAGAGATAGTGCTTTTTAAAATGAGTTTTGTTGGTCAAAATTGAAGGGTTGGGCAAAATTTTTGTCCATCATGAGCAGCAAAATTCTGTCAAATGACATAAAGACAGATACTGGCTAGAACACTGGATTCTCCACATCTAGTTTTTGTTCTGACTGTGGTCTTTTCCCATTGCAGGCTGCCCTTCATGACCTCATAGTGAAGAACATTGAAAAGATCAAGATGCCAAGAACCAACAACACAGAGTCTCTCTATTAGACACTACAACACGATTTAAACAGAGGCTGCTGAAGACACAGACCTTTTCCACAGGTCCCAAGGCATGATGGGAGGTGCAAGGCACTATGAGTAGTACAATGTCCAAACAACACCATTATTTTGATGAGTTAAGCTCCCCCAAACCCTTTTGGCGGGTTTAAAAAATAGTAGAACTCAGTCAAATAGGGAGAATATTTTGTCGTCCAGCTATAGGAGTGTATATTTAAAGGCAAAACTTTCTCCCAATTTTTACTGTTTTTCCAAGTCAAGATTGTCATTATGTCGTTTTATCCCATGTGCTACCCATAATTCCCTGTGCCTACCAGCATGCACTGGGATCAGCGCTGAACTCACCATGCGTGAACTGTGGTATGAGAACTTCAGCAAATGTAGCAAAAGTCTAAACAAGAACTTGTACCAGCTTTATCAAACTGTGCTCGACTTCAAGCACGACTCATGCCCCTTTAATCTGAAAAATTAACTCGACAAATTTGCAAAATATTTAATTCTGAGGATTTACTCCCAGTAGTTTACTTTTGATTCCATGTGAGGTACCGGGATACTTCTAAGCAGAACATCCAGACAAGAAGTCATATTTCTAAATCACAACGAACTATGGCATGTACCAAAAGTTGGTTTTGTTTCAGTTCTGTTGGCTTCAATGTTTTACCAGACAGGCAAGTTTTTAATGTGCCAACACCAGGCTTTTAGCTAGGGGGTGTCCAGGGTGTCTTTTGGACGCCCTGTACTGAAAATAATAAGAAATTGGACGCCCTACTTTTTTGTAGGACACCCTAAAGACGCCCTATTTTTTCCACTCCCAACCCTTGCCATGCACATATGCCTCCCTTCAGCCTTACTATAAATACCAAAATGATGGTTTACTGAAGGAAAAAACTCAAATTTACACCTGAAAATGCAGAAAGTAGTGTTTGAGAGCATTATGAATTTCAAAAAAGCCCCCCTAAAATCTTGCACTCAGCATGTCTTCACTGTGCATAGCATACAATAAAAAAAATGGACGCCCACCAAAAAAATCCTAGCTAAAAGCCTGGCCAACACTAATGTATGAAACCTATCTATGAATGTAGGGAGGGTACTGGAAAGTGCATCGCTGCATGTACATGAATGTGACTTAATTTAACAAAATCCATTACTAGTACTCATAAATACTGGTAACATACTTGAAAACAGTATAAGACTGTTTTCAAGCAGTCTTAACAGTAAAACAGTATAAGACAGTATAATATTGCAAACAGGTCTAAGTTCTAGTTTGTATTTGACTAAATAGCTCCCAGCATGTCTGTTCAATGATTGGTTCTCAGTTATGGGAAAGTATCCTTTTTTCTAGGATCATTACAAAAATTAAGAAAACTACATCTTTTCATGAAACATTGGATAGAGATTTTATATCATATTGATAACTTGATTTTTTTTATTGTCGCATTACCATAGTTGTTTTATTTAGGTAACGTTTTTGCCCTGGCTACTAGTCTTTTTTCCTCCTATTTTTACGATACTGACTTTTTGGGGAGGAAAAATTAAAGAAGCAACCATCCAAATGGGTGTGTTGGACTGTGTCCTCTGCTGTGTAATTTTCCTAATAAAGTTGTACTGTATCATACATGTTTCACATCATCACATTTTTCCAAGCAACACTACTACTAGTACTAGGATCAAGTATATGTACTTGCCTTCTTAGTGTTCTCTTTCACCTAAGTTAACCATTGACCAATATTAAAGGCTAGTAGAGAAGACAACCAATCAACGTGGATTATGCTACTTACAGTTTTATTCACAATGAGAAAATAAGAAAGATACATTGTATTTACAAAAGCTGTCACGAGGTATGAGATCTCTAAACTCTAGTTACTATTATATTGGTGATATGTTCCATAGATTAGTAATAATAATGCTGTATAATGGTTTTCTTTGTTCCTCCTTACATAGGGACCATCTGGCCCTACAGAACTTATGAAGCCTTCCAGGGTTCATGAGGCACTGTTGTTTGTTGAATATTGTTCTAAAAGTTGTTTTTAGTTACTTGTTAGTTATCGTTTAGTTGTTATTAAGTTAATGGGTGAAGACCAAGTATAGGTTACGGTGGCACTGTCCATCTTCTGCACATTTCATACATTTCTTTTTTTACACTTATTTACACTGTGAGGATAAAGACTTAGTACTAAATACATTTGTAGTAGATCAATAAACATGCTGTTAACACATATTACACAATATATACTTACACATACAAAAACACTGATATTTACATATCACGAAATTTCTCCATTGTCAAATCTACATAACCCATCTTGGCATGGCAAATTTCCTGGGTGCAAGGTAAGCAAACAAAGCATCTCATTCACATTAAAAATCACATTCACAATATACAATTACATGTACAAATAGTAGATCAAACAAGAAAGCTTTTCAAAAAGCTGGCCTGAGGCCATGCCAAATTGGAATAGCTGGTTGGGTAGCATGGGTATGCATTATTAATGACTCAAATGATTGGTCACGTTGGTGACCTGAATTGTAGCAATGTTAAAAAGAGTGGATTTAGATGCACTCTGCTTATAACAGTACTTGTGGCAATGATATTTAGATATATAGTATGGCCAGCAGAAAAAAGGACTACTTGATGATTTGGCCATTTGAAATACATGTACCAGTAAAGTCTAGAGACTTTTGCGGCGCAGACGTGCTTCGTCTGTCTGTGACGTCTTATTAGTAAGTTTAATGCTGAAGGTTTTTGACCTGTGAATTCGGCCTTCCCCGGGTGTTGCCCAAGTATCCTCATTGGACCTGGCAATGCTCAAATGTCCAGTCGGTGGACTAGACATGTTTCGGTTGCTCTTGGTTACTTTCGTTACAGGTTCATGTTTGAATGCATCTTTGAGCATAACGCTAGTCTGCACTGTTTTAGGCAATTTAGTGGCAGTAGGAGGATTGCTGTATAATGCAATGATTTTATTACTAGAACGCTGCGTTCTGCCATATTCACCCACCAAAGACATAGTACCTCGGGCTCTACGGTTGACTGATGCAGGTATTCCGTAGGATGGAATGGGTGCATTTCTTGCACCAACTCCATAATGCTGTGGAACTGCTGCAGCTCTAGAGGCTGTGCCATAAGACTTACACCGTAAGTTTACCATAGGAAGGGCTGCTGAGGCATTGAAAGACACAGGACGTACTTCATCGTCATGGCCTGACGACAGAGGCTCCTGCAGTGCCAGAGGGCACGACAGGGGGCGCCCTGTGGTGTTTTCGTAGTGGGCAGTATGCAACGATGCTGGATGCGTGTTGTAGTAGTTGAAGTATTCGTCGGGAATCTCCCAGTATGTGGCTGGCGGTAAAGTGTCAGTGTTTTGGTACTTGTTGTATGTGTCAGTATTTTCGTACTTGTTGTATGTGTCAGTGTTTGGGTACTTGTTGTAGTATTCGTCCGGAATTTCGCTGTACGGATGCTCATCACCTGAACACGAAGCTTGCTCAGTAACACTACCAGTTGCTCTATCGCGACCTGCTGTACTGTACCTGATGTTGACAGTAACAGCCTGGCCGCTGGCCCCACCTATCATCCAGTGATTCAAGGAGGCAATACTGAGGGGAGACCCTACTGAGGCTTGGGCAAGCTGTGCAGCTGGGTTACCCCGCGAACGGGCAACCAGTGCGGCTTGGTTACCCCGTGAACGGGCAAGCTGTGCGGCTTGGTTACCCCCTGAACAGTAGCCATGCTTTCTGAGTGAACGTGTCACGGGAAGCATTGCTATCAGAGTAAGTCCTACCACAGCTAACAAAGTGACGAGACGCACAGGTAGGGCTGTCCTCTTACCCGGCTGTGCCGGCACAGTACGAGCTGTGTAAGGAATCGTCAGATTCTCGATCTCAGGGTTTCTTGTGCCTGCTGGGAACGTCTTTTGATCTGTTTCCTTTTGTTCTACACAGGAGGAGCCTTCAAGAGTGTCTATCAGGGGCGAAGTGAAAACATGACGGTATGTCTCCCCCCAGGCTGTGTTGACAAGACATGTCACATTTTTCGGTTCATGGCCAAAAGCAGTTTTGACGTTTTTACTGTACCTATCAGTATAATTTCCGTGTTCACCAACTGTTATATCATTCAGAACTACTGCAACGCTCTGGGATTTGTCAAATTTGTCTTCACAAATAGGAACGATTCGCAGATTAGCCTCGTGGCCCAAAGCAACGTTCACGCTACTGGCATCTTTCCAGGCATATTTACACAAGTGTGTGACATTTTCAGCTCGTTTGTCTGATTTCAGGAATATTACCACGAAGGACAGATCGTTTTCTATCTTGCTTCCATTTTGTACATTAAGTGATATGCACTGCCGTAATAGTCTGATATCTGGCTGCGCTAGCTGCATGAGGAAATCAGGATACATGCGGACATGATAACCGCCCATTTCATAAGCTGGAGTAGTAACACATAAAAGTGCTTCGTTTACCGTCAATGCGATGTGTTGTTTGGATGGGTCCTGGGGAGACTGCCAATAATCAAGACTCCAGTTGATCACCGACGGAACAGAGTCAATGGAAGAAATCGACTTATTTCCACTGATTTTAAGGCTTTCTAATTTGGGGATCCTCTTAACAGTATCACTAGACAGATGATTCAATGCGTTATCACTCAAGTCCAGTTTGTTCAACAGTAACAGAGACTTAAATGCCTCCGGATGGATGTTTTGGATGACATTTGATGCTAAGGAAAGCATGCCCAGACTCTGTAGTTTGTCAAACCAATATGGCCCAACACTTTGCAGTGAGTTATTGTCTAGAAACAACACTTCCAAAGAAGCGAGGTTTTTAAAGCAGTTTGAATCTATGCTGCTGATATTGTTATGCGATAACGACAGACTGTAGAGCAATTGTGGGAACTTTAAAGCAGTGAACCATTTTTGCTTGACGTGGGTCAAGTTGTTGAAGTCAAGGTTTAAGAAGCTTAATTTAGGAAACATAGCCAGAGTGTGTTCTTCTATATCTGTGATTCCACAGTCAACCAGAGAAAGAGTACGCGCGGTCGGCTGCTGGGGCGGGGATAGTTTCTGAACGGACAGTAGCCCAAATGAGAACCCTCTAACTGCCACATACATGCTGTTAGGGAGGCATGTTGAGTTGGTTTCAAAAGAATCTAGCGCATCATATTGCTGTCGCTGCGATTTGCAAAGGATACATGTGGTATCGGAAAGGATCTTAGGCCTGTACCCGATACCCTTACCAAACATTGACCCACTGTAGGGGACGCAAGTCCACCAGACTTCCGTGCTCTTGCACCCAGGAAAACATGCCGGGTTAAAACTTCCACATACGTATACAGCCTTGATGATGAGAACTATAACAATCAGCTGTACTACTTTCTTCATGCTAGTTATGCGATTTCGCTTTCAATAAGATGCAAAAATCAAAGGTGCAAGCCACAATTTTCAATCTACTCTCTAAGCAGAGGTTTCTTCGGCTTATTTTGACGTGTTTTTTTATCGGGCTTTTTTTATTGATGTATCTTTTTTTCGCCAACTAAACTCCAGGTGGGGTATTGGATGCAATGATACTATTTTGCCAACTTGAAGCCACTAAAAGATCTGCTTGGAGAGTAAAAATATTCTAATGAAATGACTAGAGTTCAGGCTTCCTCCCTTTCTGATTCTGACGTAGTGTTGTTTCACTTGGGTGAAGAGGCCAGCAAATGGTCACGGTGGTCCTCCCTGAAAAAAATTATACGTGTATATCAGCCTTGATCATGATCTATGTTAGAAAATTTGAAAAATTCAGAAAATGTAAATATTAGTCAAGTAGGAATCTGGTCTGTTCATCTCAAATATGCCCTAAAACGCCAGTGAAGACAACACACGTATCCAGAATCGTTGCCACTGATCTAGCAATTGAAGACACACACCCGTTATGTAGCCCAGCCCATCGTATGGTAAACGTTTTCACAAGTGAATCAGCAACTATAGGGCACTGAGACTCAGGTTTGCAAACAGATCTATATAGTGCATTATTAATATTCATCACACATGGATAAATACAGACTCCATTATACATAAGGCTTTCCTCCGCCGTCTCATTTCAGCTTAAGCCTTGTGAGCTGAAAATAACCTGGATGTAAAAATCCACGAACACCCTGAGAGCGCAAAACGATATTTTGTCAGAAATTGAAAATCATAAGACTAGCTTTAGCTTTATATCAGTTTATGCGTGTCATTGGAACCGCAAAATCACAATAACAGCTGTATAGAAACGAAAAAAAGGATGAACTTTTTTCCATGTGATATTACAGACAGTCTGATTTAAGTATGTATTAACCGTTCCTACCTGATTCTGATATTGTTGTTCATCACGTTATATACAACAGAACTTTCTCTTCCTTTGAATAAAGTATACAATTTGTCAGTGCAAGTTCCTGTCGTCTTGTATCGCTCTCAGCAAGGTCAGGTATAGTCACCATTTTTAACAAGAATTGTCTGACGACCTTCCTTTCCTCAGGTACAAAAGTGGTATTTTGGGCTGCGAGGCAATTTTCCGCTTGTGTAAATATTTTACGAACTGTCTAGAATTTGGACAAGGCTGCAACTCTAAAGAAACACAGACAATTCGACAGTGCTATTAAAAAGGAAACTGGTCATTTTATCATGTTTGTCACGTCTTTCTTCTCATTTATCTATTTCATATATGTTGAAGTGATTTTAGGTCGGCGACACCTTTTCCAATCTTGTCTCAAACTCACCTTGTAGTATCTCACACTGGTACTTTTTCTCTTCTCTCTCTCTCTCGCTTGCCCTTCTTGCAAGCCTTGACAGTAGCACCAGCGACCTCAGTCTCAGACTCTTTTCTACCCGTGGTCTCGTATTTGTCTGTGGATGGCAATACCAAATGATTTGGCTTTACTCGATGCCTGTACACACGTATTCCCTTATTTCTGGTAAACCTGGATTTAGTTTCGAGGGTCCGTAGACACATATTTGACTTGAAGATCAAGTTTCGCCATGACAATTTATCTCCAGGCAGATGTACGTGTGGTATGACAATTTGCCCAAAAAATGCAAAAATTTGCTTTTTTGCCCACTTAAACCGGTAACTCTGCCAAGGCACTACTTAAGGCACTACTTATTCGACCTAGATTGATGCTATGCGTATAATTCCCGAAGCACAGTATGTCCTTACAACGTATCTACAGGTTGAAAATACGGAACTCTTACACACCTTCTCTCAGGACCAGACTCTTGCGTCGCTGTACGGCTGTCCACCTCAAGCTCGTCTGAGGTTGATTACGTGCGGCGTGAAGGACTTATCCCGCCGGGCAGTTGATGAAATTCCTTCTAGCGGTTTAATCTGATACCATCGTACCATCATCATCTGTGTCAACTGAATGCATTGTCTGGGGATACGTCTGGTTTTTGATTTGAAAATATAAGCATGGTCTGTATGTGTGTGTGCACGTGTGTCATGGTGCCCGTGTGCACGTGTGTGCACGTGTGTGTGTGTGTGTGTGTGTGCCCGTGTGTGTGTGTGTGTGTGCGTGCGCGCGCGCGCGCGCGTGTCTGTGGTTCAAAAATCTACCCCACTAAACACTAACAGTTATGTCAACAAATATATGCCACCTATATTACCTAGTATGCGTTAAAACGTACATGGTCCAGTGCAGGTAGACATCAGAAATACCTGCACAGCTCCAATGTTACCTGCACTAATCTGCACATACCCAGTACATGGAGCAGTACAGGTTAGGTGCAGGTAGACATCAGAAATACCTGCACAGCTCCAATGTTACCTGCACTAATCTGCACATACCCAGTACATGGACCAGTGCAGGTTAGGTGCAGGTAGACATCAGAAATACGTGTACCTGCCAAGATATTAACTATGGACTAGAATCAACGGAATTAAGACGTTAGTTGTGCGCCACTAGTTTTAAAGAAAGGGTTGCTTAAAGACCTCATTGGTATACATGGTAAACATGTTCTATAGATATCACCATATACTGATATCGGCTGTGATAGAGAACACTAAAAACCTTGAGTCACGCCATGCACTGTTACACATGGACGCTAGTCGGCGCTTCTGTATTGCGTCTGCCCATCATGTGGTGCCACCATGCCCCCGAAGCATTGTTGTAACAGTCAGCGGCAACTCGTGGAGTTAAATGTGCGAATGTTAGGCGTGACAGGTCGTTCAATGTAACATAATTAGGCGCCTGGTGTGTTTGATTTGCCGAATGGTGGTTATACTGGTTATACAGATACAGATACAGGAGATATGTTACATCGAAGGACGGTTTTACCGTCTATACAGATACAGATACAGGTACAGAATTCGAAGCTGGTGTGACGAATGACAGTTATGCCGCGCGGTTATATCATAGAGTGCAAATTCCATGTTGCCAAATACGGCGCTTATACATATCCATACAACTATATTATGATCGCATGCATACGCGCGCACACACACACACTCACTCACACACACACACACACACACACACACACACACACACACACACACACACACACACACACACACACACACACACACACACAAGCTATGGTGAAGCATGTAGATTTTGGCTTCCCCTCGCTTCTTTTTAATATTAGAAATGCCATAATTTTTTTGTCCGAAGGTTTGTCTTGTAAGAAATGCGAATCTTTCCTTATTATGTGACAGCAGCTGAAGAAACCGAAGACAGAAGATTGTCTCCTCGACAAGATAAAGAGATCTATTCACCTCATTGTGTTCTAATGGCTCAAACCATTTCGGGTCGGGAGTGTTGTACTTAACATGTTTGCTGTCACAACTATCTGCACAAATTATCTGATGACAATGATAAGAATGCAGGTGGTTATGTTTACTTCCGGTACTTTTTTAAAGGAGACAGAAACAAGATTCAAAATTGATGGGGATGGGTCGAAACATCCTTCATTTGCTTTCAAATGTTAAGCTTCATTCGTTCTCTTTGGTGCGTCCGTAAAAGCGAAACTATCTGCTTGGCAAGTACTGTCAGGGTATTAGGAGCCCAAAACATTGTGTTGTTACTTTCCATTACCGGTTTAAAACCGCTGTACGCTAAGAGACTACAACAGAGCTTTCCTTGTTGGGTTCCCTTGCCCTGGGTTTCCCGAATGCCCTTTTAAACGCTGTAATCAAGGTGAGTGGACAAATATTGGCATTTCCTCCCTCCCGGCAAACATGCCCCGCCCCAGCACGCGTCCGGGAGAACCGCCGATCCTGATTGGCCAGCATCCGGGAGAACCGCCGCACCCGATTGGTCAGGGTCACCGACCAATTAGGCGCCGCGGGGTATATTTAAACGGTGTGAGGCTCCGACCCGGGGCAGTGTCAAAGTAGGGGCAGTACCGAGTCCACACAGCTCCTGCAAAACAATGGACGGGTTCGGTTGCGTCGCTAGCGATCTCGACTTCGCGAGGATGCTAGAAGACATCCTGTCCTCCCCTCCTCCATCGCCGAGTGGCGATTTTCTGGAAGAGTTTATGGACGATGTGAGCGAGACAAGTTTCGACTCCGGTTCTGACGGCTGCGCCACAAGTTTCGGCTCGGACGGAGCAGCGTCGCCGGTCAGAGATGAGGATGCGTCGCCTGCGAGGAAGAAGAAGAAGTCGGCCACGCAGAGGAAGAAGCAGCGTCTAGCCGCCAACGTGAGAGAACGTCGCCGCATGGAGTCTATCAACGGGGCCTTCGATGTGCTACGGAAACGGGTCCCGACGCTGGCGTACGAGAGGAGGATCTCCAAAGCGGACACCTTGCACCTGGCCATCGGGTACATTCGGTTCCTGTCGGACCTAGTCAAGTCGGACACGCAAGGTGGAGAAGCAGTTGCGCACAGCCGGCTGAAGAAGCCACCGAAAATCATCATAAGTCACAAAGGAACAGGTGGGTTCAAGACAAATTCAGAAAAAAATTGTTTTCATTTATATGTTTGTCCTCCTCACTACTGGTAGATATTTTAGACAACCCCCTGATTCTGGAACATGGCTGTTCTTACCTTTTCACCATCACAGTGAAGCGAGAAGTCGAATTTACTTTTGGCTATAGTGTTAGTGCTAGATTGATCATTGTGTATAAGCAAGCTATTCCTTTGCTGTGACCTGTACTGTGGGTACAATAAAGGTCTTCATTCATCCATATATTATGCCATAGCGACAAACGTTCTGTGACTTTTCATACATCTATCATACATACATACATACATACATACATCTTTTATGTAGACATTTTTGTCGTGCCAACAAATAAATCATTCATTGAATTTTTTTTTCTTTATTCTTTTTTTTTTCTCTCCAGGAAGCATGTCGCCCACCGACATGGAGTACGGGGTCCCGCCGCTAGAGGGCCACTCCCTCTCATGGACAGACGAGAGAAAACCCGTTTCAAAGGGACAGAGACTTGTCGCGAAAATCTGGACACCAGAGGACCCAAGAACGGAGAGCACAAAGAGTAGTACTAGTAGCTTGCCGATGGAACAAGTTGTGCCAGCGTAAGAGAAAGACTTTTAAATACGACACTACTGTGGACAGTATATACAGGCCTGGAGCCTTTTTGTAAAAAATGCAATTGGTACTTCGAAACATGTACATAATCTACTATTTTATAATCTCTTTATATGGTAGCTTTTGGAGTTTATTGTACACATCAGACATGTATTGTTCTAAAAAGATGTCGCATCTACGATGTTCATTTTGAATGTATTTTGCGGTATTTCGCTATTTTCTATATATTTCGCTCTCGGATCCCAAGTAAACTGCTATTTTCTATTCCATGTTATAGACCGTGTGTTCACCACCGATGTATAACAAGTTGTATATGGTCATTGTGAAGTACAGCCATGTGTATGTATGATGTATATAAAATGTTGAACGGAAATGCCTTTGTTGTGGACTTTATTGCCCACACGGGCAGATTACATAAGACTTTCACGTGCAAATATCGGGACAAAAAAGTAATAAACCGAATTTCGCCCACATACAATACTTAAATCCCTGTGTTGGGATACCGCCGTTTTTCAAAGAAATGCTCTTGTATTCAGCTCCGGGGACAGCATTATCAATCAGGCCCCAAATCACCTTTAGTCCACCTGGCCCTGTGCGCAAATTTACCCTCCCCGCGATTCCTGGCTTGTATCAATGTTGACTTTACGCAGTTTGGTGCCGACACTACAAACACAAACACGCGATGCTTCAGGGAGCGACATGACGGGGTGATATTGTCGTGTTTTGTGGCACTTGAAAAACCCTCCAGGAAGCCCTTCAGGTGTCGAGTGAAACTCGGAAACGGCCCCCCTCCCCCTTTCCTTCCGCTCGGAAACGTTTTAATAAACCTCGCTACTGAGTATTCTCCAAGCAGATGTTAGGTCTGTTTTAGACGTTTCTGTGCCATGATACCTAAAGAAAAGCTAGCAAAATAGAAGACCAGGCAAATCGGCTACAAAAGCGTCCAAAACAGGCCTAACCCCTGCTTCGAGAGTATCATTTGATAGTAATGGACACGTCAACATTCGATTGATTATTCTCTAGAAAACAGTCATTTCAAAATACGGAAAGAAATATTCTAACGATTTAAGTTGGGTCCTCATGGTACTGTTGCTTAGGAATCAAATGAGGGACTGTGTCATATTTTCAAACCTTTTTCTTTGATTTTGACACGCGTCATGATTTTTTTAGTCACCTGTAGCCAAATAATTACATCTGTGGCGAAAAATCTTGCACTATCTCCTGCTTTTGTTTCGACCTCCTAACGATTTCTATTTTCCGGTAATCTCTCTTCTAGTCGCGTGTTCTTGTTTGCTTCCATTTCAACCGTGTGTTTGGTTTGTGTCCAATACGTTCTACCCTACCGCTTAGCTTAAAGTGTCAAAACTTAGGATGTTTATTTTTGTCCTAAACCCTTTCTTTGTGTAAAAGCCTGTCCTATATACAAAAACAACAGCTCACACTTTCCTCCGTCGTTCTTTACGAAGTTTTCTGTGTATGGTAACTAGTTTGTGTAGGCCGGGTAATTCTGTGCGCAGTGTACAAATATTGGCTCTTCCGCTCATGTTGACAAAACGGTATCCACGCGAGAGCCACCCTCCCCCTACCCCCGCCACGCGCCTTCAAAACCGCGCACGGACGTGTCCCGCTCTGCGATTGGTCCACGAGTTCTAGTTCCACGTGTCACGGGTTTTAGTTCGAATCCAACAAGAGGGAGGCCCCGGGTTTTAAAGAGACCGCTGACCGCGGGTGTAAACTCAAGGGACGGCGGAGCCATGTCCACCTTGCGTCAAGACGTCACGTTGGACGACATGAGCAGCGTCGGCAGCGACGTCGACGTCGAGCACTTCTTCGACGACTTCGCGTCGTCGCCGTCGTCTTACGACAACCTGGTGTTCGATCAGGAGGACCTGACGGACGACTCGCGTTCCCCCGACGGCTCGACTTCTCCCAGCGCCCGACGGCGACGCAAGAAGCGCTCGGCGGTGCAGCAACAAGCGCAGCGTCAGGCCGCGAACCTACGCGAACGGCGACGCATGCAGTCCATCAACGACGCTTTCGACGGCCTGCGTCAGAGGATTCCGACGCTGCCGTACGAGAAGCGGCTCTCCAAAGTCGACACTTTGCGTCTCGCCATCGGGTACATAAACTTTCTGACGGATCTGCTGAACTCTGACGTGGAACTAAACGGAGAAGTCATCCCGAACCAACCACAGCCGAAAAAAGTCGTCATATGTCACCGCGGGACAGGTAAAAAATCACTTTTATTTGGTATTTCTTAGTGGCATTGGAGTCACAGGACATATTCACAACTTTTATTAACAATATCAATGAAAAGGCATGTACGTAAACGCGCGTAAAATGTCAACTTGGAGACTTCAATCCAATTTTCCTCTGTAAAGTCATCAATTGGCTGATTTTATATAACTAACAATACCATGGTTTAAGACAGTTATAGTATCAAGCAAGAAATGACAAGAGAAATGCCTGTGACGTAGTATTTTTTATACTTCGAAATTTGCAAATTCGTACTTGTTTTCAAAACAAAACCCAAGTTACGGTGTATCTGATTTTTTTTACAAGAACAGGTGCAGCATTTCTGCCACGATCGGAGGTCATTTCAATCCTACAAACACAAAGGAATACGATTAGAAAGTTGCCATATTGTAGGAAAGCAAAATTTTCTCACGGGCGCGTCGGTAGCGCGGTCCTCGTCGCCTCAGCTGACGTACGATGACGTCACGCTTTCAAACGGGCACCCGCAAAAAAACTCGTGCGAAAAACGTGCCTGATGTCCAGATGGAAAATTAGAGAATACATTTTGGCCACACATATTTGCGTTTTCGGCACGGTGTCTGTCAGAAGGACAATAACTTGTGAATAAGACCGTGAAAAATTGAAACGCAAGCGTGACAAACTTCTCCATATGGAAACTTTTCAACTACGCAGAGACCAACATGAACAGTCTAGATTTGATAGGCTTAGGAGGAGGGGGGCAGATATTGCTTTTTATTCATGTTCTCAATAGTCAACAGTTTTATGTTGCAATTAGCCATCGGGCATGAACTTGCAAACAAAACTACATTATTTATGTTGAACTTAGGAATCCCGACGCCCGGAGACCTCGAGTACGGCCTCCCGCCGCTGGCCGGACATTCCCTGTCCTGGACGGACGAGAAGAAACCGGCCAGTAGCGGGTCCACCCTGTACGCCAAAGTCTGGACACCCGAAGACCCGAGGTCGAGCCGAAGTAAGACGACAGGTTACGAGAACGTCACGCCGGCATAAAACGAGTCCCGGTCGGAAAGTCGTTGTTGTATCCAGAACCGTGCTTTATCCAGAACCGTGCTTTATCCAGAACCATTCTTCATCCAGAACCGTGCTTTATCCAGAACCGTTCTTCATCCAGAACCGTGCTTTATCCAGAACCATATGCATGCTCAGACACGGTCCTGGATAGTTCATGTGTATCTAGAACCGTGCTTTATCGTGGATAGTCCACGTGTGCATCCAGAACTATTCTTTATCCAGAACCATGCTCTTGTACGGTTACGGATTGTCCACGCGTATCCAGAACCGGGCCTGGCGCAAATCTACGTTCTTGGATACGCGGAGACTATCCAGAACCGTGCCTCATCCTATACCCCTAAACCATCCAGGCATAGAGCTAGATAGGCACGGTTCTAGATACAATATTTGTTGCAAAGGTGGACATTCTTTACGGACGATGCATGTATGTGTGTGTGTGTGTGTGTGTGTGCAAATCTACATAGTCTATCGAATTTCGTAGATCGAAATTTGTTTTAAAATATTGTCGCAAATAGATATTAGATTTCTAAGGCTTTCTCCATAATTTCAAATGCTCTGGTTCAGTGTAGACCTTGGATTTGTCACCTGTTATGTTGAACGTTGTGTATGAATCAAGTTTTTTGTGATGTAGATATATTTTTGTACAAACTTTCTATTGATCTTTGTGACTTGAGCCTGTCACAGTCCGTGTTTCTGATTATTTTTGCTGATCTGTGCCCTTGAAAGGATTAAATTGAGATCTTAAAGCGATGTGACCATCTTGTGTGGCTTTTGCTCCGTCGATTCAAGTTCGCCCCTTGAGTTTTTCCAACTCCTTTGCCGAGAAATTTCACGTCGTTTCAGCGCACTTTAGCCCCACTGCAGAGCGAGAAATGGCCGACAATGGACGTGAAAGACTGGGAAGAATACATGAATCAATTTACGGCTCCCCTCCCTGCACCCCTAACCCAAACATATGTTTTCGCGCGCTGCCTTCAGACGACTTTTTGCCCGCCCAACACAACAACTTGCCATCCCTTAGCAACAGTGCTATCCACAAAACAAGGCATCGTCATTCAGTTCAGGTGCTCTACGCAACAAATTCTGACCAAAACTTTCCCTCAAAAAGTCTTTAACTGCAAGTAGTTGACTTGAATTTGCATAGACGTCTAGCCTGTTCATACTCACGGGGTGTTTTGTTGTGAAGGGAGAAGGGGGAGGGGGGTAAATGGTCAGGGTTATGTGTGTGAACGTGGAGAAATGGATGAGTGTGACAGGATAATACCAGGGAAAGGTGACTTTGCTGTAGATAATTAGGGGCTCCCCTACCCCGGCCATTGTTGGCGATACACTCTCACACACGTAACAAAAGAACCGCAACAAAAACTCCATACAAACCGATATAGTCTGGATTTAGAGGTAGGAAACTTGGCAGTCAGGATGTACGTGGACGAATTCGCATGTACTAGTGAGACTGTATCATTCTTATATCAAGACCATTATTAAAGCGACGGTCATTGGCCAATCGATCATGGATTCCTGGGCCCCAGAGATACACTGGGAACGAGGTAATAAGGCGAACGCTATGATTACCGTTGATTGGTTGATCAGGTCGTCTCGTTTCCAGAACGATGGTATTCCGCTGGTGTCATATTACCATAATTCCCGCCATTATGTCTGGTCTATTTCCCCAACCTATTATAATAATGATGATAATACACCACGATATGATTCAATGGTGGATAAAAGACCTTTATTGTACATTTATGCCCTTACAGGCTAAGTACAGGGTCAGTGATGCAGGTCTATAGTATACCACTATGTACAGGTTCAACTTTTTCGCGCAGTTTTAATTGAAAGAACAGATTGAGATATGGCAGGTTTATAGGTGTTCAACCTCTCTACCTGTCTATCTATGTCTAAGTGACAGGTAGTCTCCCAAGAGAGGACAAAAGTGCATACAAGACATAGGATTACATCGACGTACAGCTACGAGTAACATAAAGTTCAATATAACCAGACATATGCGTATCATCGTATGTGCTTGTTTAAAGTTGGGCGAAATAATAAAAAGGACTCTCTGTTGTGCATTCTGGCAGAGCTCAAGGAACGGTTGAATCACCCAGCAATGGAGAACTATTCTTACCTCCCTCCTCCATGTGATATGACCTCGGCATTGTTCCCCCGCCTCCCGTGACTGTTGCTCGTGACCTCGGTGGCCCCTCGGCACCAGAGCGGCCCCTCGGACATAAACAGACAACTGACAAGGTTTTAACATGGAAAAACGCTTCTTTCATACAAATCCCAGTGGAAACCTAAGGGCAAAACCTACTTCAGAGAAGTTACATACCCAAGAGCCCTCTATAGAGACACTGCGTTTGACATAGAAGACCTCAAATCAGCCATGGAGTGGGGCAAAGCCTTACCCAGTTCCTCTGGGTAGACGTATGATGATGATGACTACAGTTTCATTTCATTTATTTCGAAACCTTTTAGCCCTGCTGGGCTAGTCTTCCAAGACTCAAAGTCAAACGCGTACAATCCTGGGACTATTGCAAGCATTCGGTCGCTTCAGACTTTCAAAGAAAAATAGTAACTGTATTTTTTTTACGATGTATCTCAGTTACAGTCTATAATTGCGTACTTAAGATTCTAAAAAGACGTTCAGCGCCGAAGTCGATTAGAGGTGGACACGAAAGTTTTGTCAAGTTGCAAGGTTTTATTAACAGTTTACAATATTCTATATAATAGTAGTTGTAGTAAGTGACCATGTTCTAATATCACTGTAACATTACTTCTGTTTTGTCTCCATGACCTGTACCTGTACTTAGCTTGTAAGAGCAGAAACGTACGATGGATGCCTTTCATTTTGAACTACATATGGATGTACAAATGTAAGATTTTAACCCAAGCCCGTCAATCTACAATTTACAATTAAAGCACATCGATTCAATTCAATCCAAGAACAGTAGATACTCAATAATACGCAATCGGTGTGTTTTTACGATAACATTCATTTTTGCCTTACTGAAGCTCAAGACAGGATTTAACTAATTCAGATTTACATAATCCTGACAATCAGTTTCGGTTTCTCAGTTAGAACCAGCCTAAGGTACGACACGCGTACAAGTAACCATTTTCCGTCAGCGACATCGCATGTTTGCCTCACAGATATCAGTGTGCTATGTGATAGGGTTGATTCGACTTACTGCATGAAAAAAATGATCAACAGATTGACTTTGAAAATTCAGTTTTACTCTCCTAAAATCGCTTCAAGTGCCTTTGAAATAAACCGACGTTAAGCCGTTTACATAGCGGACATCTTGCCCGTTTCCCATTAATAGAGAACTGCCATAGCAACACGCCACACAAAGCACTATCTCAGCAAACAGACACGATCTGCCTAGTTAGTACAATGTGGGTTTCTAATTCTTTTCATTACCAGCAGTGTCTATACAAACTTTGGTACACCAGCGCCAAGTGCGTATTCTTTTCCCCCCTTTAGACAACCAAGTGGCGAAAAGCGGATTAATAAACAATGGTTAACCGTGACCGAAAAAAAATTCACAGACGACAAAGAACAAAAACGCTTTTTTGGGAGTCAGCCAGCCAAATTGATAAACTAAAAAAAACTGTGTCAAGTTGGGAGAAATATTGCTTGCTTTCGGACGCTGCGCGCCATTGTTTACACCGACAGAAGCTTTGTGAGGCAAGTGTCGTCTGATTTTCAAAATGGCGGAAAATTGAGTGGCCGTGGCCTTAACGAGACGGGTTGACGTCAAGGGCGCGAAACAGCTGCTCGGGGACGGCCGCCATATTAGTCATGGTCTTCAAGGAGGCTCGAACTTTCAATGTCGTCTGTAGGAGAGGTCGCAGGTCCCACTTAACACAGTTAACTCGTGAAAAGAACAACCGCCAAGGGCCCTGAAAGAGATGGATTGTGGCTGGCGAGGTTTAAGCCCGTGGCCAAAATCGTCGAGATTAGTTCTGGTGAATTATGAAAATAACGCCCTGTGGTCTGCACCTTTCTGCCGGGCACTTCGCGGAGGAACCCGGCGATTTTTCATCCATCCATGTTCTGTAATGTTCAATCATTCTACCCGCTAACCACGTCCTCGTTGTCTGTAGTACACGGTGGCCAGATTGAAACAAGGCTTATAAAATGGAAAAAAATCTGTCAAGAGTCTAAAGAGAAAATTTCCAAAAGCAGGTGTCAGTATATATTTTCAGGACGTAAACTTTGATTTTCCAAAGTCTTACTTGTAAAATAACGCAATCAAATACACCCATATATACACGTAGATGTTTAAGAGCACTTAATACTTGAATTTACAATTCAACGACAATAGTGAGCTAAGAAAGGATGACTGTGAAAAATATATTCAGTGGCTTTCAGCAACGTTATAATCAAACTGGTAAGAAATATCCAGATTCTTTTGAATACATCTTGAGCACTTGAAGGTTAGTGATTGTTTCTTCTTAACAGTGTGTCACATGGGATAGGTACATGTTGTCTATGGTATAAACAAATGATATGAAAGTATAGACATGTATAATACAGGAGTTAAGTAGCAGAAAAAAATCTTGTATTCAAGCCAAATGGAGTAAATTTCTTCTTACTTTAACAAGCATATCAGACGTATTATCAGTTGATGTAATAGGATTTGAAACCGGTAAAAAATGACGCGTTACCGCACATTGTACTTGCACTTGGCGTCAGAAATCATACCATTAGCCACGGTCATCACGACCCCCCTGTACGTGTACTTGAGCTTGTGTTCTAACGGACAACCCATTTTCATGTCAAGCTTCGTTTTCATGAGAACCGGAAACACCACTAGACCCTCGGGGTTTCCGGAGAAAAAAAATGGGTTCTTCAGAGGAAAAAAAGAAGAAGAAACAACATTAAAACTATGGTGGTTTCATGTGCGAGTGTATTCTGTACCAAATGACAATGATAACTTTATAACAAAACAGTTGTATCACATATTGTAAGTTCTATTACTTACCGACAATTCAAGGAAACTAAACTACTTTACAAGAAACTATGTAGTA